CTCGATTTCGTTAAACTGCGTGAACGCGAAATTTCTTCAACCGAACGTTCGTCAAATCGAGGGACACCAGTTTGGATTTCAAGGCGTGGTGTGAATAATTTGCCTGCAATTCTGCCCAGGTTGGTTAGAAGTGAAAGATATTCACCTACACCGTCACTCGACTGAGTGCAAGTGCACTCACTCTACTCGTAGGTGAATAATTTCAACGCTGAATAAATAGCACGGCCGGATTTCCATTTCACCTTCTTATTGGAGGAAGTTCCGTTCATGCATAGATACATTGCTTTCGAAATTGATAGGACAAATACAAATGTATATGGTGCAGCCCTTAAATTACTCGCTCACCCCACTGTTGCCATCAGGGCCTCTCCACGAGCAGAGGGAGCTCTGGAGAGCCCTTCCAGAGGAGATTTGGCCTACTCTTCCATGCTGGCTCATGCATTTTGGAAGAGTTGAGAGTATCGCCACACAAGGCATCCTACTCACAAACAGAATAAACCTGTCATCTTCATCATCCACCATCTATCCACCACTTCACGAAGGTCCACTGTGTCATTGCGATCCTGCAGTGCGTAAACGTAAGGATACTATGCACCACGCTGTTCACAAAGTAATTGACTCATGAATTGAATCGCGAACCCTGGGGTTTCTTCGGTCACGGGGTGGGGGGTGGCTTTATCGTGACCGGCCTAATAGGATTGTTCGCCAGAGTGCAGTTCAGCTCGCCCCACAGAAATTCAGACTTTTTTTCTGCTAATCACTGCACCCATATAAAAGTAGTTGACTGGAGCCCAGGCCCAGGATTGTTGTCCGCAACTTGGGAGAGTAGACAACTTATTCGGGCATAAACACAATTTATCAAAAAATTGTGTCCTCTTGAATGAATTGTTGTTTCTACCAGTGGCATATTCATAATATAAGTTGACTATTTTCAGCCCCTTTGTGAATTCACTGCTGGATGAGCGATGTTTGTTTGATCATTACATCACCTGGCCGGCAAGTGGCGGCCGGTGGAGAGGGAATTCGATGGCAGGGCCCTGCCAGCACCGGTACAGGTTTCACTCCCCACCTGATGCGAGACGTGGGCCAGGTATCGAACTCGGGTCGCCAGGGTCACAGCGCAGTGAGCTTCTAATAATTGGGTGGCTTTACCTGGTTAAAGAAAAGTTTCGTTTCGAGCTATTGTGGTTGATAAGAAGTTGTTTAGGGTTAGGTCGCTTAAAAATAAATGTGTCGTTAAACCCGCCACCACCCGGCACCGCCAATTAGTAAGGTTTGTCGCGTGAACAAAACATGCAAATTCGTTACGAGTACAGCACCACCGGTGTGTTTGGGAGTAAACCCACAACATTTACAATCTGGTGGTTGAGAGGGCTTGTGCCACAGGGGAGTTGTGCCACTGGTCCATCTGCCCAGCTCCTGTTTTCGTTTTGAATCGTTTCACCTCTTGAATCTGAACGTGATGTGCGTGCTGTCGTATTGCCTGGGACAGCACCTTGGAAATGTCCACGGTGTGTTTTAAAAAGACGCTGTATACATTTCAGTTACGATTATTAATTTCATCTCGCTCCAGTGAGAGTCGATCTCATCGCTCAATCTCTGCGATCAACGGAGGTTTTCCCCTTCACAATTAGTGGACGTCCTTGATCGCGTGCAAGATGTTTACTCCCTCGCCTGGTATGCAGGAGGTCGTGGGTTCGATCCCGACCTTTGATGCCTGCTGCTGTAAATTTGGAGTTTGTATGTTTTCCCCGTGGATTTTTCTCCGGGACCTCCCGGTATTTCCCTCCACATTTAGAATAAACGCCACGCGTTTAGAGTATTCGGCTGCTTGAAATGTCCACGTGATAAGCCACTTCGTTGAGCTATCATTTGCGATAGCCAGGTCGCCGCTTCTGACAAAGAGCAATAGCTCAGTGGGCCTTACCTGGTAAAATAAACAATAGTTAAACGTTTTTACAGTTACACGTCCTTTGTGCGTTGTCAACAGCGTGCATTTTGGAAGCAATGATGAGCTTGCGAGTGGGGGGGGGGGGCGAAAAGAAGGGGGGATGGAGGTAAGACCAGTCCAGACATCACTCGCCACTTGGTGCAGCACCGGATTCATCTCGTGCGGGGCCTAGAGCATTACTAACACGAGCGTTCGGGTGGAGATTGCAGTCAATCTGAAATATTCAATAGAAAAATTGTTCAGCTCATGATTATTAATGAGGGGGGGGGGGTGGTGTTGCCCCATGTGGAGTGACGTCACCCGCTAATGGTTATTGGGGAGGGGTGCGGCATGTGGAGTGACGTCACCATACCATGATTATTAATGAGGGGAGGGGGGGGCTCATGTGGAGTGACGTCACGCGCAGGACGAAGAGACATTTCTGGGTGTAGTCGGTAATAAGCCAAGAATGTGTCCCGCGCGTGACGTCACTCCACATGCCCCACCCCTCATTAATAATCATGAGCGGGTGACGTCAAACCACATGGGGCAGCACCTCATTCATAATCATGAGCGAGTCACTATTGTCGATTGAATATTTCAGATTAACTGCACTGTCCACCCGTGCTTGGACGGGCTATAGGCGAGTTTGTTATACGGGTAGGAACCTCCTGGTTACACCAGTCCACAGGGGATGATTGTGTCCGTCCGTCGGTCGTGCAGGGAGGGGCTGGGTGGGGAGGGTGGGGAGGGGCTGGGTGGGCTGAGTGGGGAGGGTGGGGCTGGGTGGGGGGTGGGAGGGGTGGGGCTGGGTGGTGCCCTTATAAAACTCAACGTTTAACCTACTCACGCCGGCTTGTGCCCGCCCTCACAGTCGGGCATATTTGCGGAATACACCACGCCGCCGTTGACCCTGGCCATTGACCGAGCAACCCAACGTTCCTACCAGCTCCCTTCGCAGGACAATGTGTTAATGGGGCCCTAAATTAAAAAAACACAAATATTAAAACACAATTTTTCACTTGCATAGTAATTGTGGTTTTTCATTTGCTATACAGCCATATAATATGACAAATCGCTAACATTAAACACCCAGTCGTTCATCAAAGTTGAAGGCGGTATAGTACTATAGTAAGAGCAAGTGCAGAATCACTGAACCGGAATTGATAGATTGAAAGCATGTAGCTACTACACATGTCGCTACTTGTGCTACGAGGATAATCCGGCACTGCCTTGGTGGGGTTGCCACGTTCATCTTGACAGCGATGATGTGAAAATAACCACGGCGTCACCGCTCCACCCCAAGACGTAAAACACAATTTACCTCTTTGTGTAAACACCTACATTCAATATTGTTTTTTTTGTAAACACTTGTTAAGCAACTCGGCCCTAAACAGTCAACTTTAGGTGGCGGTTCCACCCTGTTTACGAGGGCGATGGGGTTCACAACGTGTCCCCAGACATGGCGACATTGACGGTAAACCGGTGGCTTTAAAAGGCACGCATTTAAATCGCGTGTGTTGACAGCCATCGACAACAAGAGGCGGAACACTCCCTTGTTTGAAACAATCCACGTCAGGGTCGGCCGGGTGGCTTGACAAGTTCCGATGAGATCCTGAGTTTGAAACCAGGAAACTACCCGGGATTTAAACTTAAATATGAAAAAATAAATACCCATTTCAAACTCAAATATTTAAAACCAGCAGCCACCCGAGTTCAAGCCCAGGTGGAACCATGGCAAACGGACACAAGTTTGCGATATTTACAAGGCACAGATCATCGCATGCACGAAGATGGTAAAACACGGCAGAGGTTATTACCGTCGCAAGGGTAAAGAGGGCAATGAAAGAGATGAGAGGAAGAAACGGCACTCGGAATGTCCAAACAGAGCAACGGAGATGCTTCAAGACACCCGGGTGAACAATAAGCAACATGACTACACAGAGTTGTAACAGCAGCAGTGGGGGAAATAGCAAGTAGTTCCTATTGATGGGCATGACATGACAATGACTCCATTTCGCAAGGGAAAAGCGGCAGGCCTTCATCCATGACTGATGATGGCGACTTTATCTGATTGAAACCGTCTCCTAAAACACGTGTTTTTTAATCGAGGGACTACTTTCAGTCTTCATGCCTTCAACTTGACTGGTTACGGTCGGGCGTTGGTGTGACCTGTGCGAACGTACACAGGCTGACAATGCTATGGCTCCCTCCTCTGACAACGCAGAGCACTACACAGCAACTTCAAACCCGAGGAAAGACGCACACGTGTCTGGCAAGCACAACTCCACTCTGTAAAGAACAGTATCCATTCCAGGATTTACCGAATACGAGAGCGTGCTGCAAACGCCGGCCCGGATCTTCGTAGTGGTGGAATGGCGCGCAATGCAAATTCACATTTAAAATACATTCTAATTTCAAAAGTTCAAACAAGGATTTATTGGCTTTAAAGTAGAACAAATATGACTTACAGTTACGTAAGAAAATATATTTATGCAAATTACATGTTCTCGAAATATGAACATTAACACAAGCATTTAAATGTAAATATCGTGAATATAAATGTTCTTGGACCAGCCAACCATGACTAAGTAAAAAAAGATACTTAAACATTCAAGCCAAGCGTGCTTTTTTCAAAACCGCATAGATTACAATTTTAAATTTTTGTAAAACACGCAAATGTACAGTACCATATTTAAAACTATTCAAAGCAAATCATGATTAAAAAAGTTATACAAATCTTGCAGTTGCAATTTTGTGGTGCGGTGGTTTTGTGCGCTGCGCTCCAAACCTGGTGACCAGAAATTTTATTTGTGGCCGTGGGTCAAGTGAGTGGCAAGTGATATCATAACCACTGGTCCCAGGCATTCCCCCTTCAAACAATCTCCTTCATCCACCCAGCAGGGGATGGCTTTCATCCAGCAGTGGATTCACACAGTCAGTTCACGTTCTTTTTTAGTTACTTAAGTTATTTTCTTTTTAATACCATCCGAAGTGTGTTACATTTAAATCGTCAAGCGCAGCTGTGGCAATTACAAAATAACTGAAATATGGTAAATGCCTTTTTTAAATTCCAAGACGTTAATTAACTTGACATGACATTTGCCAAGTTTTAAAGACTGTTGTTACGTGCCTCCGATAAATTGTCGTTATTTTCTTCTTGCATTTGGCAATATGTTCAGGAGATAAATGCCAATGTTGAGGTCTGCCAGCAGTGAGAAGGCTTCAGGAGAGAGTTTGTGTCGTTCTGCTGCTCTTCCTACATTGGAGGAGCGCAGACGACATTGGGCTGACATGGTCCACAGTTTGGGTTGCGTGGCCACAGCCGCACTGCTGTGGCTTGTCTTTAATCTTCCATTCACGAAGGAGTTGTGTGCATCGGCCTGTTGACGTTGTGATGCGGTCAATTCGTGCCACCAGAGTCTTCGAGGAGAAATGTCAAAGCCAGGAGGTGCGATGCTCGAGTCTCGCACGACGTTGTGAAGATATTTGCTCTTTTTTTTTTATAAAGAAAAATAATTACAAACACTTAGAACAACGATACTGGATTCAGGCTAAGCTTGAAATGAAAATACAATGGTTCATAAAATCCTGACAAAAATGTACAATGCCGCCAAATTGTTAAATTAAAAGGGCTAGGATCTTGCAAAGACAGCGGAACATTGGCCCCAAGCGAGCGATTTTCACTCAGAGGTACATGCGCGTAGACCATGTATGCTGGTGCCACAGCCCACATTTGCCAGATTTGTGAGACAAAAAAACCTCACAAGTTACCTAATTTGGTAAAGTCACTTAGCAACATCGCTCCGTCCCTTTTAAACTACCGCAGACGCCACACATCTGCGAAATAGATTGCGCTCGCGTGAGCACTGCGCTCTAAGGAATGCGCCGATGCCAAGCGCGCCAACGATCTGATTTGGCTTGGAAGGCACAAGCGTGAGTGCACAAGCTAGCCGTGCACCCAGCGCCGTGTCACTCTTGAAAAACCACGCGAGACATACACATCACCGTGTGTCGTTCTGCGGCATGAAACAGGTACGTCACAGTCGGTCCGCAGGTGGCGTAAAGTGTGGGTACTCTCGCCCCCACTGAGAAGTCTGGTCAGAGCGATAGATCAGCCCAAACTACCTTCCAGACGGCTCGTCAGAGCTCCCTCAAGCGGAGGCCTTTGAGCCAGCGGTGGCCTCAGCAAGACACTGCAGGGCTGTGCCTTCACCTTTCACTGGACGTGTGTATGTATACACATACACACGTGTGTATACATACACACGTGTGAGAACACACGTGTGTATGTATACACACACACGTGTGTATGTATACACACACACGTGTGTATGTATACACACACACGTGTGTATGTATACACACACACGTGTGTATGTATACACACACACGTGTGTATGTATACACACACACGTGTGTATGTATACACACACACGTGTGTATGTATACACACACACGTGTGTATGTATACACACACACGTGTGTATGTATACACACACACGTGTGAGAACACACGTGTGAGAGCACGCGTGTTGTATACACGCCTAGGAATGCACCGCATGTTCAATGCACCTGCGGCGGGGGGGTTAAGCTCTGCGTTCCAAATCGTGGCTCTCCACTGCACCGTCGCCCGGGCCGTCCGTCCACGTTTGGCCACAACCGGCGCACGCTGGCGACCCGCGGCAGGCCGGCAATCCGCCGTCCTGACACCGAGCACAGCAGCCACGGCCGCCACCACCGCCACCACCGCCACCACTGCAACCATCACCGACATCACCGCCACCACCGCCACCACCGCCCTCGTCAGGCGAGCGCTGTCCACTAAAGAACAACCCTTCTGGGGCAAATCCACGGGCGGCCCCCCTGCGGGGAGAATCCGAGGGCGAGGGGAGGGGGCGCGTCCCGGCGCTGCGACCGGCCGCTCCGGCCTCCAGGATCCCGCAGTCGCCCCTGAAGAGCGGCGACTCCTCCCCCCGTCGCGGCACCACCGTGCCCCGCCGCCCGTCTCCGCTCGGCATCCTCTTGAACGTGTAAGAGCCCGTGCGGAACCAGGAGCGGTTCACCAGCGGGCTGAGCAGCGACTCCACCACGCCCTGCATCGAGCCATCCTGCCCGGGCGTCCTCCGCCGCTCGGGAGAGTTCAAGGCCCCCGCGGACCACGCGTGCCGTCTCTCTCCGGCGACGCTCGCTCCTGGGCGGGGGCGGTCGGCGGCGGGGTGGTCGGAGTGCAGCGAATCGACGGAGCAGGAGGAGGAGGGGGGCGCGGTGCAGCGGTTCCGGTAAAAGATGGCCGACTGCGTGGGCTCGTGCGGCCCCGGGCTCAGGCTCTGCGACGACTTCAACAGCCGCCTCCGCATTTCGCTCGTCACGGGCCACGCGGCCGCCTTCTCGGTTCGGTAGAACGTCGACGCGGAGTCGAACGACAGGTTGAGCCCGGGGCCGCTGGCGGACAGCGAGCGCTTCAGCGGCTCGGTGACGGCGGCGGCGTCGCGACCCCGGGTCCGGCCGTCGGCGAGCTTGGGCGCGGACGGCGAGTCGGGAGACGTCGAGAGGCAGAGGAGGCTCTCCGCCGAGCTCTGCGAGGACGTCGACATTCCGCCCATCGACAGGTTGGAGGACGAGCCCGGCCCGTAGGAGGGGAAGTTCAGCCTCAGCGACGCCGGCCTGGACAACGGCACGCGGCTCCTGGCCGCCCGGCTCGCGGGGGTGTCCGCGCTCGCCGGGGGACGACCCCCAATGCCGTTGGCGCGAAACACGTCGTCGTCGTCGTCGCCGTACTCCACGTTGCCGTTGCGGTCGTTGCCGACGACGCGCCGGCGCCCGCTCTTCTCGGGGCTGTCGCCGCCGTCAGGGTTGTCGTGGCTACGGCCGCGAGCGCCGTCATCGCCGCCGTCGTCGCTGCCGACCGGGGAGGCGTCGAGCCGCGAGCCGCCGGCGTTTGGCCGCCGGTTGACGCCGAGGTGGCAGAGCATGTCGGGGAAGAGGGCCTGCGCCGTGCGGCTGAAGCTGAGCGCCCGCAGGCACTCGGACAGCAGCTGGGAGTCGTCGTCGCCGCGGCCGTCGTCGTGAAGGCCCGCGGGCGCTCCGTCGCACAACGAGTCGCGTTGGCGCAAGGACGAGGAGGCGTCTAGCGAGGACACGGGGGACACGGAGAAGACGGCGTGCCGGTGGCGTCAGCGAGAGCGTGCCACTTACAATTAATTCACGTCGTTCGGAACATCTGACGAGAGGCGGGCTTACTGAATGTTACAAAGGTCCACCCCCGTGTAGCCTGTAGCAGACTGTTGGGGCAAGCGCTGTTAGTGAGCAGCGGCCGTGAAAGCCGGCACGGCACACGTGGGGGTGGGTGGCCAGCACCACGCCCGGCCGCCTTTGTTTCCTCAGTGGCGATTTTTAACTGCAAACTGCACCAGGTACCCATTTGAGGCCGAGTCGACCTAGGGGAGGCCCAGGACCAGTTCAAATAATCGTTGAGTGGGAATCGAACTCGCTTTGCTGGGTTCGTAGTGGCACGCTAACCCCTCCACTACCGCTCCCCACTGAATGACACACACACACGTATACATTTAACACTTCATTATAATTCTAGATTTGAAGCTTTCGTGACTGCAAGGATTCATATTCTTAGGTTTTTTCGGTAAAGTCACGTAGGTAAAACATTAAAATTAATAAAAGTAAAATAATTTTAATGTTTTACCTACGTGACTTTACCGAAAAAACCTAAGAATACTTCATTATAACTCATTGAAATGCAATGTCCAGATCTGATGTTTTCAAGGCCCGTGCATTACAAGACATAGGCCGTCAATGCCCAGACTACGAACCCTGCAGAAACAACAAGGCCCAATTCAGGCGTTAGGTGAATGTTTTATTTCGTCTCATTTTCAGTCCCTTAGCAATGATGGCGCAAATAGCCAAGGCCGTGTGTTTGCATTCATCAAGACGTGAAACTGTCCCTTCAGTTGGTGCCATGGTGGTGAGATGTTAACTACCTCGCCTGGTATACAGGAAGTCGTGGTTCGATCCCAACCCTGACGCCTGCTGTCTATTTGGAATTTTCATGTCTCTCTCTCTCTCTCTCCGTGGTGGCGTGGACTTTCCTCCGGGTCCTCCTCCGGTTTTCCTTCCACATTTAGAATCAACATCACGCGTTTAGAGAATTTGACTGCAACAAATTTCCACATGACGATAAGCCACTTCGTTGAGCTATCATTTGTGGCCAGTTCGCTTCTGAAAAAGAGCTGTGTAGCTCAGCGTGGCCTTCCCTGATAGTAGTGGATAGAAGTGTAGAGGGAGCAAGCGTTTGCTTGCTCACCTAACGCCACTGCTGACGCAAGCACCTCCACTACACATGGAGCTCCAGAGAGCCCCTCTGAAAGGTGTATGGCCGACTCTGTTCTATAGTTGAAAATGTCTAATTACTCGTGCTCTCCCCAAACCTGATGAGTCGGAATTGTCGGTGTCCGTTTGGCTCGGCTCGGGCAAAGGACCGAAGATCGTCGTCACGTCCTCTCCGAACAGCTCCTGGCAGTGGCAGATCAGGAACTCCACCAGCTCCACCACCTGGCAACACGGCACACGGAACACGCTCGGTGGTGACGGCGGCGGCGACGGCGGCGAGTAAAAACCGAAGGCACGAAACTGAAAAGTAGTCCCTCGTTTTTGTGTGAAGCCACTTGACAAGGAGCTCCTCAACACAACGTGGAGCCACAGCCTCCGTAAGGCCTACGAGGACAAGCAGCACGATCTTGAATTCCACTCGTCTGGAGGGAACACGGGGGGAGCCAACGCGACGATGCGAGCACGCGGAGAGAGCTGTCGATGTTGTCGTCGACGTCGTTCCTAGTCGCCACCGCCGCCGCCGCCGCCGTCGTCGTCGTTACCTGCAGCGTGTCGCTGCGCTGCTGCTGCTGCTCCCCCCCGCGGCTCGGCCACAGCAGGCTGGGCGCGACGCACCGCGCCAGGTTCGCCGCCGTCATGTGGTTGTGCCGCGCCAGCGCCGCGACGTGGTGCAGCACGCAGAGCAGCGCACGCAGCAGAAGGTGGTGGCACGGCGGCACGCGGCGCAGCAGCCTGCGCCGGGGGCGGTGAGGGGGAGGGGGGGTAGGGAGGGAGGGGTCGAACTCACTCCGGGTTGATTTGCACGACAACGGTGGCGAATACTTCGCGGAAGAAAGCGATGAATAAAAAGATGAATCTCAACTAATCGATCGTGGTACTACGGTTCCACGTGAGCACATCCCCACCCCTCTACCCCCCTCCTGCACAGCCACCAACCCCGAATCGGACAGTGTACAGGCCACATTTCAGCTCAACGTGAACTAAAATAAAACTAAACGTAGCCAACCGTGCTAATTGGAGAAATAAAAGGTCAACGATTAAGGATACTACATCTGTAACAAAACGAAACTCTGAGAGGCTCCAAAACCCTCGAAACTAAACTAATTTTCATTTTTCAAGGTAAGGTCCAATGAGCTATATAGCTCTTTTTCAGAAGCACCCTGGCAACAACCGATAGCTCAACGAAGTCGCTTATCACGTGGATATTTATAGCAGCGAAATACTCTGAACGCGATGTTGATTCTAAATGTGGAGGGGAAAATCAGAGGACCCAGATAAAATAACCACGTGACCACAGGGAGAACGTGCAAACTCCAAATATACAGGCATCAGGGTCGGGATTGAACCCACGACCTCCTGCATACCAGGCGAGGGAGTTAACATCTGGCCACAGGGGCACCCCATTTCAGCCCTGCATTGCCTGCTCACGGCGACGCTGGCGGAAGCTCTAGACAGCCGCTCTGGAGTGTAACTTGGCCTACTCTTCCACGCTGGCCAGACGTCTTGGAAGAGGTGGGAGTACCCACACTTTGCCCCACCGCACGTGACCTGCTGATAGACCGACTGCGGGGGGGCGGCGGCGGCGGTGGGCGTCGTGAAAAACGGTGTCGCGGCAACCCCGGCAGGGCAAGCCGAATAATGGGTCGGCAAAACGTCTCAAACAGGTCGTGGGTAGCAAATGATCTGGAGTAGAAAAAAAATAATGGTATTTAATCTGTTCATGTTTTGTTTATAAAATGTATTGTGAGCCAGCAGATCGCAGCGATAGCAAACTGCCATTTCCATAAACACGCCTTCAGATGTTGCTAGGAAATCATTTTGGAGGTCTCGGCACGTTGAGCCAACATTTGGTGGGTATACAGCAGCGGGTATTGCATACGGAGAGAGACTGGCCCTTGCCACAGTTACGTGGAATTTGTATAACTGCCTCAGAACCGATGTTGGAGATATACGCTGTCCATTGCTCATTTACGAGTGGAAACACTTTGACATTGACACTTTGAATAATGGATTTAGGGGTAGCCAATTTAATTCCACTTTATCCGAATTACATTCCAATTACGCTCATCGGCATTACGTCATGAGATGCAACACATCCATTTGGAACGACTGCAGACAATGGTGCATCGCCCTGTGTCAAAGAACAACCTGAAAAAAGCCATAACGCAGAACTACTTCTGAGGTCAATTCCTTTGCCTCGTCCACACTCGGGGCACTGCACTTTCACAAATATGGCCCATTATGGAGATATGTCACATGGCAGTTAAAGCAAACATTGTAGATTACCTGATGGATGTTTTTATTGTACGGTCATTGACCAGAATAAACACGTCATTCGAGACCCAAACACCGCACCTCCTGGCTTTGACATTGCTTCTCGAACACTCTGGTGGCGTAACCATCAACCCCCATCAGAACAGGCCGATGCGCGCTTCTTCATGAATGGAAAATGAAAGACAAACAATAGCAGTGGGAATGTGGCCATGCAACCCAAACTACGAACCATGTTGTAAACCCACTGCAGTCTGCGCTCGTTCAACGGAAGAATAGCAAAACTACAGGAACTCTCTCCTGAAACCCCCTCATCGTGGCCAGCAAACCCTGACTGTGGCATTTCGCTCCTAAACATATCGCCATCATCCGTAATAAATTGTGACCAGGCAAAGTCCGTCAACCCGATACACTTAAAAACCCGGTTAAACGACAGGCGGCTTCACGGATTCGAACCCGGGTTTCAGCAGTGGCATCCTCAGTGCTCTGAACCCCTGAGCCACTTGGCCAGCGTTGTAATCATTATTGACCTTCGTACGCTCTGCAGTCTCTCCTGAGGGTGCTCCTCTGAAATGCCATCGAGCCAGCCGTGGTACAGCTCCGAGCAGAGGAGACTCCCGGGCACATTGCGCAGGAAGTCCTGCGGCGGTCGCGCACACGACACGCGACACGCGACACACGACACGCGACACGCGGCACACGACACACGGCACACGGCACACGGCACACGACACGCGACACACGGCACACGACACACGGCACACGGCACACGGCACACGACACACGAACACGCGACACGCGACACGCGACACACGACACGGGGAACCAGCGTCGAGTCAACACAGGGCTGGACGTTCCACCACGGACAGCATCTTCCTGTAGGAGGCAGTAGAGCAGGTACCTCGCGATTAATGCGCAGGTTTTGAGTGGCGTCATCGCCTCCTGTGCATGGCTTTTCTCCAGGCACTCGCACAAGCAAAAATGAATGAATAAAAACTTGGTTCAAACATCCGAAGCATAATCCTCCTGCAACATTATCTTAACCCTGAGTGTTATTCATTGTTTGCAATTTGTGGCCTTTCATCATCATTGTCGGCCACCATCTATTTATATTTTACCAGGCAAGGCCCACTGAGCTATGTTGCTCTTTTTCAGAAGGGACTTGGCAACAAATACAACAAAGTGGCTCATCACGTGGAAATTTATTGCAGCCAAAATACTCTGAACACACGTTTCTAAATGTGGAGGGAAAAACCGGAGAACCGGGAGAAAAATCCACATGACTACGGCGAGAAAATGCAACTCCAAATATACAGGCATCAGGGTCGGGATCGAACCCACGCTCCACTACTGAACCCCTCCCTGGCTCATACCAGGCGAGGGAGTTAACATTTCGCCACTGCAGGGGGAAGTCCTCTCCAAGCTACTGCCATCTGTCACGTTGCCAGGATGTAAAAATCTTCTGAGCAACTGCACGCACAAGCTGATCTTATTGCTCCATCTCTGTGACGTTCCCTCCTTTGGATGCCACTGTCGTCAGTCTTGACCAGTTTAACACGTAGGCTTTCGCGACCAATATTATTCATAATCAACGTTTTTGGGTTTAGATCGCGTTATTTATAAATGTGTCGTTACCAGCGAAACGTCGTACTCAAATTGTAAATGTTGTGGTTTCGCGCTTCAACACACCGGTGGGCTAAAGCAGTGAACTAATTTGTCTTTTGTCAACGTGACACTTTTTTACTGATTGGCCGTGTCGGGTGGTGGAGGGTTACGACACATTTATAAATAACGCGATCTAAACCCAAAAACGTTGATTATGAGTCTTGACCATCACCGGTCATCGTCCCAGCCCACAACGGGCCCTACCCAAGCTGATGAATATTTTCTGAACGGTCAGCAAGATGTCACCGGTGTATGTTCTCCAATCCACGTGTCCTTCTTTCTGTCTCCCACACTCACTTCTTATGGCCGATATTTATCCGAAATGATTTCCACAATATCACCGCAATAAGCAGCCTACCTCGAGATGTGGTGACCAAATTGAATCAGCGGAGGTGTTTACAGGTGACGAGGCATAAAAATACCGACATTCCCTCATGAATCAACGTCTGTTTACGCAGCTGTGCAATTATTAATCACAGAGCTAATTATTGCCAGGCGCCTAGGTTAACTATGCCTCCTGTGTAATGAAGCCAAAAGCACCTGATATGAATAAGGCAACAGGGCTCAATAATATTGAATTTAACAAATACGACATAAAAAAATATTAATTTCTAAACTAACCCCTGTTACCTGGAAGCAACTATGAAGGAACTACCATCAAATCTGCACTCTTTGTGAAAAACATCTCAATATAAAATACTATACGGTATATTATATTATTTTCCATATTAATTTTCTTTGTTTACAATATGAATGGTAATTTACGAAGTGTTACAGTATTACATGGTAAGTCTCCAAGGCTGGGAACGCATCCTCATAGTACTAATGCTATAATTTATTCTATCTACGAGGTTTCAAAATACGAACAAAGCTCTGGGAACGCATCTACTTTGTATACCGATGTATTACAGGCAGTCCCCGAATTTCAAACGCCTAACTTACAAATATCCACACTTGCGAACGAGCTACCATGAGACACTTATTTTTAACCATCCGACTTGCGAACGTGAACTCACACTTGCGATCCGAACCGCGGAACTATTTGGTTCGGAAAACGTGCAATTGTTAAATATTTCTCCTTATTTATGAGTTTAACAATCCTTCACTTTGTCTGTTGAACCGTAACACATTTTACGACACCGACCGCACGTGCGTTTAAATACGGCACGTGGTTTTGTTGCGACTAACGGACCGTTCCGACTTACGAACGGCTCTCGGGGAAACGGAACCCGTTCCTAAATCGGGGGTTGGGGGGGTGGGGTACGACTTCCGGTAATTGCAAATTTTAGTCCATCGACCTCTCGGCGTCCTTCCAGGCCAGTGTTTGATTGGCTCTCTCCCAGTTACCGTGAAGACAGCCGCAGCGACGTGCGGTGTCTCTTGCGTCCAATCCACGTGCTCCCCAGAGGCCAGCCTCTCCCTCAGCGTCCGGCAGTGCCGCATGTTCGCAGACTTCCGGAAAATCCCCCGGGTGAAGGGGCCCTCCCGAAATATTGCCGACAGCAAGGCCTACGTTTCGGGTGGGGGGGGGGGGGGATTATTAAAGCCATCGTTAAAAGGGTCTCGTGACGTGGCAGCGCTACATAGGATAAGAAAAAACGAAACGTTCGATCAATTTAATTTTCCGTCTTCATTCATATTATCATCAGTCATGCTCTATCAACTGCTGGATGAATGCCTCCCCATGCAATAGCCGTCTCTCACAGTACTGCAATGCCACTCTCCATCTAGCTGCGGCACAGAGACCAGTGTCGTCGCGATTGAGCGTGTCCGTAGATGACACGAAAACCCATCGCAACGCAATTATGATGGGCTTTCTCGTCATGTACACATGTTATGTTGGTTGCCATTAGCCAAGCTATGGACCCAAGTCTGTAGAAGTGGGTGCTGCAACATATATGGTTCCCAGAGGCAGACTTTGCATCAGCGAGCACTGGTGACGGTACTGAGCTGATGAGTCCTAAAAAGGACGAAACCGGTCGACAGTTGTGTCTCCATCTAACTTCCACCTGTAAGTCGGTCACATTTGCTCAGCGTTCTTCGAGGGTGACCTCAGACAAGAAGAACCACAATGCAGTTCTTTAGAAACTTCCCATGCTCTTTGCAGAATGCACAAGGGGCGAGTGCTATTGTGTACACGTTTCTACGCGTCATCGCTTTGTTGTAGAACTTCACACGGTCAAATTAAACTGCTTTGTTCCTTCAATGCTTGGCGAAACAGTAAGAGGGTCAGGGTTATGGGCAAATGCCACCAGCCTTAACAAATAACCCCATCATGTTTCCACCTCACGTAACGTGTATATAATGTAAAGTCTGGTGTGTTTCCTCATTGTTGTCGTGTATCTTGGAGAGATACCTCCCAATGTTTCACGAAAAAAAAATTTGTACGCGACTTGTTTTACTCGTATTTATCTTGAGTCCCCACTTTGCTTCATTTTCTTACAACAGATGAAATCTGTCCGGGTTACATTCCCATCTCTTTATTTTAAAATCGAATCCGAGAGAGAAGTTTATCACTCCCGTGGACAAGGCCGCGTCCTTGCCACTGCAGTGATAAATGTACCCGAGTTGTATCCGTGTTGCTACGGCAGCCTGACAGTTCTTTACAAAGAAATGCAGTTTTTTTTACGGTAGTTAATTGCTAATCTTGTCCGAAAAAAAAACATAAACCGACGTGGGCATTATTATTATTATTATTGGTGAGCTTTGCAGTAATGTGGAGAGCGTTTCGTCTTGGGGTTTTTCGTGAACCCATGTGAGGCAGGACGGACAGGTGGATTGGATAGACAAAACATTCCCGAGAAGAGCAATAGCTGAACAGTGGGATGCCTGAAGTGTCATTTTTTCATTAAAGCCATTACAAACAAAATATTTTACCTGGATTTCTTTTCATCTTTTTTGACATTTTTTTCCCAACTCTATTTAACAAGCACGTGCATTCGTGGCATTGGTTTAACTGAAACGTGGACTGTACCATAATTGATCTGGGGGGCGCCCCATCCGGGCACAGCAGGGACAAGGGAACCCCGAAGACGCCGCCGGCGGAGGGGGCGGCGGGGGAGAGGGGCGAGAGGGGGGCGTCCGAGTCGGAGCGCGAGGAGCTCCGTCGCAGCGTCCACGACATCAGCGACCGCTTCCTCCTCAGCTTGCCGCCACTCGAGTCTGCGCGCACACACGCAGGCCGCCACCGCGCCTCCGTTTAGCACGGTTGGGCTACGTACGGCGTGCAAGGGGTTCCACGTACGTACGAGGCCCAAAGGGGCAGCCCTGCACTTGCACTGCTAGCGGAAGGGTCTAGACCAGGGGTCGGCAACCAAAATAACAAGAAGAGCCATTTCTTTCCAATTCGGTACAAAATTCAGTATTTCAAGAGCCGCAATGCATCTGGGTACATACGTACTCATCGTCAAGAAGCAGCCCGTAAAGAGCCGCATGCGGCTCCGGAGCCGTAGGTTGCCGACCCCTGGTCTAGACGAGACGAAGCTCCAGAGAGCCCTCACCCCCGTCCGTCGAGGGAATTTTAGCCTCCTCTGGCATGCTGGCCAGACAGTGATGGAACGGGTGTCGGTGCCTATGATAATCGTCGCTGGTGTTGGCCGTGATCGGGAATAGAACTCGGGTTGCAGGATTCGTAGTGCAACGCGCTAACCTCTATGCCACCGCAAATACAAAGATCCTCCCCGTATAGCCTTAACAGACTGCTGGGGCAAGTGCTGTTAGCGAGCACCTATGAAGTCCGGCACGGCACACAAGGGAGTGGGTGGCCAGCACCACGCCCGGCCGCCCTTGCCTCACCGGTGGCGATGTTCACAGGTACTCAATTGAGGCCGATTCGACCAACGCCAAGTCGACACGCACACAAGCACGCACGCACACACAAGAGTAGTCGCACGTTCCCCTCACCGACGGGCTCGTCTCGAACGTAGGTCGCGGCTGGCGGCGGCTGCGACGGCCGCCGCTGCGTCGCCCGGAGCACGAAGTGGCAGCGGAGGTCGGGGGGCAGGCTCTCGTCCGGGAAGCGAGCGTCCACGGGGAAGGAGCTGCCGCCCACGCGGACGTCCGAGCCCAGGCACTGCACGGCGTCGCGGACGTGCCGCATGCGCACGCTGTACGGCTGCTCGTGCCCTGGTGGGGCACAGCAGGGGGAGGGGGGTGGGGGGGGGAAGGTGCACGCGGAAACGCGTTTAGGGGAACTGGAGGTCTGTGGGCGTTGTGTCTACTCAACGAACGCGACCGCGCAGAGCAGCAGTTCCCAGACTCGTGGAGTACACGGACCGCCTCTTCAACCTCCAACAATGTTGTGGACCACCGCGTCCGACTAGTTGTTTCAAGTTGTACATTTCCCTGGTGAGGATCATAGTACGGTGTTTGTCTTCTTTTCAGTGGGCCCCCCCTGCCCCGGTAGTAGCCCCGCGGACCACCAGGTGCCCACCAGGGGCCCACCAGGGGCCCACGAGGGGCCCACTAGGGGACCACCAGGTGCCCACCAGGGGACCACAAGGGGCCCACCAGGGGACCACTAGGGGACCACCAGGGGACCACGAGGGGCCCACGAGGGGCCCACCAGGGGCCCACCAGGGAACCACCAGGGGCCCATGAGGGGACCACTAGGGGCCCACCAGGGGCCCACCAGGGAACCACCAGGGGCCCACCAGGGGACCACTAGGGGACCACCAGGGGACCACGAGGGGCCCACTAGGGGACCACGAGGGGCCCACCAGGGGCCCACTAGGGGACCACCAGGGGACCACCAGGGGCCCATGAGGGGACCACCAGGGCTTCGTGTACCACAGTTCGAGAACCACTTGCATAGAGGTTTTCGCTACAGTTTTGACCCATGGCATTTTACCGCTCGGCGCGCCGTCCCGACGTTTCGCTTCCACCCCACCCCCTGCAAGGCTTTTAAATTCGGTTCTGAAAGAAGCCGCCAGCACTTGGGAGTGAAATGGTCAGAAGTCACCGGCGAACAATGACGCGCAACAACGGCACAACCCGAAAAACATCCGGATAGAATGTTTGTAGGCACCGCGGTGGCGAGATGTTAACTACCTCGCCTGGTATGCAGGAGGTCGTGTGTTCGATCCCAACCCTGACGCCTGCTGTATATCTGGAGTTTGCACGTTCTCCCCGTGGTCCATTTTTTACCTCCACCGTTAGAATCAAGTATTTGGCCGCTATAAATTTCCACGTGATAAGCCACTTCGCCGAGCCATCACTTGTGGCCACGTTGTTTCTGTAAAAAGATCCGTGTAGCTCAGTGTGCCTTACTGAATAAAAAAAGGAAATTTGGTTAGTCTAGAGGGTCTTGGAGCCTCTGAGTTTTGTGTTGTAACAGATGTTGATTCCTTAATCACATCACACTTGCCCTATATTTCTTTTCCGTTTGTGCGTCTACTTGTTACGTGCCCCCTTTACTCTTCCCCATCCCTTCCCCCCCCTGCCCCTCTACCCCCCCCCCCCCCCCCCATTTCTTGGTCGTTTAAAAAATATACATACATACCCCGATACGACGACGCAAGCGTGCATTGTTTTTGATAAGCAAAGCAAAGCAAAAAAATAAATAAAAGAGGAACAAGAAGTGAGAGCACACATCCTGCCCCCCCCCCCCCGCCCCCCCCCCGGGTCTCTCCACGGCCCCCACCAGGGGTTGCGCAACAAAGACGAGGGTGCCATCGTTGTCGCCATCGTCATCGCCGCGCTATCATCATCTGTGGCCAGCTCGCTTCTGGATATAGAAAAAGCTCAATGGGCCTTACCTGGTTAAAAAAATAATTATTATCTAGTAATTTAGCACAGTTGGCTACGTACGGTGTGAAAGAAGTTCAATGTTGCGATCGAATGCGGACGGAGATTGCGGTGGCCGTGGTGTCTTGCGCGCGGCACGTTGCGCCATCGCCCATGCTGCCCAACTTTAGTTACATCGACTAAATTACACGCGCATCTCTACTGCCGCTCTGTTGCAGCAGCTTGCAATGTTTTTTTTTTTCGAAGCGATAAAACGTTAGATTAATGCTAAATATAAACCATTGCAAGAGAAGGCTGCGAGTGGTTCAATGCCTACAGGGAGGAGAGAATGAATACGGAATTGAAAAATGACTCCAAGATTAACAATGCAAAACATATCCTGTCCGTGCCTGAGAGCGGGAGTGCAGTTATAGTGCAGTGTTGGGAAAATTTGAGAATACACAAACGCATTATTTATTCAGAAACACTCCACGGGGTTCTAATTTATCCAGCAAATATTATAATGGATTTCAAGGCTCTCTTGCTGAGGGACACTGCGTTGGGATGTTGGGCTGAACTCTGAATGAGAATTTAGCGCATGCCAGAGAGTAAAAGCCACTTGTTCAGGAGCATGTAAACAGTCCTGTGGCGCAGAGGCAATCACGAAGGCACAATGTTTAACAGATGGACAGTCTGCCAGTAGGGGTGCCGCAGTGGTGAGATGTTTACTACCTTTCCCGGTATACAGGAGGTGGTGGGTTCAATCCCGACCCTGACGCCTACTGTATATTTGGCTTTTCCATGTTATCCCCGTGGTCACGTGGATTTTCTCCGGATCCTCCTGATTTTCCCTCCACATTTAGAACAACGCGTTTTGAGTATTTGACTGCAAGACATCTCCACGTGACGAGCCACTTTGTTGAGCTATCATTTGCGGCCAGGTCGCTTCTGAAAGAGAGCTGTAGAGCTCAGTGGGCCTTACCTGCTAAAATAAAAATCGTATTAAAGTAGTTTAGTTTATATGTTGTCACGTGGCTTTTACCCAAGCAGGTGATCTGTGGGTAATTTGCAAATTTGTCAAATATGGACGGTGAAGCTGGCACGCAGCGGCCTCGTCTTTTCCAAATAACTTCACGGGATTCGCTCACATTCACTGTGAAGCAGGATGACGAGTGTTTTTTGGTTCGTGCACCCGGCAGTATTTACCGGGGCAGCCCATGGGCTCGAACTAAGAACCCCCCCCCACCGCCCCTGCGACAAGTGGCAGTGGCGTCCCCCCTGCCCCCTTGCAGGGTGAGCCACGGCACCAGGGGTAAACACTCAAAAACGCTGATAACAACATTGTCAACAAGTTACATTTATATGAATTTACATACTAAAGTGTTTCGCAAACATGATAAAAAAAATGTTTAAAAATTTTCATTTTTTTTATTCCAAATTGTACTCTTAGTAGAATCACAATTTCGCTACAATGTCATCTCGGAAATACCCAAACTGCTTTGCACAGCAGCTGTGGCATCATTTCACACAGAGGTTGCTAATAAATAAATTGCCACTAGCGCTCAGCCGACATGATCAAGACGTCACCCTCCTACGATTATCTAGGACAAATAGGGAGAGTTTAACCTCGAATTACCCTTGTACACAAACTTCAAATAGAATAAAAACAATCGCAATCATGTCATACTGTCCGATATTTTAAACAGGTGCTATAAATAGAAAAGAACAAACGTTACCTATGAGTGGATAAGGAGTCCCATCTTTGCCAGAGTAAACCCACAGCTTGAAATCGCTGGATTGGCCCTGAAAAGAATATTCACACACGTCAGCACGTTCCATCACATCCAGGCCCCAGCAGACGCTGACAGCTCAATTACCATCCTAACTGTGCCATTCGTAATGAGATTGCAATTACAACATGAGGGCAATATTAGATAATCCAGCTGCTGTAATAGTAATTATACTGGTAGGAACCACCTGGTTCCACCAGCCCACAAGAGATTATTGTGTCCGTCCGTCGTGCATCCAAAAATGGGAGGGGTAGGGCTGGGTGAAGAGGGTGGGGTGGGGAGGGGCTGGGTGGGGAGGGTGGGGAGGGGCTGAGTGGGGAGGGGAGGGTGGGGAGGGGCTGGGTGGGGAGGGTGGGGCTCGGTGGGGAGTGGCAGGGGTGGGGCTGGGTGGGGAGGGGCTGGTCACCCCGTGGTGCCCTTATAGAACTCAACGTTTAACCTACTCATGCCGGGTTGTGCCCGCCCTCACAGTCGGGCATATTTGCGGAATACACCACGCCGCCGTTGACCCTGGCCATTGACCGAGCAACCCAACGTTCCTACCAGCTCCCTCCGCAGGATTGTGTTAGTTGACTCCAGGTCCCGGAAAATGTGCGGATCGGAGCGGTTATTCGACCATCCTTCACCACTCTGGGTCAGTGCGAGTTGGCGAAGGTGGGGAGCACAGAAGTATGGTGCGACAACGGATGTTTCTGCACTACCCTCTCCTGCGCTCCGCATAATTCCACAGCAGCCTACACCAACCCTGTATACACAGTGGTCGCCCTTTGAAAGCGCTATCCAGGCTCAAACCGGCTTAGCTTCCAAAATCTGACGAGATCAGGGGCGCATTCCAAGTGATTTGGCCAAATCGTAACAATGATTATAATAATTTACATTTGTAAAGTGGCGCATTTCATCCACAGATCCCAATGTGCCGTGCATGGAAAGCAGAAAATGAACAGAACCTGCAGGGCTCACGCTCAGAACTTGTGGGTAAAGGCCAGTTGAAAGAGGCAAGTTTTCAAGACAGGACATTAATATAGCCCATCGTACCATGGCGTTCGTCTGCCCATTCCAAGTGCGTAATGCGTGCGCGTCGCTCACCGTGATCGAGAACTGCTTGAGAGCCATGGCGATCACCTCCTGTGCTGTGTCCGTGTTGCCAACGCACAGGGTCTTAGCCTGCGCACAACGGAGGACGATGATCGCAAAGGTTTCAGGTTTCAAGTTGATTTCGCTGAACCAGGTGAGAACTCACGAGACCAGGATGGGTCTCGCATTTGCAAGAGTGACCTGGGTCACAAATAGGACACAGGCAACAACATAAACACAAGTCCAGCGCAACAATAAAGCGAAAAGAAATACAGAAGCCAAGTAAATGTACGGTTTCAAAATGCACATTCAGAAATCCGGTTCTCGTGCTGCTTTTTTTCTACCTACGTGACTTTACCGAAAGAACCACAGAGTATGGATTCCTGCAGTCACGAAAGCTTCAAATCAAGATTTTATCGTACAGCTGTTTGCATGTGTGTCTGTCTGTCCAGCTTCAGGGTACATTTTAACGCCTATACACTTGTAAGGGGGCGCCACAGTGGCGAGATGTCAACTACCTCGCCTGGTATGCAGGAGGTCGTGAGTTTAATCCCGATCCCGACCTTGACGCCTGCTGTATATTTGGAGTGTGCAAGTCTCTCTCCCCATGGTCGCGTAGATTTATATCCGCTCCTCCGTGTTACCCCTCCACATTTATAAACGCGCGTTTACACTATTTGGCCGCTGCTTTACATTTCCAGGTGATGCTGAGCCACTTCGTTGAGCTATCACTTCCAGCCAGGTCTCTTCTGAAAAAGAGCTGTGTAGCTCAGTGGGGCTTACCTGGTAGAATAACAAATAGTTTTAGTGTTATTTCAACAGGCATCGGCCCCTACCGAACACGTGGTCGTCATGCCGTGCCTCACATTCACACCCTCTTTAATGACGGCGTAAATGAGCCATGCGGGGCGGTAGCGAGGAGTTTCCCGTTTTGTCCAGACGGAGGGACCGTCAACAACCAAACACCACGGACAAATTACAATGACAAAGCGGCAGCCGAAAGAGGGTCAAGGGGACAACCTTCGAGCAGGAATGAAAACAAGCAGAGCGTAAATGGGCAGGGAATGTGAGGGTTTGCACGCGCTCAGCGCTAAACACTGCTTTAAACTAAATAATGTTAATGTTATTTACCAGGTAAAGCCCAATGAGCGACACAGCTCTTTTCTAGAAGCGACCTGGCCACAGATGACAGCTCAATGTGGCTTATCACGTGGAAATTTATAGCAGCCAAATGCTCTAAACGCTTGTTTCTAAATGTGGAGGAAAAACCGGAGGACCTGGAGGACAATCCACGTGACCATGGGGAGGACATGCAAACTCCAAATATACAAGCATCGTGGTCGGGATCGAACCTACAACCTCCTGCATACCAGGCGAGGGAGTTAACATCTCGCCACTGCAGCAACCTGGTGTGGCCTCCATCTATCAGCGGGTAGAGAATGGCTGTCAATGAGGATGGCAATCCGTATGCTGCATGGGTCTGTCGGTTAACAGTACATATATACAAATAGTACTTCACCCAGAAAAAACTGGGTCTGAAGACTATTTTTCAGAGAGTTTCTGCTATTGGATGTTTGGCACATTCTGTATTATCATTTACTGCCCCTTCATCAATCCGCTGCTGTATGAAGACCTCCCAATGTCGTATCGGTAATCACATCTTGTTAGGCCATGCTTTCGAGGTTTGTTTGACCATACTTCACCATGCTGGTCAGCCCAGGTTGATCAAGGGGGAACCCCAGGACCAATTCGGCTATCACTCGCCACTGATGTCAGCCATGCACGCAACCCAAGACTGCCGGGGTTCATAGAGCAGTGTGCGAACCGCTGTGCCACCACTGCCCCCCCCGCTGTGTCTCTCCCCCCCCCCCCCCATATGCAATTGTCCTTCATCCAGGAAGGCCTCAATGGCTGCCAAGTATTTTCTTCACGAGATGTCCGTCCAATACCTCATTACAGCAACGCTACAATTTGGATTGTCCAAGCATCCAAAATGCAACTGTGCCACCTCGAGTACATTTTCAGGAATGGCGTGAAACTCGAGTTCCAGAAGAACACCCACACGTGCGCAAGTAAGGTAACATCCCATTCTCATGACGAGGAATCAAAAGCTCCCCGTTACGACAACAGGGCGGCCACCGACGGCTTTGCACCGCCTCCTGCAGGCATCTCGCTGCCTACTTGCGGGTCGGCGTGTCGGCGTGGGCGACTCCACGCGACCCACGCCGGCAGCCATGGGGCCGAAGGTTTTGCAAACGAACGCCAACAAAGAGGGAAACGGAGGGAAGGCGAATTGACGCGAGTCAGCGTCCATTCACCGCCGCTCATTCCCCCCTTTGTGGCCGGCAGGAAGTGGGTTCCGGCTCCGCAGTGTTTTTCACGGCGGACTTGAACGTCTCGCACTCACGGCCACGGCCACAACAGAGCAGGGGGGAGCGGTGGCAGGGAAACGAGGTTGAGGACGAGCCGCCCCCTGCCGCCACTGGCCCCCCGCGCCGAGCCGACGCGGTGTTATCGCGCGAGGGTGTTTACGCAGACCGCGGGGTAATGGCAGCCTTCGAGCACTAAGGCGCCGTAAAAGCCATTGGTAGGGGGCGGACGGACGGACGGGGGGGGGGGTGCGAAATAAAGAAACGACCGAAATAAATCTGGCGATCTATCACAACTGTAATTTCACATTGGCATAAGAAATGCAAAAGTTTATCCTTAATTGTACTTACGAGCTCAAAGAAAATGGGTGCTTTATTTACAGTTTACCTTTCTCATATCTTCAAACCACAATGGGAAATATGTTCGCGTTTGTCAAGAGACGTTGCCATTGTTCACACCGACGGTGCCTCTGGCTGGCTCAGCTTGCCCTGTGGCTCTCATCGAGCTGCCGTGAATGCCGTGAGGCACCTGCAGACTCCTGAACGATGGCCAGCAGTCGTTACAAATGTAACATCTGCAATGGAGGTGGCAGCCACGTGCCTCGGATGGCTAATCTGCTGCGTGAGAACACCGCGCCAGCAAAGCTGGAAAACCTGGATCGGCATTCGGAGTGGAATCCGGATTTCTGCTCCCCGTGAACATGCCAGGTTAGTAAGTTGGAAACTTTTCCATGAGGTTCTTGGTTATATAAACTTTCCCCGTAGACTCTCCCCCCCCCCCCCGGCCCTGCCATAGGAATGTGGGATTTCCACCACTGGGCTCAGGGCTGCAAACCGGAGATGAGCAACGCCTGAATGCTCATTAGGGCAGGAAATGACTTTTCTAACGTTAATACGCTGAACACCACAATGGAGGGATGGTCACATGGACAACAAAGATGACACTGATGATTCGTAGACGGAGGAGGATGATGGCAATATGATCACGGTGATCGGTAAAGACGACGAGCTGATGGTGGTCTCAGCCCGGCCACCAAGGACGGCACAAAAAACGGTTCGAGTCAAACCGTCGTCTATGACGTCACTCGACGAAAAATTTTAAAGTTTCATCGCCGTGCGACGGATGTCCCCAATAGTAAAAGCAATTGCGAGGAATTCGGAAGTAGTCGTGTGACATCACCTTTCAGAGACCGTACTTCCCACTGCTTTCTGCCAGAGTTCCAAATGACAAGGTGCCAACAGAGCTGATGTGTATTATTTTTTTCCCTTTAATATTTCTCCACAGCCATTGTTATTCCACCGCTGGATGCAAGGTCTCCCCATGCACTGTTGGTCATGGGGGTTGTTTGGACATACTTCACCACTCTGGTCAGTGCAGGTTGGTTAAGTGTTGGGGGGGGGGGCACCCAGGACTGGTTCAGACATTAATCGCCACTCGTGTCAGCCACGGACGGGAATAAAAGTCGGGTCGTCGTGTTCACGGCGCAATGCAATTTCCACTGCACCACCACTCCCCAAACAACTTTGTAAATGTGGTAAAAGACAAAAAACAACTATTCACAGCACTAAGACTGAATTGCCAGCCAGTGCCATCATATTTTCACTTAGGCGATGACATCGTTTGAAGGAATAACAACATTTTACGCAACACGTTTTGACATCCAGCCAAGAGCTTCAGGAGGCACATAGTGAGCGATCGTCACCGACGCTTCTGGGGAATGAGCGACAGTGCAGAGTTGCTCGCTCGGTGTTCCACCGTGCGAAGTTGTTCGCCGCATCAACCGCACTACCGTGGAGGGTCCTTGAGCCTCCGGGGGCACCGCAGTGGCGAGATGTCAACTACCTCGCCTGCTGTGCAGGAGGTCGTGGGTTTCATTCCAACCCTGACGCCTTGATATTTGGAGTTTGCATATTCTGCTTGTGGTCGCGTGGATTTATATCCGGGTCCTCCGTTTGCATTCCCTCCACGTTTAGAATCAACACGAGTATTTGGCTGCCGTAAATGTCCACGTAATGGTAACCCATCATTTGTGGCCAGGTCGCTTCTGAAAAAGAGCTATAACAGCTCAACGGGGCCTTAGTGTAAGTTAAGTTTATATGTGCACAAGCTATCCGTAATCTTTCCGTATGTGTAGGCCGCAGCCTGTTATGCGAAACCACGAAGTCTTCGAGCTCGAGGGAGTCCCCAGATACCCAGGCAGAGCGTGTCCAGCGAAGCGAAGGCGGCAGCAGCGGCAGCAGCAGCCATCCTACGCTGTGCCACGCGATCGCGCACAGAGACGCTGGGCGACTCACAAAAGCCGGCGTCGGGATGTCCTGCACCAGGATCTTCAGCGGGATGGATTTCGGCTCCTCTTTGGCTTTCTCCGCTTCAATTCTCCTGCGGGCAACAAATGACGTTCGCATGCGAGCACACGTGGGTTGGATGTGTTCAATACCTGCCCTGCCCACATGTCCACGTGATGAGCCACTTTCGTTCAGCTATCACTCGTGGTCAGGTCGCTTCTGAAAAAGGGGCTTTATAGCTCGGTGAGCCTTACCTGGAAAAAAAAAAAAGTAAAATAGTAGTGGATAGAAATGTAGAGGGTGCAGGTGTGCGCTTGCTCGCCTACGCCAATGCTGGCGGTGCAACTTCCACTCGACAGAGCTTCAGAGAGCCCCTCTGAAGGGTATATGGCCGACTCCGAAACGCTAGCCGGACGTCTTGTAAGAGCGGTTGATAAGCGTGTGTGTGCGTGTGCATATATGTGTTGTGGGGAGTGGTGGCGTAGCGATTAGTGCACGGTTGCTAACATCCCGAGTTCGATTCCAGGCCACGGCTAAAATCAGCGGCGGATACCTGAACCGGTCAGGGGCCTTCTCAAGGTCAACTCAGCCTTAAATGAGTACCTCGTCTATATAATCGATAACAACGCTTGCCCCAACAGTCTGTAGAGACAGAGGGGGGAAACTTTCGTCTTTTTCTCACAGAGCTGTCGCACTCGTTACGATGATTGGCATGCTGCGCTCCGGTCCCGGCGATCAAGAGTTCCATCTCGAGCCGCACGCATCAGCGACCACCGTCGATTCACGTCCTGGACCTCTCTCCATGTCAATTTCAGACTAAAATGAGTACTGTGCTGACCGAGCAATCCCATCGTGTTTGTTTAACGTCTTTCACACTGTATATAGCGAACCGTGATAATCAGCGGTGTGAGTACCACCTCCAGGGGCGGAGTGGTCCTAGCAGCGGGCTTCCAGAACAGCACTCAGCCCCTCCAGTCTCGTACGGATATATGGGAGGGTCATTGTTTTTTCATCTACAGTAAATGTATAGGGGGATATTAGATAACGTTAGTCTGGGCAAACAGGATACCGACGGCGAAAGGCCAATGCGAGATTTTTTTGTTTAACCCACATTTAAAAAAATAAAAACTCCAAATACCCACAGCAAGTTGTAAAATAAAAATAAAAGCTAATCTAACGATCGTTGTATATTGTACGCATCCAAAGTGTTTTCGCGGATAAAATTTTAGTTGACCAAATCGGTGCAACGCACGCTTTGGTTTGAAACTAACACCGAGCGGCGATAAGCAACGCGACGCGAGCGAGTCGGCTCAAATTCTCACGGCCATAACTCACGCCGGGGAGCTAACGAGCTCGCCAATTAGCGGGGTCACGGCTACCTCACCGCGCAGCTACGGCGCGGAGAAGAGAGATGGAAAACGTTGTGGCGGCCGTTCCGTTTGTTCGGTCCACGCTCGCGGCAGTGGCAACGGCAAAGGAAACGTTTCCACCCGCGTTCACGAGTCGGAGAAACGGGGCAGCCGAGTACACAGTTGGCGACGTGAAGTGGGGGGCACGGGCAGAGGTAAAGGTGACATGGCTTGGTGGCGCAGTCGGCCAGACGACAATCTATCCTTGCACGTGCGGAGTCGATCACGTGGTGTCGATCGCGTGCGGTGTCGATCACGTGGTGTCGATCACGTGGTGTCGATCACGTGCGCAGCCTCGGGCTTCTGGCGGACGACCGAGCCTTGCCCGAGCTTCACGCACCGAAGCGTGCGGATGAAGTTCTGGGTTGCTCCCCTTGCCGATGGGGGAGGGGGGGGGGTATGAGGCATGAACGGTGAGAGCTGCCGTACCTGGTGAGCTCGGCGAACCATACGTCTCTGTCCTCTTCAGACCTATCGGGTAGGCGACACAGAGGAGCATGCATCATCACCGTCGTCGTCATCCTCATCATCACCGTCGTCATAAACTGCAGCCCTTTATCAATCTGCTGCTGCTGTTGCAAGAAAATCTCCCCAATCCGTGTTCAGTCACGGGGGTCATGTGATGATACGTCATCCTGTTGATCAGTGCCGGTTCAGATAACACTCACCACTGATGTTCGCCTTGGCAGGGAATCAAACTCAGTTTGCCTGGTTCAGAGTCATTTAAGTCAAGCGCTTCGTACACGGACTAAGAGAATGACTCAATTTAAAGCGCAGACTTGGCTAAAAATCAATAGGTTGTCCTCGACTCGACTCAGGCTAAAACTAGAATACAAATAAAATGTTGACTGAATCAGCACTGGCAACATATCTTTTCCCAAGGGCAAAAGCACTGTGCAATGGTATGAACCACAATATCCTCCGCCAAAATGCTTCAATACCTGTGAAAACAGCTGATTAATGTCCGGTTTCTATGTCACAGCCGAAGCGTTGAAAGCTCCCACATCATCACTTCCGCCGGAAAAAAAAAAAACACGTGTCCGTGATATTGAGTGGAAATGACATTTGTCTGCGAATATTCTTGTGAACCAAAATCCTTGGTCAATTTACACATGCATCCACGAGCACAGATGCAAATATGCATAGGCACGTACAAACTTACTGGAGTATTCATAAATAGGTGATCGGTGCAAGAAGACCATTCGCATGCATCAGCAACAAACATGTGCCAGAAGGTAAACATGCCCGCGCGCATACGTATATAAAGATAAAGATCCCCCATATAGCCTTAACAGACTGAAGGGGCAAGTGCTGTTAGTGAGCACCTATGAAGGCCGGAACGGTACACGAGGGGGTGGGTGGCCAGCACCACGCCCGACCGCCTTTGTCTCCCCAGTGGTGATGTTTACACACCGCACCAGGTACTCATTTAAGGGTTAGTCGACCTAGGGGAGGCCCAGGACCGGTTCAGATAATCGTCACTGGTGTTAGCCGTGAGCGGGAATCGAAGCCGGGTCGCCAGGTTCGTAGCGCAGCGCACTAACCGCTACACTACCGCTCCCCACATACGTATATACAAAATAAGAAACCTTGATTAGGCAAATCATGAGAAACCTTTGATTAGGGACATAACCTGTATTCCCTGTTTGTTAAAATGTGACGGAATCACTTTAACATGAAAGGTAGAGCGATGCCAGCGACTGCTGACAAAACGTGATCGACTCGAGAGGGAGGGAGCTCACGAGAGCCGCTCTGGAGGGTATCTGTGGCCTACTCTTCCACGCAGGGACACACATCGTGGAGAAAGTGGGGAGCACCCACGCTTTACCCCACCACATGCGCGACCTACCGATCGACTCGCTGCGGTGAATGCGTTAATTACCTTTAAAACACAAAACTATGAAACTTTTTCGATTTAAACGCTGTCTTTCCGACAGCCCTGTTCTTCACCTGAGGACAGCTGCTTGCGTTGTGGCCGAAACGTCGTGAGAATTGTATTTTATTATGTTTTATTTTATTATTTCCCTTCTACGTGACTTTACCAAAATAAAATAACCAAGAATATGAAACTTTGTGTTTATTATTTTACCAGGTAACAGCCCATTGAGCTATATCGCTCTTTTTCAGAAGTGGCATGGCTATCACAAATGATAGCTCAACAAAGTGGCTTATCACGTGGAAATTTTTAGCAGTCAAATGCTCCAAACGCATATTTCCAAATGTGGAAGGAAAAAACGAAGGACCCGGAAAAAAATCCACACGACCACGGTGAGAGAGACACGCAAACTCCAAATGTACAGGCGTCATTGTCTGGATCAAGATCGAACCCACGACCTCCTGCATACCAGCCGAGGGAGTTGACATCTCCTAGCCACCGCTACTACTGCTCTTTCAACTGCCGCGCCAGGAAATCGAACAAACAACATCGAGTCCAAGTCCAGCGCGCTCACCACCGCACCACGTCAGCATGCACAACATGAGTAAATAATGAAACCTCTAAAACATAAATAACCGCAATGCTTCTTTTGGACTGGCCCCAGGGAATGGAATTCAATCTTATGCAGAGATTGATTCGCTTCAATTGATTTAATTTATGAGCATTGCTTCATCACCAACAACAAAAACATTGCCGTGCGATTGCATAACGCTCGCGTTCAATTTCCCAGTGCCTCTATTATTGTTAATAACGATTTATTATTATTAACGATGACTGAATTGGTTGCCAGGGTGGCCAGGATGTGCGCTTGTCGCTGACGCGGCAGATTGCGTGCCTCGCTCCGAGCCTGGTTCGCTTCATTCCACAAACTGTTCCCACGGGCCACGGAATCCTTCCGCCCATTGGAATTGCAATTCGGACCGACAGCACCGTCATCATGAGAGCGTGAGAGAGAGAGAAGGCGAGAGAGAGCGAGCGAATGAGAGAGAGCGTGCGAGCGTGAGAGAGAGAGAGAAGGCGAGAGAGAGAGAGCGAGAGACAGAGAGAGCGAGCGAATGAGCTAGCGTGCGAGCGAGAGAGTGCGAGTGAGCGAATGAGAGAGAGCACGTGAGAGAAAGTGAGAGAGTGCGAGCGAATGAGAGCGAGAGTGTGTGAGTGAGAGAGTGCGTGCGAGAGATTGAGAGAGCGAGTGAGAGAGTGCGAGCGAGAGCGTGCGAGCGAGCGAGAGAGCACCATGGCCATACTTGCAATCGCACTTCTCAAGGGAAATTCAGGCAGCTGCAGAAACCTGTCCTGTTGAACCCTGAAGCCCTTTCTCTGCTGCTACCCCCCCCCGACTCTTCTTCCACCTCGTGCCCCCCCCCCCCTGTGCCCCCCTGCCTCGCACCCCCACCCCCCCCCCACCCTTTCCCAGGGGGACTTTTTTTTAGTCCCGCCGTTATCGCAGGAAACCAGACGACAGTCGCAACGCCGCTGGATCCGTGGACGCCTGCGGAATGCCGGAGCCCGGCGATGTTGCTCTTGGAGTCGGTTCACTTTCTCTTCCTATTATGGAGACGGCGGTGGCGATGGAGGTGGGGGGGGTGGGCTCAATTTGTTCCATGGGCTCTCATCAAAAATAACAAAAAAAGTCAGCTGCTGCTGTTTACTTAGGAAGCCCCGTTTCACGTCCACATTTCTAAAGTAGCACTGCTTTTGGAGGGAAGAGAAAAAAAAACGAGTCAGGAGGAGGAGGATTTCGCAAAAACACCGTTTGGGGCGGGCAGCAGCTGACATACGCGGTGTTTGCGCGTTGCCCATCGGGGGCCCTAAGGCAGAGATTATTTTTGGGGGGCTAGCCCCCCCCCAGCCCCACTCCCCTTAAAAATCATAAAATCTTAGTGAGAAGACAGAAGAGCTATCGGCAAGAGGTGGCGATGAGGTGAGGTGAGAGGAGATAGACGCAGGACAAGATTCGAGATGAGGGCGATTCGTTTTCTTTTCAAGTTGATTACCTCGTTACTGGTATGGGACAAACAATGCATTGGCAGTGGCGCATAACACCCAAAAAAGAAGCACAACTCAGCACATGCGCTAACAACTAAAAGTGAAAAAAGTACACATATACCACATATATAAATTAGGCAAACTAGCCAATAATATTTCTCTGCTGGGGGGCCAATGCCTGAAGTGACATCTATGATATGTTTAGTATTCCTTTTAAAGCAGCACTATCGATGCATGTGTTGAGTACGTTGATGCGAATGTTTGAATACGACCCTGGTATTTAATTCACCTTCAATCTATTTTCGTGAAGCCCGCAGTCCATCGAGCTGCTTTTACTCGCTTAGCGCCGCCGCCGCTGCCGCCACCCCCAGCGCTGATCCTTCTCTGCAAGTTCATCTTCTTTACAGCTGAACCCTTCCATTCCCCCGGGGCTCTGTTTACAGGCCCGCCGGATATTTCTCTTTGACGTGCGATTCTTTTTTACGACAGCCCAACCCACCCCGCCTCGCCTCGCTTTGTTTGGATCAGATTTCGGTAAAGTTTTGACGTCACAAGCCGCAGACTCTCGGACCCCGAGTAGGTCCCGAGAAAAAAAAAAACGCCCCACACGACCGATAATTTTCCGCAGACATTCTGATTGTGACCCAGAAGGCAACGCTGTTTACTCAACTAAGGGCCATGAAAACGAAATGTGGGCCATGTGACGCTGTATACTTTGCACCGGCTATCGCCAAAAAAAAAAAAGTTTACCAAACTGAGAGCCTGCCTTTCCAAAATCTCTTCAAAATTGTCACCGCTACACTGCGGCTACTTCCATTGATATATGGCGGTCCTCTCAACGATGAGCACGGTTGGCTACGTACGGTGCGAAAGAAGTTCAACATACATACATGAACGGGCGCTAAAAGCCAGCAGTGCCAACGCAGGTGGACAAATGTTGACGGCAAAAACAAGAGAAAGCCACTCGGTGCCTGTAGTTGCGCACACATTATTCTCGTTGGCCATGGTCAATCCACTGCTGGATGAAGGCTCGCCCCCAAGGCTGCCACCATCTCTCACGAATCCTGCGATGCAACGCCTGCACAGGACCTCGTTCCATCGCTGCATCCTCGCAGCGCCGCATTCTCTCGGGCGCGTTCTCCCGCGTAAAGCGCCTGCCATCAATCCCTTCTCGCGATGTGTGCCCTGCCCAAGCTTTGAACGGCGTCACATTTGCGCAAGTGATTGATAACTTTGATCCCGACCTGTGTAATATGGACAGTGCAATGTGAATGTGCCACTTGATTGAGGGACTGCTACTGCTATGTGGCGGTATCTTGGTGTGGTCTGCAAATGTTTTTTTGTTGTTTTTGCTGCTTTGCCAAAGCGTGGCAAACATCAATTTATTTATTATGTATTTATATTTAGTGATCTAAACTTTCTCTCTATTTTTCACTTCTATCGTTTTTGTTGTATTGATTGTTGTTGTAACTCGCTGACCTGTCCCACACTGGACATCTGTGAAAAAGAACTTCATGGCTCATCGGATTTCCTCCCGGAGTCTAAATAAAGATTCTGATTCTGAATAAACAAAGGCAACCGGCGTATGGTCTCTCATCTCCGAGTGCCCCTCTGTCTCTTTCTCTCTCTTTCTCAATGTCATTTCAAGCGTGCGTCTCTATCACTGCTTCTTTCCAACATTTATTTTCTCCATGACCGCATCGCCAATCCCGACACCCTCCTGGGCAGAGAGCAACCGCCCGCTGTGACAGACGGACACGTTTACAAGGGCAGAGACGTGCCAACGCCATCCCCTTCACGGTTGAGAGAAACGCGGCAGTGTAATTAAGTCGCATGACATGGATTTCTGGTGGATCGGCGCTCCGAGAGAGAAACGTGAAAGTAAACCGTGATAAGTGATACGTTATGAGCACACCCGGTCCACTTGGCAAGCGCATTTTACGCTGGAGGGCGTGTGCCATACAAGTGAGAACGCATCCAAAATATTTACCGCAGACTCAAATATCATACGTAAAAAGGTCAGGCTAACTTATCCGTCAAAGACGAATGCTTGTTATGGCTTGCTTTTTTATTTTGTTCCTGACCAATAAATTAAGAAAAAGATGGTTTAGCTTCAGCGAAAAATAGCGTGAGAGTTTGTCAAAACAACTTTTTGATCCGTAACGAAGATATCAACGTTCTCCATACCACAGTGTGCCCACTGCAGGATGCGATTCGTCACAGATGGCGAGAACACAATTTAATTAACCGCAAACTGACCCAAGGCGAAGTATTTCCATGGTTTAACAGCGGATCTGCACTGAGCGGCGCAGTGGGGTAGGGAATATCCCAAGCGCTAAAGAACAGCTTGTGGAGAAGGAGACTTGCTTTGAGATTGAATTAGATATTACGATTCTGTTCCTGCGTACAATGGCAATATGTTCAAGAGCTCAATGCCAATGTCGAGATCTGCCAGCCACGAGAGGCCTGCATCAAGAGAATGTGTAGTTTTGCTCTTCCTCCTCCGTTGAATGTGTTTGGGTGATTTGTTTACCTTTCTTGTACTTTGCACTAACATCGTGTGTTTGTGTTGTTTGTTGTTGTAACAACGTTCTTACCCCATGCCCCTACTGGACATCTGTGAAAAAAGCTTCATAGCTTATTGGATTCCTCCGGTATAAAATAAATATTCTGATTGTAAAGGAGCACAGACTACAGTGGTTTACTCTGCGGTCCATAGTTTTGATTGCATGGCCACAATTAAATTACTGCAGCTCGTATCTTTAATGTTCTATTCGTGAATGAGATGTGCGCAGTGGGCTGTTGATGTTCTGATGCCCTTGATGGTTCCACCACCGGCGACTCTGAGGAACGAAGTGAAAGCCAGGAGGTGAGATGTTTGGGTCTTGAATGATGTGTTTGTCTGGGCGTCCGCGTTGTTACACTCCAATTTGATATTAACGTGTCACCAAGATGGAACGCGTCCTGGAGTATGGATGTATGTATGTTGAACTTCTTTCGCACAGTACATAGCCAGCCGCGCTAATCGGAGGTGATGATTTGGTCACATGCAATGCATATACAGAAACGAGACTGTTCACTCCAATTCCCTGCGGTCACCCACTCAACCGGGCGGTCATTCGCCTCCTCATCACTCTGCTATCACTACGATCATGGTTCCTGTTCCCATCAGCTTCGCTCATCGATTCTTCCACCCGAGTTGAGAACACGGTCTACCAGACCGACTGCCTCGAACCACCATGCCCGCTGTCGGCAGCAACACCTCTCCTGCTTTCCGCACACCGATCCACTCCCACCCCAGCGCCTCTTATTCCTCAAATTCTTTTAATAAACCTGGCTCAAATGTAAGCAAATGATCATCCGTTATTCAATAAATCGTCTTGGAGAGTGCTGTTTGGTGTTGCCGGCCGCTTGGCATATGGGGCCTGTGTTCGGTAAACTTGGTGAACAGAGCCACGAAGTGTCCGGCAAACGTTGACGGCCCCTGACAGTTTTTTCCCACCACTTTGTGAGTGTGTTGTTTTTATTACTACAGACGTGAACATTCACACGCGATTCTTCGTAATTTGGCTCTCTCAGTGCGTCACCTCACTGCGAGGGGTGACTGCGGTTAACCAAACTTCTCCTTAGCTATTCACAATCAAACGCTGAAAACTGGAACTACGTATTCGAGAGTGAAAATACGAAGTGATATCCTAATCAAGTGAACACAGGCAGGGCATCTCATCTCCTGTTTACAACCCCGAGCCGGGCAGTGAAAACTCCACATTCCTATGGACAGGGGTAAGTCAACAGGACAACCCACTGTAGCCGCTAAGAAACCCAGAGTCATCCGTCAACTAGACTTCTGGTCTCACGCGGTGTGAGCTAAAGCGTGGCAAGGTATATCCCGGCTTTGGCAGTCCCAGTTTCACGAGCGGAAATTTACCCCGGTTTGACAATTCTGGCCTAGTGCTCGACTCGTGCTACGGGCCAAGGGAGGGCCTGCCCGAGTAGGGGGGGGGGATGGCAGAGGCGTAGGTGGGGGGGGGGGGCCTATTGGAGTAGCAAACATCAGAGAGAGTGAAGCCGCCGCTCACTGTGTGCGCGGTGCTCGTGATTGAGTGTAAATGTGGGCGGGGAGATGGAAGGACGGGGAGGGAGTGGGCCTTAGTTTCTGCTATAATTTGGCTGGAATTTCGCCACGCTCAGTTGACGGGAGGTGGCAAGAAGGTGGGGGGGGATGGTGGGGGGGGGGGGGATGGTGGGGGGGGGGATGGTGGGGGGGGATGGTGGGGGGGGATGGTGGGGGGGGACGGTGGGGGGGGGGCGTTCCATTCTTTTTGACGCGTTGGGCCACAGAGGGTGCTCTCATGTGTGATGGGGCTGCCGCAGGGGATGGGTATTTGAGGGTGTTTGTGTTGTTGTGTATGTGAACGCAGCAGTAGCAGTACACAATGGCGTTCACGTTATATTTCTTAGAAGCCCTAAAAAAAGCCGTAAAAACCAGATAATAAAAACCTTGAAAAAAAAACAACCAAGACGATGTGAGGGAGCCGACAGCTCAACGCGCGTCCCGGATGAGATCCCCAGGGACGCGGCGGGTTTCTCCGCAAGCGTCGCCAAACCTGAAGGTGACGACGTGGTTGGTGGTGGGCCACCCCATGACGAAGGAGCAGAGCGGCGGCACGGTGGCCTCGCACACGTCGCCCAGGCAGGAGGCCGTCCACATCTCGCAGAGACGCACGGCAGTCTTGGGCTTCACACCGCCCGACCTGCAGAGATCGTCCCCCAACACCGGCAACGCACGGGATCCAGTTGTTGTTGTTGTTGTTGTTGTTTGTTTTTGGAAACCCTTGTTAGCGCCATTACCGTGACCTCAGGATCAGAGATGATTATTTAGGCCGGAGGAATCCGATGAGCCAAGAAGCTCTTTTTTTACACAGACGTCCAGTATGGGTGGATCAGCGAGTTACGACAGCCGTGGAGGTGTAGTGGTCTCCCGCAATGGAATCGCAATCCAGAGGTTGGCCGGTTGGATCCCCCAGCAGGAATTTTTTTGTTTTAAATCCCCCGCCTCTGTCCACCGAGCAGTATAAATGTGTCCACCGGAGTGAGTCGATCGCCAGAGTGAGTCGTGTGGTGGGGTGAAAGATGTTGGACCAGTGTGGAAGACTATGGAAAAACACCCTCCTTCAGTATGTATGTACGTAGAACTTCTTTCGCACCGTATGGAGCCAACCGTGCTAATCGGAGGTGCGATTAGCAGGGTGCTGGCAGGGGCTCTCAAGAGCTCCCTCTGGTGGATGCCCTTCTGCCAGCAGTGTAACGAGCAAGCAGTTGCATGGCTGCGGCTTTAACCTTTTGCTGTGAACCAACACAATTGAAGCAAAAAGCTGCAGATTTTTAAACCCTTTTCGTGCACACCGATTTTCAAGGATAATCAGAGTGCTTTATATACGCAGTATATATAAAAATAATAAAATTTATTTTTTCTTCTAATTTTAGCATTGAGAAACTGGTACGCCATTATAAAAGGATTTAAATTGGCAGAGTTGGCAGAGATTTCAGGGTCACACTATCATTTGTTTTGTCGTCCCGGTGGTACAGTGCTGAGCACAATTCCTGAACATCTTAGCCTGCAACAATGCTCTTAACATGAGCCAATGATTAATGCCCCAATTTTATTTAATCATCGTCATCGTTACGAAAGGTCGATGCGGTGACTTGCGTTCCTTACACAGCCAGTTTTTTCGTGCAGCCTAATCATCTCTACTGCATGATCAGCATTTCGCAAAGGACTTCACCGACTCCCTGATGGACATGATCAGAGTATTAATTATTCAGAATAATGTAATATTTTCGAATTAACTGACCTTGCCACTATATCATCCCACTTGAAAAGGCCTTGCCACTATACCATCCCACTTGAAAAGGATGGTGCTCAGAAGCCAAATTCAATGGCGAGATTGCAAGCTTCGAATTGCATTGAGAGACAGCACAGGAACGAACACGTCATCGTTCAAATGTAAGCGAGCTTCGGTGGGACACGTGATAGCTACGAGGGTCAAATGATTGGTCAAGACGAACAATGGAGCAGCAAGATGGCGGGCACCGCGTCACGCGGCGCTTTGAGGTGCGCTTCTGCGGCCGTCTGGAACGCTCTTCCTTCCGATATAAAGGAAGCCACAGGGAGCTATGCACTTTAAAATTAACTCGGATTGACAACTCGTTTCCTTACAAGTGATTTTTTGCATTTAGTTTGTAGTCCTTCCCACGCACCTCAGATTAGCATGGTTGGCTACATACGTTGCGAAAGAAGTTCAACATACATACAGTCACTTCCCCTATGACGCCACGTTTTCATGATGCAAATTTAACACAACGCGATGGATTTATTGGGGAACACATTTTTTATAACGCGGATGCGAATTAGATATAACACGATTAAATTAACAGAACTACATCACGCCAGTATAAATAAGCGGTTGTTGGGCTGCCTCGGTGTAACATCACACGAGGCGGGATGCTGCTGGATGCTTCTAGAGGCTACAACAACAAACACATTCACCATAATCCGAAATGACCAGATTGGCTTATCTTCTTGGTTCTTTCGGTAAAGTCACGTAGAAGGGAAGTAATAAAATAATAAAGATAAAACATAATAAAATTATTCTCACGACGTTTCGGCCACAACGCAAGCAGCCGTCCTCAGGTGAAAACCAGGTCTGTCACCTGAGGACGGCTGCTTGCGTTGTGGCCAAAACGTCGTGAGAATTATTTTATTATGTTTTATTTTTATTATTTTATTACTTCCCTTCTACGTGACTTTACCGAAAGAACCAAGAAGATGAATCTCTGCAATCACGAAAGCTTTAAATCGAAATCAGCTTGGCTTACTTGTATTTTGCGACGATCAAGGTGCTGGGGAAGAGGATAAGGCACCGCTCCTGGGACTGCAGGCCCACGTGCAGCGTCACGTGACTGACTAGCTGCACTCCGTCCACCCCTGGCTGCACCGGCGCCAGGAGGTCCGTCCAGCGCGGTTTCACGCTGTTGGGGAGAGGGCTGCTAGGCGAGGCCGTGGTCCCGGCCTCCCCAAGCCTCCACGGGCCCAACTGGAGCGGCGAGCTCGGCGACAGGACGCCGTCGCTGCAAGCGAATTAATCAGAAGGTCAAAGAAGTTAAGATTAGCAAATCATGATGCTCGTGGCCACCCTCTGGAATTACCTTTTTATTTACCAAGTAAGGCCCACGGAGCTGTATAACTACTTCTTAGAAGCGATCTGACCACAAATTATAGCTCAATTAAGTGGCTTATCACATGGAATTGTGTAGCAGCCAAATACTCTAAACACGTGGTGACGTTGATTCTAAATGTGGAGGGAAAACCCGGAGGACCCGGAGAAAGATCCAAGCGACCGGGGGGAGAGAGACACGCAAACTACAAATATACAGGCGTCTGGGTTGCGATCGAAGCCATGACCTCCTGTATACCAGGCGAGGTAGTTAACTTCTCATCACCGCAGCACCCTCCTTAGTTAACTCCATGTGGTCCCCCTCTCTCTCTCTGCTTTCAAGCCTCTCCACAGAACCTACCTCGTCAACGGTGCCTTTGGACTCCGCTCATTGCTACCTTGCTCTCCCGCTCCCACTCCCTGTCACGCTTTGGGTGTAATTTTAAATCCTGAGATGTTTGTAACGTTAAGGGTGCATCGCAAACAAATGTTGTTTATTTTATTTTAGTGTAGCCGTTTCAAATGTACAGATTTACGCAAAATGCTTTGCAAGTGTGATCGGGGTTTAATTTCAGCTGGGCCTGCCTGGGTTGGTTGCCTGAGAGAGAAAAACACGTTCAGCACCCTGCACACCACATCCAGTATACTACCCAGAGGCGGCTGAGGCTGCTCGTACTATGCAGCCTCCTCCAGTCGACCAGGAACCCGCAAAATATTCGGTGATAATTTAAACCCAGAAGTATTATGCTAAAGAAATGAGAATTGCATGAATATTTCATGTCTACATATAACGCGTATGGAATAAGTAAGAGGTGAAGTAAAATGAAAACAGGATTTTGTCACAAAGCAGCAGAAAGGAAGATCTTTTTTTTTCTCAGCAAGGAATCAGTCAAAACATCAACATCTTATTTTACTCAGCGGCAGACGGAAAAGCGTGGGATTTCATTGTAATTTCCCACAATCTATTGTGCTAATCCACTGGCAAACTAACACATTATATATCCATGTGTACACTCAGACAAGGTATATTAAAGTCTTGCACAACAATATTTTTAAACGACTGCGCAACCGCTACAGAGTTTAGCTTTATTAAAAAAACTATGACATATACACATATATCTGCTTTGTGTTCATTTAATTTGGCATTCAAAAAAATGTTGACATTTGTTTAAACAAGTGTCAATATTTCCTTTTAAATATTGCATCATTTTATTTGTTATGATCGCGTTGAGTAACAAGGTTTGGTTGGGAAAGGCGCCAGGTTAGCAAAGACTCTGTGTATGTGGGTAATGCAAGGAAAGCCACACTGACACAGACACCTGTGTTTCCAATATGCAACATTTGTATTGGCTGACTGCAGTGTTAAATAGCTGTGCTTCCTCGGGAGTAATGAAAACGACACACCACTCATTTGTCTTGGCCACTTCAGCCCATTGTGCTTTGGCAGGACAAGTTAGATGGGATAGTGTGGGTAACTCCTACATCTGGGTAGTGTGGATTAGGCCAGAAAACCCTGTAGAGGGGCCCTTCGGCCAGCAGTGACGAGCAATTGCAGGGCTGCACCTTTGCTTTTTACATAATGTTTTGATCAAATCCATTTAACAAACAGCCCTGTGCCTTAAAAAAAGCACGATAATGAGCGAGGAATAACCCCCCCCCCCCCCCCCACAATCTTTCAGACGTACCTCATCGTAACGAAGGCAACTCTCGATCGATCGATTGATCGAGAAGAAATCCAGTGAGGGAAAAGCAACGTTTAGCGCGAGGAGCCACACATGTCGGCAAACGGCTCCGGGAACGTCTCAAAACGACGGCAGGCACGCGCAGATGTGGGAGCGACGGGCAAACGTTCACGATTGCGTTTCTGTCGGGGCCTGCAGGAACGTGACTTCCTTGTGCGAGGCCGGTTATCGGCAGGGTACAACGCCTCTCTGTAAAACCGCCTTCTAACCGCCCCCAAGAGCCACAGGATTTATAAAAACTAAAAAAAAAGGATAACGAGCTCGCCACACATCAAGGCGCAAACTGTGCAACAAAAGACACATTTGAAGAATTATAAGCCACTCGCCCGCCTTTAAATCACCCTTTAATAACCCTGTGTAAAAACGCACAAGGCGATGTAGTCGTCTTGATACTAGTGATGAAAATGCTTGTCGTGGTTTAAATATACCATTAACTTGACTAATGGCTCTGCCTGCAGTACTTTATTAATTCTAGGCAAGCGGATAATTAGGCTGCAATAAGAGGTTTTTGTTCATCCAATCCGCCAATCAAGCGCAACAATTCTAATTATTTCTCTACGTGTTTCAACTTAACCGCTGCCACCATCCTAATTAAGCTGAAATGGCCTCATATTTGAACCGAGCTGCTGCTGCGCTGACAATAATATGATTAATTGCAACCCTATCAACTCACTCTTACCCAAAACCCGGTCGAGGCTGTTCTTTGAGGAAGAAGGAAACGTCGCGTGTTGGTCAATTAAGAAGCCAGTTTAAAAGTAACTCTGCTTCAGCCATACACATTCATGGTTACCATTCAAGTTTTTTTTTTAAGAAACTGCCCAACCTGTTAACATGTCGCCAAGGTGGCGAGAAGTTAACGACCTCGCCTGGTATACGGGAGGTCATGGGTTCCATCTCAACCCAGATGCCTGCTGTGTATTTGGAGTTTGCGTCGTTCTCGCCCCCCACCCCCCATCGGGTGGATTTGTATCCGGGTCCTCCAGTTTTCCCTCCACATTTAGAAACACGCGTTTAGAGAATTTGGCAGCTATAAATTTCCACGTGATAAGCAACTTCGTAGAGCTATAATCTGTGACCGGTTCGCTTCTGAAAAAGAGCTCTATCGCTCAGTGGCCCTTCCATGGTAAAATATAAAATAATAAACGAGTGTTGTGTTCCCATCCCGCCCCTTTACTTCGCTAATTTGATCCGGGAATGCCTTGAAGGCTCAGCCACGAGGTGTGCTCCAACAATGACCTTCATTTGTTCCATGAAGCGGTTCCATCTTGAGCCCAACTGGACGGCCTTCATAACCGAGTTCTTCAATCAATCCCCAGATATGTTTTCCCAAAAGGTTGCCAGATTGACGATTTTTTGTTATCAGCAAATGAGATGGTTTATAATGCTCCACGTTTGTTTTTGCCCTCGTAGCTCTAAATTAATTCTTCACAAAACATCTTATAATGTTGCCGTGAAGAACTTTGAGGCAGCAGCGTATCTCCTTGCCTGACTTCCCCCCTGATATGCAATTGGCTTGAGACAAAATGTTTTTTGTTTCATAACTTCCCAACACTTTATTTACTTATTTAAGCCTTGGTTTTGAGAGCTTGGACGACTCCATCATTTTCTACAGAGTAAAATGCCATGTTATAGTCTGCAGTGGCTATGAATAATGTTATTTGATTTACATTGATTTGGTCTTTTCCTGCATTTGATTAATAGTATGGATCTGGCTTGTTCAACTGGTCGGTTAGCCTTGTTCATTATTCTGTTCCAAATGATCTTCACGAGCTATTTGTATGAAAGAATGCCGACTGATTTGATTTGTGGCCATGATTGTGTGAACTCCACGTACCTATGGCAGTGGCCAGTCTATTCATATGACTCATTTACTGACCACAGGGATGAGATACTGGGCTGGGTTGACCTTGACCGAGACTTCAACTCATAACCTCCCGTTTCTACCAGCACTCGTCGACAATGCCAACCCATACAAATTATGCACTTTAAGGGCGCTTTATCATCGGGAGTCCCAGCAGGAAGTTCTTGCTCAAACACATGCTGCTGTTTAACCTAAGTCCTAAAGGCCCAATGGCCGACAAGACATTCAGTTGTTTCACCATTACGTGGAGATAACGAACGGAAAGGCGGTTACAATTAAACATGTTCTTGCGGTAGTTTTGCGCGTTCTCATACCGTATATTTCCGCGAGCCTACGAACCCGACTACGAACTCAAGTAACCACCACGAAAAGGCCACTCGAGTCGAGTCAACTCAAGTGCACTTAACTGAACCCAAGTTGGCTGTCAACGGAAAGCAGAGTTGGGTGCTCCAGATTATTTACCTAATCGATTACTCTACTGATTATTGATTCGGATAACACGAAAATATTTGGGAACAAAAATTCTCACGTCCGTCCGTTCCCATGTGTGCCGCTGGACGGGAGGTGATGGGTGGGGGTTTGATCACGTCACTGGCATCATCGGACACACGCCACGCCGAGCGTGGCTTCCAAGGGAAGCCGCCATTTTTAAAGTGTTCCCCGAGTAATCAACCATGACACGTGTCATTTAAAGAAACAAAACAGCACAATTTTTCGATTTAAAGCTTTCGTGACTGCAGGGATTCATCTTCTTGGTTCTTTCGGTAAAGTCATGTACAATGGAAATAATAAAATAATAAAAATTTAACAGGTCTGTCGGGAAGACAGACTCTGTCTTCCCGACAGGCCTGTTCTTCACCTGAGGACGGCTGCTTGCGTTGTGGCCGAAACGTCGTGAGAATAATTTTATTATGTTTTATTTTTATTATTTTATTATTTCCATTCTACGTGACTTTACCGAAAGAACCAAGAATAAAAACAGCACCAATTATATATATATTGTTAATTAAATATATTTTCCTATTTAGGGCAGAGTTAGTGACGACAGTGTTAAGCGTTTGCGACCTGCGCTTCTGCACCACTGCCAAGCTAGTGGCCACGCATTTTTTCTTGAATGAAAAAAAAGTAATACATTATTCATCTTTCCGCCCAATCAATCGGCTCAATAAGACTAATCGTCCCCAGACGAGATGGAGACTTAGCAAATTATCGAAACTAAATTGGGGGTGGCCAGCCGGGTCGCTGTGTGCTGTGCGTGACGGCGTGGAGAGGCTTGCCTGAAGCCAGCGCAGCGCTTGTCGTTGAGCGCGGGTGCCGATTTCCGGCGCTGCAGCAGCATCTTCCTCGTCTTGTGAAACAAACGCAGACAACACCGGCACGGCAGCGCATCACCACCAACACCACAGGAGCCAACGCAGTTTGTCATCCTTCTCCCCCCGCACCTGCGATTCGCACGGCTGGCTACGCATGCTGCGAAAGAAGCTCAATGTACGTACGTACAAGCCGCCGGTAGCATTATGACAAGTGCAAATGTTCAGAGAGGAGGCTTGAGGAGCATGTCCTGTATTCTTGGGATGCTGCTGCGGTGCAGTGGTCAGTGCACTGGACTTGAAATCGTCAGGTCGCCGGTTCGAGTACCACCACAGTTAGTCCATTGGCAGGTTGCCTTTGGTAGGGTAAAGTGCGGTTACTCCGATATCCTCCAAGTTGTCTGGGCAGCATGGAAGAGAAGACCAAGGCACCCTAGAGAGTCTACAGGGGCTCTCTAGAGCTGCCTCTCTAAGTGGGGGCCTTTCCTTCAGCAGAGGCGCGGGAAAGCAGTTGAAGGGCTGCACCTTTAATATGCACACGTGCATAGTAGTGTGTAGCAAATGGTTCTGTATGGCATATCACTGGGAATGAATTATGGGGCATTTTCCGGTGTAGATAGTGACCGACAGAAAACTACTCACTGATTCTAGATTTGAAGCTTTCGTGACTGCAAAGATTCATATTCTTAGGTTTTTTCGGTTAAGTCACGTAAGTAAAACATCAAAATAATAAAAAAAAAATTATTTTATTTTTATTTTGATGTTTTACTTACGTGACTTAACCGAAAAAACCTAAGAATATGAACTACTCACTGGTTTGTTAGCACTCATCTTCACGGGGCAATCAATATTTGCAAGGAATTTACTACTATGAGCCAAGAATGTCTGTGTGTCCCGCGCGTGACGTCACTCCACGTCGACCAGCCCCCCTCATTAATAATCATGAACAGGTTACGTCCTCCACATGGACCCCCCCCCCTCATTAATAATCATGAGCAGGTGACCAGGTGACGTCACTCCACATGTAGCACCCCTCATTAATAATCATGAGCAGGTGACGTCTTCCAAATGGACACCCCCCGCCATTAATATTAATTAGCGGGTGACGTCACTCCACATGGGGGGGTGGCGAGGCGCTCCCTCCTCCCCCCTCCTCGGCGTCAACTCACAACCCTCACTACAAAGGCCGAACCCTCACGTCATCATGTGGTCTCCGTAGCGCTGTTGAGACATCAAAGTAAATAGGACGTCATGATGAACAAGGGATTTATACCTTTAAATGAAATAAGTCTGTGTCACCGCGGCCTTACAAATTGCACGCGAATTGATGCAATGAATATATCACGTCGCGCTCTGCTTTTCGCTTGCAAGTTTCAGATTTACTGAAACACACTCGTCCTTGGACGGGCAAAAGGCGAGTGTTTAAAAGGTCGTGGATTAAAAAGTGCCTTTGACGTGCCCTCAGAAGTAGTTCTGTAACATCACCTTCTCAGGCCCGTAACCCTGACATGGGGTGACAGATTGTTGCTTGCAGCCAACATTAATGTCTCTTGACACAATACTAAGAGAACACTTGAATTAACAGTACTCTCCATGTACAGTCCTGTTGTTAATCCACTGCTGGATGAAGGCCTCCCCCACGCCATGATGGTGTGACTATACTTCACCACGCTGGTTACTGGCGGGTTGGCAAAACCGGGCAGCATAGACATGAAGAGCATAAATGTACCGTACATGACAACAATGGCATTTTGCCGCACTCATTTATGCTGCTCACAATATAGTCTCAAAAGCTATGATGCCCCGTTGTACATGGTCATCACCCATCCCAGCACTATCCAGGATTTAGCCTTCGGAGATCTGACGAGGTCGGATGCGTTCCCGGTCACGTGATCAGATGTGGAATGGGCAAATAATAAAATAACATAGAAACTGCAGTCCCACAAATTGTATCAACGCAGATGGTTTTCCATACGACAGCTTATTTAGTGCAACACTTAATGACGTCAATGCAAATGCATGCCTTGCACAATAATTCATAATTAAAATAAAGGGAAATTATATTCCATCATATAGTTTTTGTTGGGGTTAGATCGCGTAAATATAAATGTGTCGTTAAACCCGCCACCACCCGACATAGCCAATTTGTAAGGTTTGTCACGTTCACAGAACATGCCAATTCGTTATTAGTACAGCACACCGGTGTGTTGGAGAGCAAATCCACATCTACAATCCGAGTACGACGTTTCGCCAGTATTTACAACTAGCACCATCAGGCGGACAGCCAGATTATATAATTATCGGCGAGTTAACATTACAATTGATCGTATACAACGTGTTCATAAATACAGGGGTGCCCATCCACCATCGCCACCAGCAGCCATGATCAATCCACTGCTGGATGAAGGCCTCCCCCATGCGGTCGACACATCTTTAAATACATTTCCGCAATGTAACGATCCACCCACCCAACACCTGGTGCACGTTGAACTTCTTTCGCACCGCACGTAGCCAACCGTGCTGACCGGAGGTGCGGGGGAAGGACCAACGCACTCAGCACAGGACAACAAAACTAAACTCGCGAACATGATCCCGATTTCACAGCTCCATCTCCCGGGTGGTGCCCCCCCCCTGCCTCTTGGACGAGCTTCGCGGTCTCGGGACACGACCGTCCGTCTCGCTCCCGCAGCCGACCCCATCGCTTCATCTCCGCGATGGTGGCGTCCTCTCTCCAGGCGCGCGTGTGCTCGTGCCGAACGCGCATGGAGGCCGAACACGCGAAAGCCCACGGCGAGTTTACACACACACACATAGAGCTGTCAACCCACGCGGTGTAGCCCGTGTTTTTTTGTACGGGGAAAGTGAGTTTTCAGGTTTATTTGTTTGTGATGGGGCTTTGCAGGATGAACCTTGAGATTTATAAGAGGCACGGGGTGAGCAATAAGGTCTGACTTGGTCTGTAATAAGGTAGGCCACTGATAAGGTGTTGACAGGTATATGGTATACGGTCGACGTGTTTACTGTGTGTTCCACGTGTGGCTGTGGCTCCACGTCGCGAGACGTCGCTCTGCAGCATCCTTCACTGCAGGCGCCTTCTCAGTGTCTCACCGTGCGGTTACTCAACGTGGCAACCCTGAAGGGGTGGTGATGGTGGTGGTGATGATGGAGCCAGGTCAACTCTGCCAATGCGAGGGGGGGGGTAACAGCCACTCACTCTACCGACCGAGCTGTTTGATCATTATAATGTAATGTATTGGTGCACACTTGTTGATATGTACAACGGGTCGCCGGGTTTGTAGCGCAGTGCGCTAACCACCTGACAATGACAAGGACAAAGATCCCCCGTATAGCCTTAACACACTGTTGCGGCAAGTGCTGTTAGCGAGCACCTACGCAGGCCACAATGGCACACACGTGTAGTCTACAGTTGTACCGGGTTAAGTGGCGTTGTTAGCTTGTGACAGCGCTCCAAGCTCGCCCACTTAATTGGAAACCACTCAAGTTGTCAATATGGGTAACCCGATCTCATCTGGCATTCGATGATGCAGATGACAACTACGCTGCTTGTGTTGATATGTGCTCTATAATTATGTCTCCTAAGCCCATTAACCATCGGGGTTCTTGGTTTTCTACTTTCACACAAACGGAATTTTTTTTTTATGTCACGACCCTTGCCAGCGAGCTGTTTGTTGTCGTTATCTGGAAAAGGCATCCCGTGGATAAGAGCTCACACAGCAAGAACACGCTTGTCGTGATGGGTATAGGTCGCGTCGCTACTACGCTTCTCTTCCTAGAACGTACATCACAGTTAGAACTTGGCAGACGAACACACAAAACTAAATTTGTTCAGCCGCATTCGGGAGTGACAGAATATTCACGCGACGATTACATAAACACGCTTCGCGTGACACTTGTGTGTGTGTACGTGAAGTTACCGCCGTGCAAACTTTTTTGCCTATAAAGCACAAATTTGTTTGGCTCGTCGGCTATGGTCCCACTCCAAACAATTTTGTTCCCTAGCGATTTAACAACGTAGATAATATAGACAACGATAATGTGGTGGCATTGTTACGCCACATGGCGATATAGTCGAGGCTGGCGTTATGCTTAAACAACATCAGGTTCCAAGTAACAATTCAGTAGTGGATTGGCAATGGACGCTGTCAAGAAACTCACAAAATCTGACCCGATTTAAAGTCATAATACAGTAAGCAAGATGCCATTTGGCAGCAATGATTACCCATCATCATTATCACCAGCCGTGGTCCATTAAGTGGTAGTCGGTAAATGCTGCATTTGTACAACATGCCTTTCTGGAATTTTGAATAAGCGTTAAATATGATAAGTTGCGGACATTGGAAAGTGTTAACTTAAAGCTTTCGTGACTGCAAGAATTCAAATTCTTGGGTCTTTCGGTAAAGTCACGTAGATAGGTTCTAAGAAAAGAACAAAAAATAACAAAAAACTACGTTTCGATCGCAAGCGCCGTAGATTTTTTGTTATATTTTGTTATTTTCGTTGAATCTATCTCCGCGACTTTACCGAAAGACCCAAGAACATTGTATAAGCGATGCATAATATCAGTAATAATGAACACTCTCACCTTGCTTGTAATCTTGTGTCCATGTGTAGATCTGCTTAACGTATGCATATCCAGAGGCACCAGCACCTCCATATGGACATCAACGTCTTTTGTTTACAAAGTATCCACACGTACACTCTGGGGCATTTCTGTACGACTATTACTCCAGTACTGTACTATGCTTAAACATCCACACGGATGACAAAACTGTGGTGGTGGTGGAAACGCACACACGGCACAGCGTTGACCACACCGCACCAAATCGCTTGGGACACACAAAAACGATGACTAACGACGCACAATCACATCCCCGGGGGCACTGTGACACACTTGAACCAAGCACAACGAATCCGGGAAACGTCGCGCGAACAACGCACGACCCCTTCGCTGGCAACTCTGGAACGCCTCGAGCCGAGCAGCACCCCGCCAGTCCGCGTGGAAGCCCGCCGACTTTTATCTCGCCCCGCACATTGTGCGGTCCACCCTGCTGCCCACTGCAGATATCGCCACTCTCTCTCTGTGCCTTGCCTCCTCTCGCTCGCAGACCCTCACGCCCATAAAGTCCCCAACCACAAGCAGAGTCGCAACCCACACCCCTCCCCAATGGGAGAGAAACGACTGGACGAGTGAAACAACAACAACATCCTCCCGCCTGCCTGCCTACCTACATACCCAGCCACCAGCTGCTCATGCTACCAGCTGGCTGCTATAAACGTTATCCACGCCCAGAGGTTTCTATGCTTGCGAATTGGCAGGCGTAGTAAGTCCGGCGGGGGGGGGGGGTCAGATGCCAAGTTCGAGGTCTGCTCGCCACGACGAGAGGGCTTTCAGGAGTTTATTTCTCCTGTAGTTTTGTGTTGCTAATTCCTCTATGTGACCATGTGGCCCATAGACCTACGTTGCACACAGACTAACATTGTCCAGAGAGTCTTCTTATTCTTGCGTATGACAACATGTTTAGGAGCTCGACAGAAATGGCGTGGTCTGCTAGCCACGAGATGGCTTAAGAAGAGAGTTTGTGTAATCTTGAAGGAGCATAGGCTACAGTGGGTTTACTAAATGGTCCTCGGTTTGGGTTGCATGTCCACAATCGCACTGCCGTGGCTGGAATCTTTATTTTTTACATTCATGAAGGCGATCTGGCCAGAGATGGCAGTGTGGTTGACCGCTTCCGACTCAAGAGCACTGCTCCCCGAATTGGAACTCGTGTTGTCGCAGAAATACGTAATGTATGCCGTACAAATGATGTATTATCCTAGGATATGAGGGCCATCAATAAATAATCTAATCATCTGTTTCGCTTAATATTGTTACTAATGTCAGCGTTGCTCGTTCCTCTATTTTAATGTTTAATTTCCTGAAAAAAATATTTACGTTAATGTAATTACTCTGAAAATAAAGTTGCACATATTCTGATAGATCCGTGAAATTAATGCGTTGTAAAATATTGTGCTGGAGTAATAAGCAAGGGCATTGTATGACTTTCATCAGTTTAGTACGTCAATGTATTTGATTATAATTACCTTCGTGCAACTGACAGGATGATGGGCGTGATAAGAGTTATTGATGTTAATGATTAACAATGCTTATGGGAGGTTTATGTTGAGTGAAAGGCAGTTGAATAACGTTTAAAGCAATCCATATTCGGCCCTTGAAGTAGAATAACAAAAGCACAAAAGGGCGCAATAAAACTGAGAAATACAATTATAAAGTCGTGGGAAAGCGATGCAGTTTTGCGATAATCATCATATCGTGACATCTGATATCGTATCGTCAAAACGATATCGCGGTGACCCTCACAAATCAGTGTTTCCAACGTATAAAACACGATATTTTCGATTCATTCCGGCGAACTTCACTGCAGGAGAAAATGATGCAGATTTGGGAGAGCGTTTGCATGTGCATTGAGGAGCATGTGCTGGCATATCCCCTCTATAGCCTTAACACGACTGCTGAGTCAAGTGCTGTTTGTGAGCACCTGTGAAGGCCGAGACGGCACACACCCAGCCGACTTTGACTCCCCAGCGCTCAGCTTTAAACACAGCACTATTTATTTGAGGCTGAATCTACCGAGGGGAGGGCCAGGACGGCTTCAGATTTTCAGCACCGTACGAGGGTGGCCCGGGTTTGTCGCGCAGCGCGCTAAACCACTACACGACCACTCCCCACATGTCTCTGACTAATATGCGCAATTACTCGCTGACTTGCATTGTGACATTTGCTTACGATTTCGATTGAAAGCTTTCGTGACCGCAGGGATTCATCGTCTTGGTTCTTTCGGTAAAGTCACGTAGAAGGGAAGTAAAAAAAAACATAATAAAATAATTCTCAGTGAATAATTTTATTATGTTTTATTTTTATTATTTTATTAGAAGGGAAGTAATAAAATAATTTAAAAAATAATAAAAATAAAACATTATAAAATAATTCTCACTGAATTATTTTATTATCCTTTATTTTTATTATTTTATTACTTCCCTTCTACGTGACTTTACCGAAAGAACCCAGAAGATTTGCTTACGACTTTCCAAAAGTCCGTCTACTCAATATCCAGCCACACTTTTGATGATTCTTTTGGTGACTTTCCACTTGAAGAAGTGGATCAGAGGGCAAGTGCTTCCTTAACCTCTTTCAATCCACGGATCACTTTCGACCTTGCTCCATCTGCGCGGCCACACCGAACCCTAACCTCGCTGTGGGTGAGTGAGCGGGTGGGATTGCGTTGTGGCCGAGAGAGAATCCACGACCCCTTGCTGATGCTCATCTTATGGACAACAGGGAACTAAATTGGCGCGCTGCCAAAATTCGTGACAAGAATTTGTCCAAATGTGTAATCGTGTTCGTGCCTGAGTGTCTCCATGTGTCTCCATGTGTCTCTGTACCTCTCAGTCTGCGTGTAAGTATATTCGTCTCCGTGTGTGTCTCCGTGTCCGTGAGTGCGTCTGTGTGTATTCGTGTCTGTCTCTCTATGTCACTGTGTACGTGTGTCTCTGTGTTTGTCCGTGTCTGTGTGTGTGTCTTTGCATGCCGCTGTGTGTGGGGAGCGATTGTGTGGCTGTTAGCGCATTGTGATACGAACCTGGCCACCCGAGTTAGATTCCCGCTCAGGGCCAACACCGGTGACGATTATCTGAACCGGTTCGGGGCATCCCCTAGGTCTACTCAGCCTCAAATGAGTGACTGGTGCGGTGTGTAAACATCGCCACTGGGGAGACAAAGGCGGCCGGGCGTGGTGCTGGCCACTCACCCCCTCGCGCGCCGTGCCGGACTTCATAGTTGCTCGCCAACAGCACTTGCCCCAACAGTCTGTTAAGACTATCGGGTGGATCTTTGTCTTTTTGTTGTCTCTGTCTGTGCCTCTGCACGTCTCTCCGTTTGTTTGCCCAATCGCCGCTTTCCCGACCGAATAACTTGTGAGCGCCGGGGGCTGACGGTTAGTGCGGTGTGGAGAGGCTTCAGCTTAGTTCAACACGTAGGCTTTCGCGACCAATATCATTCATAACACAGATTTTTTTTTTTGGGGGGGGGGGGGTTAGATCGCGATCTAACGCCAAAAAGACCCTGTATTATGGAGTCTTCAGGTTATTTCCTCTCCGCGATTCCGAAAATATCGCAGCGCACCTGGAACTGTTGCGCGACTCACCCCCCGGTTGCGAAAGCACTGGCAACTTTTGACCAGGTAATGCCCACTGAGCCATATTGCTGTTTTTCAAATGCGACCTAGCTACAAATGATAGCCGAACAAAGTGGCGTATCGTGCGGAAATTGACAGCAGCCGAATAATCTAACCGCGTGATGTTGATTAAACATGTGGAGGGAAAAGCGAAGGACCCGGAGAAAAATCCACGCTAACCACGAGGAGAGAAAACACGCAAACTCCAAATACACAGCAGGCGTCAGGGCTGGGATCGAAACCACGACCTCCTGTACACCAGGCGATGTAGTCAATGTCTAGCGGTGTAATGCTGTGACCAAGATGGTTAAGAGGACTCCCACTGGCCATGTCAGAGCCTCAGGGCAACACGACTGAAAATCTGGGTTTCAACCGGTGACGCAACCTCAAATGAAACCAAGGCATAGAATGTAGCTACTGTAGCGTAGGACTCCCAGGTAGAAATCTAATGCTGGATGGTAAGGGTTGTTTGTCAATACTTCACTACCCTGGTCAGTGTAAGTCGGTGAAGGCGGAGATCACAGACGTGTAAGTAAAGTAGAGTACAAACATGGATTTTGTCGCACGGCCATCTGCTACTGACCCCATTCAAGCTCTAACCAGACTCAGCACTGCTTAGCTCTCGAGATTTGACCAGACGGGGTGTATTTCTGCTTATTTGGTCATCAGAAATTAATGAATCAAGTCATGAAGTTAGCTTCCAACTGAACGCCACATTTCTCTGGCTCTGATCGCTTATTTCACAAAATGCATTCCAAATTAAGCCCTTTATTTATCCAGCATTGGGCTAAGCAAACTGATCGACTTCATAGCGTGTGTCCAGCCTGAAGGCTTTGATAGAAGGATCAATTAAAGATGAATCCTTAAAAACGGGAATATCATGCATCGAATTTTTCTATTTAAAGCTTTCGTGACTGCAGGGATTCATCTTCTTGGTTCTTTCGGTAAAGTCATCACGTAGAAGGGAAATAATAAAATAATAATAAAACATAATAAAATACATTCTCACGACGTTTCGGCTACAACGCAAGCAGCCGTCCTCAGGTGAAGAACAGGGCTGTCGGAAAGACAGCGTCATTCAGACGTTGTCTTTCCAACAGGCCTGTTCTTCACCTGAGGACGGCTGCTTGCGTTGGGGCTGTCGGAAAGACAGCGTCATTCAGACGTTGTCTTTCCAACAGGCCTGTTCTTCACCTGAGGACGGCTGCTTGCGTTGTGGCCGAAACGTCGTGAGAATTGTATTTTATGATGTTGGATTATTATTTAATTATTTCCCTTCTATGTGATGATTTTACCCAAAGAACCAAGAATATCATGCATCGAGTCTAGTACTTGGCACACGCTTGAACGCAGTGGCCATAAAACGAAAGCCAACGACTCTCCATACTTTTAAATAACCGAGTTTAACAATGCTGCCATCTACAGCTCAGTGTGGCAACAGTCAATGCCCGAACTTGGAACACAACATTAAGTTGGTGACGCCGCGTTGGCAAGGTTGGCTACGTACGGTGCGAACGAAGTTCAACATACATAATACATACAGTGATGCACAACGATAACTAACAAAACAACTCAGCACCACACTAACACTGCCCTCCTAAAGGGAATAATATATAATAGGCGAGGACATGAACATTTATCATTGAAATCTCGTGGGTTTTTTTATTTTTGGGCGGACATGTTATTGATGAATGTGTTCATTTATTTACAGCATTTGCTGTGATTCGTCAGTGCACCGAGGAAGACGATAGGAATGAGCTATTTGCGTATAAAATAATTACTGTTCACTTATATTTTGGGGGCTGCGGGATTGCGTGCCCCCCACGCCAACAATAACTCAGCGTGGACGAGGTGTTTCACTGCTTTAGTCGGGTAGACTAAGAATGCCAACATTAAATCCAGAGTCGTATGTATTGGCTAAACAAAAAATACTCAAATAAAAATGCTGACTGAAATGAACACTGTATACAAGATGTAATGACGACTTGACACACTTCTCTTGAGATGGCATTTTATTGCAGTCACGTTCACTTCACATCAGGCGGAGACCCCCACTGCGACAGCCCCGAGTCTCCCGCGCGTCTCCCCATTTTATACCAACACCAGGCCACGCCCCCCTTCTCGAACCTTCTCCCTGACTCTGGACGTTCGTTCCACCGACAGACTCCACCGTCCCTATCCGTCGCCTGACCACGCTCCCTTCTCGAACATTCCCGTAGCCACCAGTCCCTTCGCACTCACAGCTGACTCCCCTGACATTACCTCCCGTGGCCACTAGTGCATTCGCACTGCAGGCTGACTCCCGTCATTACCTCTCGTGGCCACTAGTCCACTCACACCGCATGCAGGCTCTATTGGCATTACACAAGGAAGCTCATGTCAAACCCTTCTGCATGCATCGCAAGACTGCAGGTTATACCTCGCCACCAGCCATGAGCGTGCCACGTTTGACCACTCCGAAAATTCGTCTGCGGCCGAATGTTTCAGTGTCACTTCATGCACGACACCCACGTTGCCACTTTTACCATTCCGACCTTAACGCCAACACGCACCATCAATGGTGTATCGTCAAGAGGACTGAGCGTTGTCTTTGGCATCAAAGTCGATCACAAACAACATCAGCAGTGTGTTCAGGCCCGCCAGGAGGGGACGTGTTGTGCAAACCTTCTGCGGTGAACCGAGTGACACAGCGATGATGAGCAGTCAGGCCGTTGTGCAAGCCTTTATCAATCTTGCAGTCCACAAGTCGGTGGGCATGCGTGCGTTGATACAGTTTGGCAACTTAAGGAATTGCACATTCACATTTAAAACTATAACTCTCGATAACACTGCAATCGTGTTTCAATAAAGTGGAGCTTGTATAAAAGCTTACCCCCGACCACTGCAGCGAAGCAGATCGAAAGTCTTCTTCTGCATCTGTAACTTGATAATAAAAAAAATACCCCTCTGGTCTCGTGTCCTCGTGGGCGTGCCGATTTGTCAACCAGCACCATTTGTTTAGACCAGTCTGGAAGGCCGACAGGCTGATTGCCTGCTGTATATTATTTTTGATGTGCACATGGAAATGAAGGTTATTACCCAGAACAATCAACTGCAGTGCGCTGGTGGTTTTACACACGTTATATTATCATGCAGATGGACCATGGTGTATATGACAATTAACATCGGATAAACCTCTTCTTGGTTCTTTCGGTAAAGTCACGTAGAAGGGAAGTAATAAAATAATAAAAATAAAACATAATAAAACAATTCTCACGTTTCGGCCACAACGCAAGCAGCCGTCCTCAGGTGAAAACCAGGTCTGTCGAGGCGACAGCGTCTGTCGCCTCGACAGACCTGGTTTTCACCTGAGGACGTCTGTCGCCTCGACAGACCTGGTTTTCACCCGAGGACGGCTGCTTGCGTTGTGGCCGAAACGTCGTGAGAATTGTTTTATGTTTTATAATTGTATTACTTCCCTTCTACGTGACTTTACCGAAAGAACCAAGAAGATGAATCCCTGCAGTCACGAAAGCTTTAAATCGAAATCGGATAAACCATCAGTGTGTATTTTGCATGCCAGACTCTGCTGATGAGCCCTAGAGGGAAAAACTGATCCATCGTTTACACAATTAAATAAAAGCTGCTTAACACGTGCGAAAGGCCCAAAGTATTAAGACTAAATCATATTTTTTATGTGGCGCTACAGGTTGACTTGCAGAGCATATGCTGTATAAAAAGCACTCGCACTAAACACGAGTGATGTGAAGCCAGTTATGACTTCCTCCTAATGTTGAAATCAGTGATTCCATTCAATGCACTTACCATAAGCATTTGACAATGGGGTTTCCCTGATACTGCATAAAACAACTTCGACATTTCCAGCCGCCTTACTACGTCGGTTGAAGATCTCTGCCAAGGATTTTCTTGGCCGTTTCCCATTTCACAACAGTGTTTCTGTTGTCAGAACGAACTTACATTTAAAACAAGGAAATGTTTGTTTTAATATATTTGTATCAAAAGTACACCGTGTGAAAGCAAAATAATTTGTAACGGATTTGATTTTATTGTAAATCAACCCAACAAAACCTCTTTGTGAAAATAAAACACTCTTCGACAAAGCAAAACAGCAGACCAACCCCGAATGGCACAATGCAGGGCGAGAGAGGAAATGCTATAGTTCCCCACCAACATCCAACACTGGCACACTTTCATATCACAATTCAAAAATTGACACCCTACCCTTCACAAATTAAGTTGTAAATGCCAACATTGGTGGTTTGCCAATGGCGATTCGATCAACTACAGATGAGAACAAGAACTATATCTTTCGGTGCATTATGCAACCACCTCTTTAACGCGCTAAATATAAGTGCCTTTTCAGTTCAGCCAAGTGCTACATTCGTTTACATGAGCATGTTCAGATACTTTATTTCAATGTCCAAGCTGTTTTAGAGTGCGCAAACTATGCACACTATTATATCTTTTATTATGACTCACAATTGATATATTGGGTGATGGCACAACGATCTGGCCAAACCATGTGTCATTAGGGGATCCTCCTTTGTTTGGCTGTGACGGGTGGTGGAGGGTGTTAATGACAAATGTGGCCAGCATTGTGGCCCAACCCAAAAATCAAATACGAACAACAAATCTGTCAGATAAATAATTAATATGCATGCCACTCTATCTGGCTACGACATCTGTTTGCATGTGGCTCAAGGGATCTAGTCAGAATGAGTAGCAAAGCAAGAATCCCATTATACATCAAAATTCCAAATCACAATGAGCACAACACATAAGGATACATGTGTAATTCATAAGTCCAATGAAATCGACAGCCAAATCCAAGATTTTCTGTACTTACAGATAACTTTCAGTCAAACAAGCCAAGATGCCCTAAACATGAGCTAATAATATTTGGTTGTAAGCCAAAGAACGGACTGATTAATTATCTAATGCCAAAACGACACCATTTGGAAAATCCATATCTCAATGCGTGGGCAACACGATTGCACCACAGCTTTTGAGATGAATTCTGGCCTTGCTACCATCCTACTTTGCAGCCGAGGGGTAAGGAAAGGGTGCAGCCACAGTTGTGCTGTGCTCATTTTTTAGCTGCGGCCAGCCTCTCGGCCACATTTGTCCAGTTGACCACGTTCCAGATGGCCTTGAGGTAGTCGGGCCGTACATTCTTATACTGCAGGTAGTAGGCATGCTCCCACACATCAATGCCCAGCAGTGGGATTAAACCTGCACAAGAAAGATGAAACGAGGAATAGTTTTCAAAAAGGTACATGTTTTTGCCCTGATTATATTCTTCGACTGCCCAGTGCAATGTCATGAAACAAAGAAATTGACATTTGGAATCCTTCGAGCAAGCAGTGCACCACCGTATCAAAGGACTCCCTTGGAAGCTATCGTCAGAGAGCTAATATATTGGTCATTTGAGTAGGTCTGTCAATCCACACGCGAAAGGCGCCTTTTATATTACCTGCATAGAGTGTTCGTCCCATGTGTTCAACCTGAATGTGCTATCCCTGAAGGTAGAATAATCAAAATCTAGTGGAAAAACCAAAATTAATTAAGATATTCATTTTGCTTGAATACCAATTTGCAACTCATGATTACAAGTTCAATGCCAAGACGGAGTGATGAGTTCAGTTCGTGGGCTGGAGCCAGATGATTTCTTGGATTGTAAGTCCAAGAGCTGGAGACGAAATGGGGAGGCACTAAACACATTCGTGCGGAGGGAGCTGGTAGGAACGTTGGGTTGCTCGGTCAATGGCCAGGGTCAACGGCGGCGTGGTGTATTCCGCAAATATGCCCGACTGTGAGGGCGGGCACAAGCCGGCGTGAGTAGGTTAAACGTTGAGTTGTATAAGGGCACCACGGGGTGACCTGCCCCTCCCCACCCAGCCCCTCCCCACCCAGCCCCTCCCCACCCAGCCCCTCCCCACCCAGCCCCTCCCCACCCAGCCCCTCCCCACCCAGCCCCTCCCCACCCAGCCCCTCCCCACCCAGCCCCTCCCCACCCAGCCCCTCCCCACCCAGCCCCTCCCCACCCAGCCCCTCCCCACCCAGCCCCTCCCCACCCAGCCCCTCCCCACCCAGCCCCTCCCCACCCAGCCCCTCCCCACCCAGCCCCTCCCCACCCAGCCCCTCCCCACCCAGCCCCTCCCCACCCAGCCCCTCCCCACCCAGCCCCTCCCCACCCTCCCCTCTCCACCCAGCCCCTCCCATTTTTTGGATGCACGACGGACAGACGGACACAATAATACCCTGTGGGCTGGTGTAACCAGGAGGTTCCTACCAGTATCAATTCATAGTTGACAATGCGCTTCCTGCCAATCTTCAGCGTGAACAAGCACATCAATACCTGTTGTGGCCTGCAGAGGGTCTTGGTTGGCACACGCAGCGATTCGAAGCCTCCCGGTTTCCTTATCGTAGCCCAGCCAGCCCCATCCAGAGCCCTGCGCGAGACGAAGGAAATCAAGCTGCTCCCTAAAAACCTACGTTGAGAGCCACCTACTATGCTCACTTAATGTTATGATGCAAAGATGATTGTGGGTTTTAGTTTATGGTTTTGCGTAGATGCTCGTGCAGCGACTCCCTGGCCCACCTGCACTGCGACAGACGCCGCGCTCATCTTCTCCTGAAGTTTCGTGAATGACCCAAAATCCGCCTCAATTGCCTTCTGCAAATCACCTGAGAAAAAAGCAGGTTATTACAAGAGTAGGCTCGCAGATGTGAGCGTCTCGTCATAATTTCAAAATTACCCTTTAAATTACCTACCTTAAACACAGCATGGACCATCTGCACATAACTTTACTTTCAAAATGCTTTCTGGAGATCAACAATGCTGCAATATAGCAGACAAGACTACGTGTCTGCTCAATGTATGACTAAAGCACCAGTTAGTTGCGATGTGGATAAAGATTATTCTTTTCAACGAAGATAAAATGAAGTAACTGAAACAAGTACCATACCAGTGGGTGCTCCACCACCATTGGGCGAGAGGTTGGTCCAGAAGATGGAGTGGTTAATGTGGCCACCACCATTGAACTTGATGGCAGGCTGGAGTGCAATCTCTGCAGTGACATCACCTGGAGCCAGAGACCCACAAAATGTCTGTTTTCAGAGCAACCCAACACAACCAACCAACCAAGCATCCCAATATGCAACAATTAGACAATCAGCAGGTCACATGGGGCGAGGTAAAGTGTGGGAAGTCCTACCACTTCTTAGACATATAGCCAGGGTAGAAAAGTGGGTCAAAATTACCTCTTGAGTGGAGAACCTTCCACCAACAGTGGAGTGAGCTAGCAATTGCAGGACTACACCTTCACCACTGTAGTCAATATTTTAGAGGTAATACGGTTTGCTACAATCGGACGTGCAACAAGCTGCGGATACCTTTTGCCGCGGCCTCTGCTAGCTTCTGTTCGGCCACGTTGAGGTTGTTGACGTACGTGGCGTGATGCTTGCTGTGATGCAGCTGCATTATGTTGGCGTTGATGTGGGGCTCCAGCGCCCCGTAGTCATAGGGGAGATCCGGCAGCGTGTGCAGGGCAGCTCGGCTCTTGTGGGTGGCCACCGGGGCCAGAAGCGCAGGCCTGAGGGCAACCCTAAGGCCCTCTGACCTGCATTCGCAATGAGTGGCATTTCAGTGAATGCGCTGGTGGTGGTGCAACATCACAGCTCAAAGTATTTTACACCACTGTTATCACTCACTATGGTTTTCATAATACGAGAAAATAACCGAATTATTAAAATTAAATGAATAGCTTTATTCTAATTAAAATGTCTCTCCAATGGGTAACCCTGCTGCTTGGCATGGACAGGTTGCTGGCAACAACAACGGTGGCTAAAGGCCACCACCACCACCACCCGTGTGCAATTCCACTTCAACTTGCAATACCAATTCCACTTCAACTTGCAATACCAATTCCACTTCAACTTGCAATACCAATTCCACTTCAACTTGCAATACCAATTCCACTTCAACTTGCAATACCAATTCCACTTCAACTTGCAATACCAATTCCACTTCAAATTGCAATACCAATTCCACTTCAACTTGCAATACCAATTCCCTATCAACTTGCAATACCAATTCCCTATCAACTTGCAATACCAATTCCATTTCAACTTGCAATACCAATCCAAGCACTGCGCCGGCTATCCACTCCTCGCCGACCGCACACAAACAAGAGCCGCCATTTCATGAAGAGTTCAGGCGACATCCCCATGGCATTTGCACGAGGCCAGGTGCAGCTTTGAGGCCATGTGAAGTGCCGAAGACCCATGTGGCCGTCATGAGACAAATCATCATTCCGATTTCTGGCAGCGCAGTGCGGAGAGCCCGCGCAAGCGGCTAGGACAGGAGAATGATATCAATAATAACCAGTGCACCAACAACACATACCCTTCACAGACACATGGCACACACACATGACACACACACACGGCACTTAGGCAACTAGCGCCACTGCCCACGTACAATGCTGTCGTCAATCCACATCTTGACTACGTTGGGGCGAGCCGTGGCAGTCAACCATACTTCACCTCGCTGGTCCAATGAAGGCAATCATTGACGTGGGAGCACAGCACGCACACTACAACAACCGATGTTGATGCACTTGCCTTTCCGCTGTTCAACTATGTACCACCCAATGACAACTACTGTATACTGGCGCAACATCTGCTTAGCATCAGAGCGCTGGATTTGATCTCTTAGCCATCGCCTACATTACAATGTCATTTTGATTTAAAGGTCTAAACGCCATGAATCGCAATTTTAAAACACACGCAAACAAGGCACTGTCTTTCCTAACGACGAGAAATTAAAAACCTAATCGCGCTCAATGTACTCTAAAAGTTTGTGTTTGTGCCATTAGTCCCAATAGCGGCCTGTGACTATCACCACCACAGCGCGCAGCAAGATAACTTTCTCCTGTGACGACGCCAAAACCGAGCGACTTTGCAAGGAAATGACCAACCTGCACACGGACAGAACCCTCACGAACATGTTCCTCGGGATTTACGACGCGAAACCTGCACAAATGTTTAAGTTTTAAGCGAAAATTAACGCTGCTACGCAAACACAAACACGCAGCGTCAAACGCCCTTGAGTTAGACGAGTCCAACGCTGCACGCTGGATGGGGGGGAAGGTAATTTATTTATACTCTTGCAACAATATTATAACATCTACATTACAATTGAAAGCGTGCGATTTGTTCTCAATAACTAATCGCTATTCGTGAAATTTGCCAGCAAGTTGTACCTCGACTAACGTTTGACGAGTAAATAAGTTTTAATAATTGGCTCTGGTGGAGTTACGCACGTTTTAGGAATGTTCCAAGTTGACGCTCGTCTGGGGGGTGGAGTGGAGATTTGGATCCTTCACATTTGGTTCTATTCTGGTTCTAGATTTGAAGCTTTTGTGACTGCAAGGATTCATACTCTTAGTTTTTTTCGGTCAAGTCACGTAGGTAAAAAATAATAATAAATGAAAATAACTAAATTAAATCACGACGTTTCGGAAGCAACACAAGGCTCCGTCATCAGGTGTAACTGCTCCAGTAAAATTACTGCAGCGTGTGAAGAGATCTATTCAAGACACGTGTTTTTTTATATAAATAAATTACTGGAGCAGTTACACCTGATGACGGAGGGCTTGTGTTGCTTCCGAAACGTCGTGATTGAATTTAGTTATTTTAATTTATTATTATTTTATTTTACTATTATTTTCACCTACGTGACTTTACCGAAAAAACCTAAGAGTATGGTCATGAATAGTTTACACGGCCCTGTAAATCCACTGCTGGATGAAGGCCTCTCTCCACGCCAAGTTGTTTGTCCACACCTCACCAGGCTGCCGAGTGCAGCTTGGTGACAAACGAGGGCCCAGAACACTTCACTCTTCACTCGCCACGGACGCGAGCCTTGCCCAGAATCGAACTTCAGGTGGCCAAGTTCCAAGTTGAAGCGTGCAAGCCACTGCTGCACCCTACTTGGGACCACACGCACCATTATTACTGGATATATCTGGCGTTTTCTTTGAGCACGCCTGTTTTCACCCACGTAGCAAAATTAGTCACAGATAGTCACAGTAATGGCCACCACGCCTTTCATAGCATGATCCTCCCTGAAGTGTTTTTTTGCTCACAAATATTCAGAGGGGTGCCACTTTCGCCGAGAAGACATCATCATTGTGAGGGCCGCCACACATTTGAAACCATTGGGGTTGACATCAGCGCGATGATGGGGGGAGGGGAGGGTCTCCACATTTATGGATTGTCGGGGGCCCGCACGTCAGGGGCCACACTAAAGGCCACCAGTGGCTACCAGCGGCCCGCGGGGCCTTGCAATGAAGAACACGGATCCTGAAAAAAGTCTTGAGACTCGGAGGCTTTCTTGGGTGTTTTGAGACCGAGGACAGCTGCCCACAAAGCTGGGTTGGTTCTCAAGTGCACCGAGTTTTCGCCGGGTCATTCTGGTCAGCCATGATGATTGCATAGAAATAATCACACCAATTATTTTAGCAATTTGGTGCAATTCCGGCTCTGATAATTATAACTAAACACATTGGTCTGACCGTCACATGATGGTTGCAAGGTCGGTAGGGAAATCGTGGAGCCTCGTGATAATCACGAGGCCATTTTAAGAAATATCAGAAGTAGTTCTGTGAAGTGCTTTTCCAGACTAATGTCCATTCAGAACTATCGTAGACATCAATTGGGGGGAACGGTAAGTAAGTGTATAAATGTACCACAAAGACAAATAATTTCATTTAATTGCATCATTTATTAACACTTACATTAGCATCACATATTTCTAAGTTTCCCTACAAAATACCCTACAAATACAGCATTCATTAATCCTTCAGCATCATTGACATATCACGCTGATGCTATTCAAGTGATTCTTCAGTGCCATTTCTTTTATATGTACAATTATGGCACACACACACACACATCAATATCTAATTGAATCAAGAGCGCTTCTAAAAACGTGTATATTTACCTTTACAGCAATCTGAAGCGAGTTAATTTTAAATAATTTTCAATACTAATATCAATATCGGACGTGCGTTTTCATAGAGAGATACGTTTGTGAAATAATAAAATTTGGCACTGCACTGAAGCATCGCTGCCTTGATGCTTAATTGGAAATAATGCTGTCACAACCATACAGTGGGACTTTAATTCTGGAAGAGTACTCTGACATCTGTGGACTCAATGCCATACACGATACATGCCACCAGTTTTAAACACCGTACACATTTGTTAATTAACGAACGCAACACATCCACCACAATCCCCGGTGATTCAAGTCGTGATGTGGTCGTGACGAAAGAAAACAAACTTTTTTAAATCTCATTGTTACCATGTCGCACGTATTATTTCCTTGTTTTAATTGTCCAACGTGTACGACTATATTGCATACATTACCATACATGCAATATCGGTATATAGATTGCATGTATCAAGAGCACAATCATCGAATAAAATCTACGAATCGGCACATTGTTTGCTTATGGGATACACAAACGCAGCACTTGGGAGCTCCAAAGTTTAAATTACTGGTTGTGTCGCTGTTGACAGTGACATGGGACAGGGATCAATCGCGGGAATATCATATCACCTGCCTCATACTTACTCACGAGACGGCACAACAGAATCTAGTCACATTTAAATGGATTTCAGACCGAAACATCCCAATGGTATCTATCATCCCCTTTCAGCCACCGGCAGTGTGTACCATAACTCAAGAGGGATGTTGCCGTTGTTGCAATAGTTAGTACAATGGTCTTGCAAATCCAGACTCCATCGGTTCGATATACCAGCACGGCACTGGAAGCTACACGAGTTTATTAAATTCCACCCCTACCGCCTCTATCCATCCAGCAGTCGATCGATGGTTATACCACAGTCGATCGGCAAGCTGCACACAGTGGGGTGAAGTGTGGGTAATTCCACCTCTTCAAAGGGCCCCAGTAAACTCGAGTGGAGGGCCCTTATGCCAGCAGTGGCGTGATAAACAATTGCAGGGCTGTACCTTTTCCTAAACGACGTTCAAGCGCAGACTCCACTTGCAGGTGTTGTAGCTTACCGCTGTCAGGTGTGGCCAATACGATGAATAATTTAATTGAAAGAATAGGGAAATACACCTCGAGCGTGAATTGCACTGGGTTGCTTCGGCCACACCGGATATGGAATCAGCGAGAAACCCCAGCTTAGCCATCGGGGCGCATATTGGGAGTGAACAAAAACACAAGCAACCGGTGCACGCAACCTTGCATCTGAACCAGGGCTAAATTTAAGTCGGGGCTTGCCCCCACCACCATCACTTCCCTCCCCATGGAAAATATTCCATGAGAATAGAAGCCCTGATCTGGAGTCCAGTGAATGCAAGTCAAATAGGCACCCTTCTCCAACATACGTACAATACCCTCGCATCGTGGTAAATCGAGACTCCTTAAGCAGGAGCAACACACGGTTACTGGCAGCAAGACGCAATGTGCATTGTGCAAAAACACTGGATTAGAGACATTGCCAGATCATTGAGCTATGACAAAAACAGGACTGTGATTAGCTGACACGCACGGTACGAAAGAAGTTCAACGTACATACACGACCGCACACCGCTGTACCGAGCTGCACAAGGCTTGGCGCATAAGCGTAACATTTGCGGTGGTGGATTAAGGAACTGTAGTACAATTGATGCAGACCAAGGTGGTACAACGAATGGCAACAATTAATTATCCATACATTTCGATGGCACCCCTCTTAAGGAATACTTCAGTCCGCTTTCAAGAGATGTGCTTATTTCGCCGCCACAGAAAACAGCACCACACTTTTACCCCCTTTATATATTTGTTCTAGAGACACTTGTTTGGAACGCGATTATCTGGATGGCGCAAAAGGGCAACGATGGCTGGAACACCCGGCGTCAAAGCCACGCCCGTCTATATTTACATCAATCACCGAGGGTAGGGGGTCGGCAATCGACATAACAGGAGCCATTTTATTTTAAGAATTCGGTAAAAAAAACGCAAATATTTCAAGAGCCTCAAAACGAGTGAATAATGTCACGAAGCAGCAGTCATTCAAGAGCCACCGCATGCGGCTACGGCGCCGCAAGTTGCCGACCCCTGACCTCGGCAAACATATTTCAAATCACACAACAGTCTCATCTACCTTCCATTTCAGAACAGACGTCCATCCATTTAATCACACCCGTGTGTAACGGGTTGTGCAAAGGTCTGTGAAAAAAAATTACCGCTCGCAGCAAGGAAATGTTGGAGTCACAGTGAAAAGCAAGCGTGCCGATTTAAAAGTTCAAAGCGGACTCCATTTGCAATATAAAGTGTGTGGGCACCGTGCCTAAACCGTGGCAATTGCGCAACTTTGGCAGAAAACCGATTCTCGGACAACTTTGTGGAATGAGAGAAATTACGGATTTTTTCAGCGATGCTGTCATGTCCACAAGCAGTCTTCGCCTCAGATCGACAGCGATGCTGTCATGTCCACAAGCAGTCTTCGCCTCAGATCGACAGCGATGATGGAGGGTCACAACTTCGGTATAAATTAATGGGCTGCCAAAGTAATTGTAGACTTTACACAACGTTTACATAACAAGAGCTAAAATAAAATAACTTTTTTTAAGCAAGACAAACCGTGTCAATGAGCTAGTTTTTAAATGACGTGTCAAAAAAATACTGAATTTTTTGTGAAAACATTTGACACTTTCACGGCCAATTCCAATTTCGCTCCGAGGCCCACAATGCAAGTTTACACATTGTTGTGTTTAGTTTGTTGTCCTTTCCCCGCAACTCCGATTAGCACGGTTGGCTACGTACGGTGAGAAAGACGTTCAACATGCATTCGTCTCCCGAGACTGAATTTTCAATTAAAACAATGCAGTTCAGTTCCACATGATAGGAGTGCATCGGTAGTATTTGACAGTTGGTGAAATGTGATCGATACTGTGACTGCAACACCGCCACCTCAGAAAGTAAGGTGTACAGTACAGTACTTAAAGTAGCATTTTCAAGACTCCAGGATTGCTAACATGATCAATATAATTGGTTATATCTTTATTAATTCAAATTTTCTTGTCGTTACCAGCCATTAGACTTCACAATCTTCTTTCCTCAGTTGCGTAAGCCTGTACAAACACACACAAACACACACACGCACACACACACACGCACACGATTCAGCCGTTGCCGTCACGGCGGAGCCATCTTGTGTCATGGCGCTTAGTGTTTTAGGAAGTTACATTTTCTGACAAGGCTCAGAGAGACATCACCACACGTGTAGGAAATGATTATTTCAACATACAAGTGCGTACCAATTGCACAAGAGGAACTCGTGTTTCAGAACTGCATTCCGTTCGTAACGGCAGTAACATTTCCAAGATGTATATGGGTTTAAATATATTACTTAACAAAGTATCGGAACACCGGCACAATCCCACACTTTTCACATCACCGGCGCAATTGTGGCCAATTACTCAAAATGTAACCCTTAGTGGAGCACCGTCGATTCAAGACGCCAGTGTGCAGCTCATGACGCACGGTGTCGCGAAAACGTTAAGCAACTCAAAAACCCAAGTTCCTCTTTGCCGTGGCCCGGGACAGTCAATGGTTACAAGGAAATGTGTCTGCCTAAAGTGAGTAACAGAGGAGACAACACACAGCAGAGACAGAGGAGTGAAGACGACAGTCGTAAGGGGGTGTTGTTGTGTGTTGCGTTGTGTGTGTAAATCATTTCCCCCGTGCGTGACACATACCCAGACAAGGCTTTGGAAGAGAGGGCGACACTTTGTACCCAGTACAAGGCATGTTACCCAGCAAACGTGCACCGTTGAGTCAACGTTGCAAGTTTGCTGGCCAAGCGGACGCAGCAGTGGTAAGGGGCGTAGGGGTTAGAGGCAAGAGCGGGAGAGAACGCACGCTCGCAGCAAGCGATAGCAGCCGGAGGCCAAGCCAGCGGGCGACCGTTTCCTTATTTGTATTTATACAAACATCGCAGACAGGGTCATCATCCATACATGTATCATCCACAATGAAAGAATATTAATGAGACACCACTCTGGGACGGTTTTCATAAGCGACATCTTCAATGAGGAACCGAGCTGGCAATTCACTGCAATTTGCGGCCTGTAGTTGTTTCGGGGACAATCAATGTTGTGCTGCATATACGCCGGTTTTAATCACTTTCGGATTGATCAATAAAACGAGATCAATACCGCCCTCATAGCTGCTCTGTAGACTGTTGGGACAAGTGCAGTTAGCGAGCGCCTATGGAGGCCGGCACGTGGCTCGATTGGGTGGTGCGTGGCCAGCACCACGCCCATGTAGCGATGTTTACTCACTGCCGTCGGTACTGCTCATTTATGGCCGAGCTGACATAGAAAAAACCCAGGCCGGGTTCTGATATCACTCGCCACGCCGCTGGGCTTCTTAGCGCAGCTGCCCACTATTACACTACACACGCTCGGTCGTGCGATCACGTTAAACCTCCACGTGCCCTCCAGGGGGTTGGCGACACGCATCGAGATGCCAGAGTCCTACGTGTCCTCCGACAACTCTGGCAAAATTAATTCAAACGCTTCTATTGCCGCGCTGTTAAAATTCAACTAAAATAAATCGCTGAAAATTTTTTTAATTCAGTTTTTTGGCACACCCTACCAATCAAACATGCAGTTCAAACTGCAGCCCAACCGTAAATCTTTAACAGCGGATGATAACCGTACGGACGTCCTGTATGTCCATTTGCGCATGTGCATATTGTACGCGTGCGTGCATGTCCGCATACAATGCTCATATCACACAGACATATAGAGGTGCGTGCACATATATTGAACGAAGGGGAAGGAAATGTTTTATAGGAAGTGTTTATTGTGCTAAATCCACCATTGGCCTGCTCTATTTATCACACGGGCTGCTGCCCTTTCGCCGCTGCAGTCTGTTCCACCCCGCCATGCCGTCGTGGACAGGGCACGAGTTGTACTGTGCCCAAAGCGCACCCACAATGCACGGCAATAATAAAAAAGTTAATATCTCCCGCAAATCGTTCCAATTGGGAAAATACGAAGGGGCCGGGCAATCGACCGAACGCAGGACCCTCCCAAGAAAGTGAGGCTTTCTTGGGTAAAGGAATTTACATTTTCAAACAGTTACTAAAATATCTACCACTAGAGCACTATAAAGGACTCCTCACGTCCACGCAGGGACCTGACACTGCATCCCTTCAGTGAGATACTGTAATGCACTATCTCACTGCAGAATAATGTAGATTATTTTTCTACTAATACGTTAGAAATCTAATAACCGTATTCTCTAGATTAGAACAATTTTCCCACTGTACGGGCGTCAAGTCTTTGTTTGGTCGTATTTATTTATCAGGTAGGCCCCGCACATCTTCACACTCCCAGGTGGGGTCAATGCACACATCCTTCCTTCTGGGTGCAAGAGAATGCAGACCTCGGCATCATCACGCAACACAAGACGAGCAAGGTTAGGGGTGGCTCATGCAAAGGGGATTGGGTTAATGAAGACACCCCCCCCCCTCCCTCCGTTCGAAGCAGCACGCTGCGGCAAGCCCGGGAGAAAACTAACCTGAGATGTAGCGTGCTCCAATAAGCATTATCATACTGCCCAGAATATAAGACCCCAGGGGGATGCTCGTAAACATGTTAAGCTCTTCTGTGTGGCCGAGCCGGCGTATTGGGAGCAGGGGTTGGTACGACAGAGAGAGGGAGGGGGAGGAGGGGGGGGGGAAATTGCGCGGATCAACGTCAGGAAATCGACGTGTTAGCAAAATCAAGCTCATCGACGGCACGCTAGCGCCGTCCCGTCGTGCGCCGCACGGGAGGTGGCCCCTTCGCAGGCGCGCGTGGGATTCGGTGAAATCCGCCAGATTGAGATTTGAGGTTCCCACCCCGCCCCCCCCGGCCGTATTTGCAGGGTCAGCGCGACGGCAACGTTTACGGCCGGAGCTCTCCAACGTGCTCTCGGGTCACGCCCGGATGTCGGTGGGCGCGATGTGCCCGCTCGTCGCTCCCGTTTGCCGCGTGCTTTTATTCAAGTAGCCTCCCGGCTTCCCTGCACGTGCAGCGAAACGCGCCGTGCCGAACTACACGCGCGGTTAGAACCGGGCAACGCATCGAAGAGAGCCGCCGCAAGCACGGCCGCAAGCACGGCCGCCAACGCCGGCGAAGGTCGCCAACCTTGACAAGGCCTCGGGGGAGGGGACTCGGCTGGCCACGGTGCTTCAGCCAATCGCGTTCAATCAGAGCGGGAAAGCACATGCGGAGTAGTTGGCCATCGCCTGCCACCCACAGGTGCAATACGCCTTTACGCGAGGTTAGTAGCGATTCCGATGCTCATTGGTTAACATCCGCCTGATTAACCCGATTCCGATTCTGTCCCGATGACATACGTGTACGTAACTTTATCGGTACCGAGCCTCCCCCGGAGGGCGTGTGGCACAGTCTGGCGCCAGCCTATCATAGAGTGCGGTCGTGTCACTACGGTTCTCTGCGGCGAGTACAATGTCAACAGTGCTACGCCACTCTCTCAATAAAATTAGCGTCGTCTCCAATTTCACTCCGCATTGTGGTAATGGTGCCATGTGATGAGACCAGATGTGCTCACAGAAAACCGGTGCGCCGCCTGGGAAGGTAATCACGTACAACTAGTTCTGAGAGCACTGCCAAGTGTGACCTCTTATACAAAACACAAAAACAATTGTTTTTTCTATTTTCCCTTGTGGATAGGTGTACATCACATGACAGCCAATATGAAATTTAAATTTTGTTCAGAGCTGTAATTTTTGCAAATGTAAGTGAACCACCAAGTCTGTTGTTTTGTTTAGGCATTAGTGACCAGGGCAAGACCATCAACTCTTCATACTTGGAAACCCGGTTCAAATCAAAAGTTCCCATCACCTGGATTCGAATCCTGGGCCTTAGTGGCAGCAGCTCAACACTGCGACTTTAAATGACCGAGCAAACTCCAATTTTAGGCAATCAGTTTAACCCAAGACTCTGATATCGCATTCGGGCACACGCCTATACACTGCATATATACCTGCATTCACAAACGCGTAAACTTGTAGAGTCAACTCTCTGCTATCGTGGGCAGATTAACCGTACGTGTGAACATTAAGGAATAAAAAACGTGGTGTTGTTCCACGATCATCGGCGCCCTGTGCGCGGCGTGCTGGTCTTGGCCAAGCCGCTCCTCACTCGCGACCGATTCCTTTAACCAACGATGAAAACGGACGACGCATTCTACACGTTCACACGCCCTTTCTACGTCGCTAAATCAATAAATACATTTTTTGTTCCTATCCCATATGTTGTGCTGTATCCGGGCCACCCCTCCACACACCGCCCCCCCCCCCTCCAGAAACACTCGTGTGCTCAGTGCGTAGGCGTTACACACACACACGGACGGAGAGACACGCGTCGCGGCTCGAGAAGGGCAGGGATGTCAGCCTCACCGTTGCTGTTCATCGGAGGATCCCCGATCTCCCAACCCATGGAGCACTGCACCGCTTTCTTCCAGCGCATGTATCGCACTTGGCTCTCTGCGAGAGGTGCAAAAGCTCATGACTACATATCACAAACACATTCACGCCAGCGGATCCATGTTGTGAAGACAGCGTCCTTGGCCTTTAAAATCCGGCAGTTCGGCAAAGCATTAATTCAAGCGAAACCTGACTCCGCTGATGAGACAATTAATGTAGAAACCGGTCCTGGGTCCAGAATTTTCCTGTACTGAAACCCCGCGGCCCAGAAGGCCGCGGGGCCAATGGGTTTTGTAAAGAAAATTTCTACTTTTTTGGGAACACACTTTGACTTGGCACCCTTGGCAAAAGAAACCTGGCATCTCAATGTGCCCTCACCTACTTTTAAATAACAGACATGAATCAACAAAGTGACATGGGGTTTCTTTGTCTCCCCAGTGCTGATGTTTGCACACCACACCAGGTATTTATTTAAGGCCGAGTCAAACTAGGGGAGGTCCAAGACCAGTTCAGTTATTATCACCGACGTTGGCCATTAACAGGAATGAAACTCGGGTTGCCGAATTAGTAGCATCGGCCACCAACCACTACACTACCGCTCCGCCCGCACAGAGAGGCAAAGATCTCCAATATAGCCGTTAACAGACTGTTGGGGCAAGTACTGTTTGCAAGAGCCTTTTAAGGCCCGCACAGCTGACGAGGGTGTGGGTGGCCAGCACCACGCCTGAAGAACTTTGTCTCCCCAGTGGCGATGTTTACACAACGCACCAGGTGCTCATTTCAGGCCGAGTCGACCTAGGGGAGGGCCCAGGACCACTTCAAATATTTGATGTTGGCCGCGAGCGGAGATCGCACTCGGGTCGCCGGGTTCGTAGCGCAGCGTGCCAACTCGCTACACCACCGCTCCCCCCTAGACGCGCTCGCTCACACGCTCGCTCACACGCTCGCTCACACGCTCGCTCACACGCTCGCTCACACGCTCGCTCACACGCTCGCTCACACGCTCGCTCACACGCTCGCTCACACGCTCGCTCACACGCTCACCCTCGGTGTTGATCTGCGGCTCGAAGCGCTCCACAGTGACGGCCGTGAGGTCATCGGCCTCCAGGCTCCACACCCCCACGCCCTCCGCTGAGCCGGCCGCCATCGCCGCGCCCAGCGCCGTCGTCTCCGGCATCGTCGGGCGAACTGCACCGGTGATGATAATAGGAGGACGCCACTGGAGCTATGCACTTTGAAATCCAGATTGAAAACTAATTTCTTTAGAACTGTTCATCGTGTTTAGTTTGTTGTCCTTCCCCCGCATGTCCGATTATTGCAGTTGGCTACGTACGGTGCGAAGGAAGGTCAACGTACATAACCACAAGATGATAATGATAAGAAAAATAACAATAACAAAAAATTACGTGCACGTCTGCGTTCTGGAAAGCGCCCTCCAACAGGCATTTCTCCTCGGAAGTCCTAAATTAGCGACGACACCGGCGGCACTTGCGCCGGCCGTGCAGCGAGCGGGATGTCCGCACGCCGCCGTGAGACAATGGGGCTCGGGAAAGTGGCTCTCTATGCATGTTGAGTCGAGGGGTTGTGGGGTTGTGGGGAGGGGGTGGAGTTGCGTAACCGCACCGACAGGGATGCTCAGGATGTCGGCCTGCAGCTGCATGAGCACACGGTTCACCGTCATCCCACCGTCCACCTGCAGCGCCGTCAGAACGTAGCCGCTGTCCTGGTTCATGGCGTCTATGAGCTGCGGGGGGGGGGGGGGGGCAAGAGGGCGGGGGGTGGTGAGACGGCGTCGCGACCGTACGGCACGAGCGGCCGTGTTGTCTGTACGTACGTATGTTGAATATTTTCTTACATCTCGATTGAAAACTCATTTCTTTAGGAGCTCACTGAGATTAATTTATTGTCCTTCTCCCACACCTCAGATTATGAGCACGGTTGGCGATGTACGGTGCAAAACAAGTTCAACATACACACAACTACATATGCAGTCCTCGTTGTTGAACCGCACAGACCTCGCTGGAGAAACGATCCGTGGGTAGGACTATTCCTCACGACATTATTTACACTCGACTATGTTTCATCGACTGTCGCTGCGCTCTCTCACCTCTCGCGTCTGGAAGCAGATGGCCTCGAGGGCGGCGAAGGCGATGTGGGACTTGTTCGTGAACTGCGTGAGGCCGCAGATGATTCTGCGAAGACAATGGCAGCAAGGGATCCATGACGGGGTCACGACGGGGTCACGACTGGGTCACGACGGGGTCACGACGGGGTCACGACGGGGTCACGACGGGGTCACGACGGGGTCACGACGGGGTCACGACGGGGTCACGCGGCGACCAGCATTGCGGAAGCATGGTCAGTGGATTGACAAAGGACTGTAAATTATGACGAGTGACCAACGATGATGATGACGCAGGCAGTGATGAGAAGGAAACTGGCACTATTTGGACACATGTGAAATAGGATGGACAACAGCGAAATTTAAAGTGTGTTGTTGTTGTTGTTGTTCGGGGAAAAAAGGAAGGAACCGGAAAGAGAGGAAGACCTAAAAGAGAATGGCTTGCTGACGACATCGTAAGAGATTGGTGCCGGAGCGATGTGACCACTACTTGAGCCATATAGGTGCAACAGAGGAAAGTGGAAACAAATGACGAAATGTGCAGTAGATACAATGTGCAGTAGACACCTACTAGGGGCTATCTGCCCATGGATCGTGACGACTCTCCTGTCGCTACTCCTATCTGTTAAGAGGTACCGAGCCAGAGGTGGGTGTATAACTATGGTTAATGGATGCAAATGACACATTACTAATGTTGAATTTTACATGGCCAACTGAGCGACCAAAATGGGACCAACGAAACCGAAGAAAAAAACAGCCGAGTTAAAAACAATCTTACAAAAAGCTACATCTTGAATAAATTAGCGCGCTAAATCGTGGTACGTTCACCGAATCGGTGGGGCGTGGTGGACTGGGGGGCGAGGGGGGGCGAGTGGGGGCGAGGCCGGGGTGGGGGGTGCAGAGTGACGTGAGCAGCGCTCACCCGCGAGCGCTGGGTTCCCAGTAGGGCGCGTACAGCCCAGAGAACGCCGGAACAAAATAGCATCCGTACGACGTCCCCGCGAGCTGCGCCATCTTCTCTGTTTGGGGCGAGAGACAAGAGGAGCGGCAGGGCGCGGTGAGAGCCGTCGCCAAACCACGCACACAGCGCATCATCGCCTTGGTTAAGCGCCAATGGTTTTCAAGTTGTTGTTGTTGTTGCGTACAAACTGTGCTCGTTTATCAGTCGATCAAAAGTTGAAATCAAGTCAAACTGCCTCATTACGAGCACGCGGGGCGACACTCGTCTCCAAAGGTGGCTATGAGACAACAGTGGAAATTCCACATTCCTATGACAGGGACAGGCATAACAAACAGAGACACGACAAATTTTATATACGTACATAAAAATTTGCACTACGATCGGTAACCGTTATATATCTTTTTTTTTTATTGGTGTTCATTTCATGGGACAACTGCTCATTATCTCTTTCATCATTTAAGTTTATTGGGTTTCATTTTACTGGCCTCAGGAGGGTTGGATTGGCCGATCCAATCCTCCAATAAATATTTGACCTCCCGACCTTTCCAATGGCCAAGCCTTGTGCTTGGGACATCAACCACAACCTTGACGAGATTATATTATTTCTATTTTTAACCCCGCCCCCCATAAATCCTTTCTTTTACAGTTACGGCAGGTCAGAGGTCAAAGGTTCAGGGTTCAGTCCCTCACCGATGTCTGCGGCGGTCTGTATGATGCCCAGGTTGTCTCGCAGCCACGAGACCATCGCTCCTGCGATCGCCACCGATCCCTGGGTGGAAATAAACGCACGCGCGCGTCAAGGCACTGTGCATCACAGTCTCACACAGGGTTGCCGCCACCTTATCCTGGCGAGCCGTTCCTGGGAAATCTTCAAGTCTTCCGGAAATAAATTCAAAAGGTATCGATTTAGTTTGTCAGTTGCGTAATAACAAAACACGCCACTCGTGGCAATTGCAGCCATGGTACGGGCGGAGAGCTCCCTGCTTCTCGACCGGACTGCGGCGGTAATCCGTCTTGGCCGCCGAATCGTCACGAATGTCGGTGTTTAGCACAAATACACTTTCTTTTCAAATCTCTATTTCATAAAAAATATAATTCTGACGGCTGACGCCCATTGCCTTGGTATATTTGTAGCTTTTACTTCGACTCAGAAGACGATGCCTTTACAGCAGTTATCCCCTCTCTGTAACTGCGCGCAATCCTTCTTCCCCCTGATAAGTTTCCTGTTTATTTTTCTATTCCTGAGGACACGGAAAAACTGAGGTTGCCGAGGGAGAAAGTGCGGATTTTTTCATGACCAAGTAAGGGCCATCAAGCTATATACAGCTCAGAAGCGACCTGGCCACCACAAATGACAGCCCAACCACGTGGCTTAGCACGTGGAAAATAGATGGCAGCCAAATGCTCGAAAGCAGTGTTCTTCACTTATTTCAGAGGGGGGGGGGGGGGGGCCACTTTCGACGACAAGACATCATCTGTGCGAGGGCCGCCACACATTTTGAAAGCGTCGGGGTTTGACGGCACGCCGGGGTGCGTCGGGGGCCGCCAGATGACAGAGAGCCGTGCGAGGGGGGGTGGAACTGCGTGCGTTACCTCCAGAGCGTAGTACGTGGGCTTGTCCCGCCCCAGCTTGTAGGCCACGGTCGTCAACAGGCCGTGTTCCGAGAGCACCGGCTGGCCAAGGGGAATCGCAGACAACGCGGTGAGCTTTCCGCAGTGACATTGTCGCAATAACGCAAGGCTGATACGTTCCTTTTTCAGTCCTTTGCAGTTGTGTTTCCTTGCCTCAATCATAAGGTCTGCATAGGATTTTTTAAGCGGAGTGTCGTTTCATTTGGCTCGCAGCAACGAGCAAACTTACATTTAAACGTGGCCAATCATAGATTTTAATAAAGGTTCATTTATTTTAGTTTAAGGTGTACGAAACAATCAAGGGTAGTCTCAGGCATGTGCTATATCACTTTACTGTACATCTCTCTGCTCTTCTGATTAGATGCCCATCTCTTATAGCTCTTCTCTATATATCGTCCTCCCTCCATTCTTTCTAGATTAGAAGGATTCATACGCTTAGGTTTTTTCGGTAAAGTTTTTTAAAGTTTTTTACCTACGTGACTTTACCGAAAAAACCTAAGAGTATCCCTCCATTCTCTTTCATTCACGGCACGCTTTAGGCGACGTCGCTGCCGGCGGAATTTTAAAACAAAAATAAAAGCCCAAAGCAGAGTGTGCGCATCTCACCTTTGTCCCCGTGTTATGCAAAAGGAAACAGCCCGTTCCGTACCTAAAGGCAAAACAACAATCATCCATTACGTACATCAGTAGAATGCCCTCATCATTCATAACATTCTTCCTTTTATCACAGCGACACTGAAGATGCATTGAGATAAACACGAGTGGGCTCGTGATAATCTCCAGGCACTGTGAAACACGCCTTTGAATTTGTACCGAGTTTAATTCTCGAGTTTGGCTGCAAGAATCGTATTTGAACGTGTTCAAAGAGAATAGGCTTAACCCCTTCCACCAAATTGATTGATGTGATTGGCCTACAACAGAGACAGCCTCCTTAATGGCCTTGTCTCAACGGTATTAGACCAGAGAATGTCAAAAGGAAAAAGAGCACAAAGGCATTGCAAATTTGAAAAATTAATAGCCCGTTTTAAAGCTTTCGTGACTGCAGAGATTCATCTTCTTGGTTCTTTCGCTAAAGTCACGTAGAAGGGAAATAATAAAAGAACACAAATAAAACACAATAAAATCCAATTCTCACGACGTTCGGCCACAACGCAAGCAGCTGTCTTTCCGACAGACCTGTTCTTCACCCGAGGACGGCTGCTTGCGTTGTGGCCGAAACGTCGTGAGAATTATATTTAATAATGTTTTATTTTTATTATTTTATTATTTCCCTTTACGTGACTTTACCGAAAGAACCAAAAAGATTAATCGCCCGTTTAATATATATTTAGAAAACGATTCCCCATGTAGCCTTTAACAGACTGTTGGGGCAAGTTCTGTAAGCGAGCACCTATTGAAGGTCAGCACGGCACACGAGGGGGTGGGTGGCCAGCAACACGCCCGGCCGCCTGTCTCCACAGTGGCGATGTTTTACACACCGCACCAGGTACTCATTTGAGGCCGAGTCGACCTAGGGGAGGCCCAGGACCAGTTCAGATAATCGTCACTGGTGTTGGTGGCTGTGAGTGGGAATCAAACTCATGTCACCTGGGTTTGTAGGACAGGGCATGAACCGCTGCACCATCGCTCCTACATATTGTACATAGGTAGAAATTATTTTACACCATACGTGGCCAACCATGGCTAACCGCACATATACAGAAGTACATTTCTGCTTCTGTTTAATCAGTATATAAGTTTGGTTTTAAAAATATTTATTCGCAACAATATGATCTAATGGGGCAGCAGTCTAAGTGAGAGTAGTTTTCCACAATCACTGACCATCATGGCTCATCCGCTTCAGTCCCCCCCCCGCGCCCCAAGGGAGGGGCAATTCAGGAGGCGACCGCGGAGACCTCTGACGGACGAGCGCTCGCCGCACGCGCGTCGTCCGCGACGGAGCAGCGCACGCACGCACACACACTCGCTCACGTGTTTTTGGCTTGTCCATCGCTCAGGCACATCTGTCCAACCAGCGCTGCGGATTGGTCACCCAGGCACTGCCCACGCAAAAAAAAAAAAAAACGCAGAAAAATATTCAATTGCCCAATTTAAAACGAAGGCCACCGGGCGTGGTGGTGGCCACCCACCCCGCTCCTGTGCCGTGCCGGCCTTCAATAGGTGCTCGCTTACAGAACTTGCTCCAACAGTCTGTTCAAGGGCTACATGGGGAATCTTTGTCTGGCTGCGACAAGACGGAGAGTCCAATCGGAACGCTCACGGAGCAGCCAAACTCCGCCAACCGCCCTCGTCAGAAAACAGCTGGCGGAAGCGGAAATCGCAGAACTACTTCCGAGTTCCTTTCAAGTGATCTCAGATTCACTCGCCAAGTGATCTCAGATTCACTCGCCAAGGCTGCAGCACTTGCTCGCTCAGCCCGCCCTCTCAGAGTAATGTTCGTTAAACTAAAATGTTTCATTCTCAGAGCTCGACTGTTGGCTACCTCTGAGAAATGCAGCCATTGGAGACCGGGTTGAGACCACCAACTGTTTGCACATGAGAACTCAGTTTAAATCAGAATCACATAATTTAATCAATCTAAATCTTTATTTATCGTGGAGGAATCCGATGAACTGTGAAGCTCTTATTTCACAGATGTCCAGTAGGGGCACGAGGTCAGAAAGTTATAACAACAAAAATACAGGAAATGTAAATACTTGTGGTGACTGCTTGAATTAAAACCAAGGATTCTCAGCATTGCCAGCTCAACACTCTTCAACTCTGAGCCACCAGTGTTCGCATTTAAGCTGAAGAGGTCTCACGCTCGTCAACAACACTGCCTTAACAAAAAATAATCTAAAGACCATTGCCTGAAACGTTGCCGATTGTATACACGTGGATATATTAAGGCAGTGTTCCCAATGAGCGTGTGGAGTCTTTTTTGCTATTTCTACATACGCAAGTCGAACTTGTTCCACGCCGTACGTCGCAAACCATGCTACGAACGATGCCGCATCGGCACCTACTGCCGACGCGGCACCGCCACGCAATTGTGTCGCGCCGAAGGACGTTGGACGAGATCACGAGGCTTACACAACGCCGTTCCAGTGCAGGATACTCACCCCAGATATGGGCAGTCCGCTGAGAGGACCAGATTTCTGGAACACAGATTAACCGCCGCATTAGGGAACGATTTAACAATCGATTTGGCGTCCAGCAAAAGCCAACGGATGCGGTGCACAAATATGATTGTGAAACACAAATCACGGAGCAACAGCACTTTTACAAATGCAAACTTACTGTGGTCGGATCGAGTTTCTAGAGCCAAATTTGTGCATGCGTGCCGCAGAGGGAAATAAATGGACAAAAAAAAGCTTATCCAAGAGATCATCATCATCATCGGCATCATCATCACGAACCGGCATCACCTCTCATCAACGTAGCTGCATTTTCAAAACTATCCGAAAAGCTCCCCCCGTGTTTTGCTAACTTCAGCCAATAACTCAAATCGCAATTGGTCGCGACGGTTTTACTGAGCAAGCTTCATTGGTTTGGTGAAACGTCGCCACTCATGGCCGAGTTTGTTCACAGTGCAAGGCACCTTTGAAAACACTGGGCCACACCACATAACGCTGACACGCAAAACAAAGTAATATGCATTACTGTGTTTGTGTATATATCCATGAAAATTTAATAGCGTTTTCCCATTTGCTGGCGCGCACACACGCACACAGTGAATGTTTTGACACGGTGCCAGAAATATTATTGGGCCAAGAAAATGGGGGCTTCAGAACCAGTTAACCCGACGACCTTTAAAGACTTCACACCAGCGCCGTAACCAAAAGTTGTAAACGTAAAAAAAAATAACTGCGTTTATCGCCCTCAAAAGCCATTAAAGGGTCGCAAAACAAAAGCGCTCCGTTGAGGAGGGGGCAAGGGGAGGAAAGGGAGACCGAGACCGGTGGCAGCGTTCGTACCAGGAGGCCGTAGATTTCGGAGGAGCTGCGAACCTTGGGCAGGATGTCGCTGGGAATTTCAAAGAACCTGTGACACGGACGGAGGGGCGGAGAGGAAGACACCCAGCCAGTGAAGCGACACACACACGCACACTGGCCAGATCGATAGCAGCCGGTGATGTCCAACACACCATCGTGTATACGCAACTCAATAGAGAAGAGAGCAGCAACCTCCATCCTCCGGAAGTGGATTTGTAAACAGGCTGCAGTTGTACGCGACTCGAGTGAAAACATCTTGCTTGCCGAGATGAGTGCTGTGACAGAAAAAAGACGAAGCTCCCCCGTATAGCCTTAACAGACTGTTGGGCCAAGTGCTGTTAGCGAACACCTACGAAGGCCGGAACGGTACACGAGGGGGTGGGTGACCAGCACTACGCCCGACCGCCTTCACCTCTCCAGTACCGATGTTTACACACTGCACCAGGTACTTATTTTAGGCCGAGTCGACCTAGGGGAGGCCCAGAACCGGTTCAGATAATCATCACTGGTGTGCGACCGTGAGCGGGAATCGAACTCGGGTCGCCAGGTTTGTAGCGCAGTGCGCTAACCGCTACACCACCTCTCCCCTCGCACACACACACAGTCACACGTCCACCGACAGATTTGCGCCAGGGGTGGAAATTCCGCATCCGCCAAATCTCTCCACACCGAACAACTGCTGTGGATGACTCACCAAGTGGCATTTCTGCACCCAGAAGGATGGTGGGGTTGGGAGGACCATCGAGAACAAGATTTTAACACCCGTCAATTTCAATACCCACCGATTATGCTCTGGCCTTAAAATGAAAATATAAGAGACGACGTTTCGGTCAATGGCCCTTGTCGTGGCCTACGAATCGTGATCTGTACGAAGAGCTCGCTACGACTTTGTGGGACCAACAGTGGGACATAACGAGAATGGACTTCGTCTCAGAAACGTGGATTTTATTGATACCGCTGCGAAATGGAAATCTGCACAACGCGCATTTCACTTAAGGGATGCACTTTGACTTCTTCGTTTCTCACGTAAAAAAGAAAAAAAAGAGTTTGGCAGTAAAAAAAAATATAACAATTAAAAAGTTAAAGCATTAACAGAATCATCATCATCATCATCATCATCCATTCAGCCTATGACCTACATCCCTTCCACTGCACACAAGTGCGTGGGTGAAGGGTGAACAAAGGTGAGTGTGTGAGGAGCAGGGCACTGGGGTGCACGGGGCTGACGAGAAGATTGTCATCCTACTCTTAGTTCTTTCGGTAAAGTCACGTAGGCAAAAAAATGAAATAAAAAATAATAAAATAAAACAACTGAAAATCACGACGTATCGGAGGCAACACAAGTCTCCGTCATCAGGTGGGACCGTCACAGCCAGATTAGCTGCATCAAGTGAGGGAGGGATTCAAGATGTAGGCTCTTAAGTACCCCTGGCTAACTGCCCAGCGGGGCTCCCCCGCACATCCCTTCACGTCTAAACTAACGGCGAGTCGCAGTCACGACGCGCGCCCAACGTACAAAACAACCCGCCACATCATTTGGAGGAGGACACAAACCCACATTTGTTTTGTTTTATTTTGTGGATGGTTACCTACACATGCCTAGGTAGACCTTGTAAAGAAGTTGGAAGAATGAACACGACGAGAAAAAAAACTGAGAAAAATGGACCGCCCTGGTATGGTTATCAGATTAAGAGTATGTATCTATACTGGGGGAATCCGATTAGCTATAAAGCTCCTTTTTTTACCGATGTCAAGTACAGGAAAGGAGGCGCCGTCAGAAGAACGCCGCCAAACAGCAATGCAGCAAAAGCAATGGCAACGCGAGTGGAAAGTTAGAGGTTATGGACGCCGAGAAATAAGTGGATTGACGGAGCTGAGATAGGAGGCACTGTGAAGGAGAGGAATGAGTGGATTGATGGAGCCGAGATGGAGGAGGCACTGACGGAGAGCAATGACATGGAACGATGGTGTGGACCACACTCCTCCTCCGTATTCGTCAAATTAAGTCCCTTCCTCCAGTCAAGTCCCATTTACAAACCGGGTTGCCTACTACGGCCTTCAATTAAATCGACCTTGCTATGTTTGTTTCATTGCGAGGGACAATACATTAGTTTTGTTCTATGGTCTTGTACAGGGTTGCTGAATGAAGTTTTGCACGAATGATGCGATATAACATTTAATTATTACGATGATCATTATTATTATTAAACATCCGCAACAGACGGGAAGCGACAATTGGCAGCTGTTGCTGCTGCTGCTGCCAGATGTTTGTGGACCCAGCGGCCTTCGTAAAGAGGCTGAAAGGGAAGAAGAGACCTACGCTTTGCTGAGGTACAAACTTACAGTTTATTAAGACTCTAAAGACTGATGTCGGCAGCACTAGGAGCAGCAGCACGAGCAGCACCTGCACTATCAATATCACGAACAGCATCAGCACGAGCATGAACACTAGCAGCAGCACCAGCACTTGCATCAGTATCAATATCACGAACAGCATCAGCACTAGCAGCAGCACCAGCACAAGCAGCACTAGTACAAGCAGCACTAGTACAAGCAGCACTAGTACAAGCAGCAGCACTATCAGTAGGAGCACGAGCAGCAGCATGACCAACAGCACTTGCAACACCAACAGTAGCACCAGTAGCACAAGTAGCAGCACAAGTCGCAGAACTAGGCCTAGCGGCGGCACTAGAACCAACAGCACAAGTAGCGGCACTCGGCCTAGCGGCACCACGAGCACCAACAGCACAAGTAGCAGCACTAGGCCTAGCGGCAGCACTAGGACCAACAGCACAAGTAGCGGCAGCACTAGCACCAGCAGCACAAGTAGCGGCACCAGGCCTAGCGGCACCACTAGCACCAGCAGCACCACGGGCACAAGCAGAAAGCGGCTCCAAGAGCAGCAGCTCACCTGCACAGCTCGGGGTCCCACTCCTGCGTGTGGATGTTGAAGAGCATCGTGCGGCTGGCGTTGGTCACGTCGGTGCAGTGCACCCCGCCGTGCTTGCCTCCCGTCAGATTCTGCCCAAGTTGAAGAGAGGTCAGCGGCAGGTCGGGGCGTCGCTCGCCGTCGACAGAGACACGGCCACAAGGCGCCGCGGGGATACGGGGCCCACCGCGCCGTGTGGGCTGCGTACTCGGCGGTTAGTCGCGTCTCACACTCGCTTGCGACGCGGGTCCCCAATCTGCTGGTGGTGAACCGCATCTGTACTCTAAATTGTGAACTAAACTTTTTTTTTATTTTACCAGGTAAGGCCCACCGGAGCTGTATAGCTCTTCATCAGAAGTGACCTGGCCACCAATGATAGCTTATCATCACGTGGAAATAGCAGTCAAATACACGTAATTTTAATTCTAAATGTGGAGGGGAAAAACCGGAGAAAATGTCACGCGACCATTGGGAGAGAGCCATGCAAACTACAAATTTACATGCTTCAGGGTCGGTATAGAACCCACGACCTCCTGCATACCAGTCGAGGTAGTTAACATCTCGTCACCACCGTGCCCAGGTAGCCAACCATCAGACTTGAATACACGGTGACATCTCGTGGGGAATAAACATGCAATGCATATCACGCGAACCCTAGGCATCCTCGCAGCAGCTTATAGGATTAGCCATCGAAGAATGGCTGTCGCTGCATCGCGCGCTTTCAGATGCACTTCTGCGGCCATCTGGAACGTTCTTCTTTCCTATACGAGCAAGCAACTGAAGTTATGCACTCTTAAATCTAGATTAAACATTTATGTATTTATAAGTGCTTTTTGTATTTAGTTTGTTGTCCTTCCCCGCACCTCCGGTGAGCACAGCTAGCTACATACTGTACGAAAGAAGTTCACCAGACATACGTATGTGTGTGCGCAGTATATAACGATGGATGATTTGCACCGTGCTCGAAGCGCAAACCTCCGCACCGCATCGACGTACCCAAATGAGCCACGAATCAACGGTGCCGAAAAGTGCTCGCCCCTCCGCTACGGCCAGCTTCACGGCATCCGAGTTGTCGAGCAGCCAGCGCATCTTCACCGCGCTGAAGTAGGTGCTGATCGGGAGGCCTGTTTTTTTCTGCACGACACAGGAGGCGTGGGGGCGTGGGGGCACGTGCGAACCTCTCCATTAGCACGGCTGACGACGTACAGTGCGCAAAGAAGTCCAGCACACGTGTGTGTATGTGCGCGAGTGCGTGCGTGCGTGCGCCCTCACCTTGTAAAAGTTTTTGTTTTGGCCGGGCGTGCATTTGATGAGCCTCTCCACTGTGGTCTGAGTGCGAAGGTCCAGCCATACTGTGCGTGCGACGGATCGTAAAGGGACAATTAACACAAGGCCGCTGGCAGATTAGGCAGCGGCAACACAAAATAAACAAGGCCGAACTCTCTATAACCTGAGGCACAGATAAACAGATTTCTCCTAAACCTAACAGGCATGATGTGGCCATTAATATATTTTGTCCAGGTTTCACCGAGGCTTAATGCTTCCAATTGCAAGACAAATGCAGGTAAATGCAAAACGGGAATGCGAGGAATTCATGATCCCCTCCCGATAGCCCATAGGAGTTGTTCTGCCAGACTGACCGGCATGCAGAATTGTATCTTAACAAATCAGTAGATTGGGTAAAAAATATAAAAATATGTACCGACATCGTAAGGGCTACGAGTCTGTACCAACCTCGGTGGTGGCGCACCGGTTCGCACAATGTTCTGCAAAATCCCATGACCCGAGTTCACGTGCAGGGCCGAGGGTAACATCAGTGGGTGAGTGAGATCCGAACCTGGCCCTTTGGCCTGTCGTTCACTACGCCACAGCGAATAGTCGGGCGATGTACGGTCAAACAAACCCCCCCCCCCCCCCCGTGACAGACGCGAGCTTGAGACAAATTGACGGGGGGAAAGTAAGCGGGCCCATCGCTAGCGGGGACGATGGCCGGTGGCCAAAATAAAACCATCGAGTGGCAGCGATAGGATGGAAACGAGCCCAAGAGAACACGTCCGCCGCGGAGATGGACCCACGAAATCAACTCGTGCGCAACACAGGTGGCTACACTGCAGGAGCGTGAGAGATGGTGACGGCTTGGGGAGGCCTTCATCCAGCAGTGAATAGACCACGTATAAAGGTCCGTCGACCTCCATGATGGAATAGTGCGCCAGGTGTTACGCCACGTGTTACGCCACGTGTTACGATGGGCTACGATGGAGATGGTGACGGAGGAGTTGGCTGGGTTGTGAGAGCTTTATATGAAGTTGGAATATTAGAATGTATCAGAGTGAAAGTAAACTGATTGTTCCAATTGCGGAGCAGTATATTTTATTAAATTGTGTGACCCATTTGGCTTCAGGCACACACGATTGTCAGTCTTCTATTACTGTTATAGAGTCAAATTACATTTGATCTTCAGACGATTTAAAACACGCCTTCAAATTTGTTCCGAGTTGAATTCTCGAGTTTGGCCGGTTAAGAGTCGTATGTGAACTTGTTCAGACACCGAATAGAGTGTATTATAAAAAATATTTTATTTGAACTTGTTCTAAATACGATGCCGGAGGAGCGGTGGGGGACGCGTGTGGGGGAGGGGTGCAGCGGCCGTACCGATGGCGTTGTGCAGCGGCTCTCCCGAGAGGCGGTCCCACACGATGGTCGTCTCCCGCTGGTTGCAGATCCCGATCGCTGCACAATTCACAAACACGGAGTTTCACAACCCCCAAAGCGTTGCCAACACCTCTCCGAAGCAACGTTATCGTTTTTTATTCCACACTCAACTGTGCTTGTGTAACCGATTTAATTCCTGGATTTCCACCCCCCTCACCGCCCCCCGATTCTATCCTCGTTGTGGTATCGGCGTCGGCGACAAACGCGTTCTGCGACATGACAACGTCACACTCTTTGGCTCGAGCGATTACGCCCGGGTTTTATTTCTTTTTCACCCAAAACGTCAAGCCGGTCGTGCTATCGGCAACCGTTTGTCAGCAGACGGGAAAGCCGCTCGGGGATCTCCCGCACAGCACTTGTTGACCTTTCGTGTTGAAGAACGGCACACCAAAGCGAAGAATACGGCACCCACTGTGAAATCCCCTTCAAAATGACCTCTGCTGCACGCACAGTAATGGGGCCAGAACTTTTAAAAAGGGGGCCAGCATTTTAACGAATGGCTTTTAATCAATTTCAGATTTGCATTGCTGTAGAATTGCCCTAAAACACCAAGCAAGTTGTTTGCATGTGCTGTGCACAAACGAGCATTTGACGGCACTCATATCTCCATTGGTGCCTCCAAAACAGCAGTGGAATTTCAAAAGTTTCTACTAAAGGCGCCAGTCAGTCTCTCTATAACACAGTACCACAGAGCTGTTTCTCATTTATATCAATCCCCGATGGGCGACGGGCGTAAAATGAACTCGTAACTTTCTAATCGCGGGTTTTGTAATCTAACCGCAACGTCAACCGGCCCAGATCCGTGAACAGCTGTCCAAGAGAAAAATGGGGGGAACGATCACAATTGGGATTTACGGTTATTGAAACAGCGATGACATGGATGGGACGCGTAGACACCTAAGCCAAAACTTTTATTCATTCACATTTCTGACGCGTTGTACGTCCAAACGACAACACACACACACACACGGGCCCCGCGGTACAGGACACACGCGTTCTTATTTACAGAGTTCATTGTCGGGATGTGACAGCGTTGGCTGAGCTTGCCCGCAAGGGTTGGGAAAATAGAAGGCAGAGTGGAGAGGGCTAAGAGCTCTGCCACGTGCATTTAGATTATTTGGCTACGATACATTTTCACGTGATAAGCTGCTATAATTTGTGGCCAGGTGGCTTCTAAAAACAATAAGTTAATACCTCAGTGGGCTTTGCCCGTATTTTTTAAAAGTGATTTGTGTACCTTTCCTACACTTGGCACTTCTATTGTGTTTTTGCACCGTTTGTTCTCACGTTCTGACTCCGTGCCCCTATTGGAGACATCTGTGAAAAAGAGCTTCACAGCAGCTCATCGGATTCCTCCTCCAGTCCAAATAAAGACCCTGGGGTTCTGATTCTGGCTGGGGCTGAGTTGACCCCACGCGATTATCAAGGTGAGCATCCTGGCAACACCAGGCCCAGCGGGGGGGGGGGGCAGTCTCTAACGTATGACGGGCGGCATTCAAACCCGACTCATCACGAATGGGTCCCCCCGCCGCATCACGGAGGCGAACCTTTGAGCAGGGAGATGTCGATGTCGAGCTGTCCCAGCTTTCTGCACGTCTGCTCGATGCACTCGTGGACCGAGGAGAGGAGCTGGTGAGGGTCCTGCTCCACCCACCTGTCACGCACGGGCGCACAAAGACAAAGATCCCCCCCCGTGTAGCCTTACACAGACTGTTGGGGCAAGTGCTGCTAGCGAGCAACACCTATGAAGGCCGGCACGGCACACGAGGGGGTTGGTGGCCAGCACCACGCCCGGCCACTTTTGCATCCCCAGTAGCGATGTTTACACACCGCACCGGGTGCTCATTTGAAGCGGAGTCAACCTAGGCGAGACCCAGGACTGATTTCAGATAATCGTCACCGGTGTTGGTCGTGAGCGGGAATCGAACTCGGATCGCCCAACGTTGGAATGGTTGGCTACGTACAGTGCCAAACCCGAAAGCACACGGGAGTTGTTAAGAGGGCATCGCAAAAAACAAAACCCCCACGCAAGATGTAAACGCGTTTCTGGCCATGTGGTCCACGTATCAAAAGAAACAGCGGCTTCATCCCACGGGCAATTGTTTGTATTCTCTGCGAGGAGCTTCGGTTTCGTACTTGCAAAGATACACATTCAAAAAGGGCTTTAGGCAAAAAAACCATGCACGATCCTATTTAATGCTGACATTATCCTTGGCAAGCCGATGATTACCCCCAACGTTACACTACATATACACACAAGGGGTATAGAGGGAGGGGGACAAACAGCTCGCGTGCACGGCCTATGCGTTGCTCACTCACCCCTCTTTCGGGAAGATCTGCGTTATCTCCACTTGGTGGTGGCTCAAAAGCTCAGCAGTCTTCGCATTGAAAACCTGCAGAGACCGGAGAGAACACGAGTGCATCGACATTCAAAGTGGATCCTCCAGTTCAAATTGGGACCTCGGCGATGGACTGACTAAATGGTACAAAAATGTTACTCGATGGAGTTGATGGGTCAAGTAGACTCCCAGCGTGGATTGATATTTGAAACCCTTCTGGCTGCAAGTTGCACGGTCTTGCTAATGCAGCCTCTGGATGAAATTCCAAATGTTAATCCATCCATTACTGCCTTCAATAACCAAGATAGTGTGTGTGTGTGTATGTATAGACAAAGCGTCTTTTGACAGAGGATGTTGCAAGTATTCTTCATGGAGGGAAATTGGATATATATTGGCATTGAAACATAAAACCCAACAAACCAGACAAAAACATCGATGTTTTCCACTCGAGCTAAAACAACGCACTGCTGGATGAGGCCATGCCCACGCCGTTCGGAGGGGTGGGGGGGTTAATTGACCACATGGCCAGTATCGGTCAGTAAGGAGGTGGGGCACATTAAATGTTTGGGAGTGCTTTTATGCTTTCAATCTGAGAAACAACTTTTGCCCACTATAAAAGGCAAATGTAAATGTTAATTATTATTCCGTGACCTAATTATTCCAGGAATGCTTCTGCCTCTGGGGAATAACTATGCAAATAAATCCATCATCTATATCAGTGTGCGCGCGTGCAAATGAACACGCGAGCCAATTTCACAACCTTCGCCTGCCCTGCCCTGCGCAGCATTACAAACAACAGTCTGCTGCTCTTAACAACACTACGTTTACACACAGCATTTGACACATCTGGCATGAACCCAAACGGCGAGGACAAAGTCCAAACAGGGTGAACCCTTGCAGGGGTCAAACAACAATCCGGCCAAAGTCAGTTCATAATAATAAATGGGACGAGCTGGCAAGTGCGTACGTACGTTTAACTTCTTTCGCACCGCAGTACGTAGCCAACCGTGCTAAAATCGGAGGTGCGGAGGAAGGACAAACTAAATACAAAAAGTAGTTCTGAAGAAGCGAGCTTGCAAAAGGATGGACGATGTCGATGTTCGCAACGACCCCGCGACATTCACGTGACCCTCGCTTTCCACAGAGCATGCCCACTCGGTGTAGATGCTCCAATTCTAAATGTGACCTCGGCTATGGACTTGGCAGACGCGCAGACGCGCGCCGAACGATAAAGCTCTACCTCGTATCCACAATCGGAATCTTTATTTATACTGGAGGAATTCGAGGAGCTTTAAAGCTCTTTTTTTCAAAGGTTGTCCACAGATCGGGGAAGGTCAGAAAGTAACAGGTACAACCAAGACAAAAACACGACAGGAATTGTTTTTGTTTTACCACGGCACTTTGCTTATTTTTACACCTTGGCTGTGCGGCTCCCGTAACGGCGCAGCCCCGAGACTGCTCGCTCGCACCTCCGGTGAAGGAAGGGCCTCCAACACAGAGCGAATCTTGCGAGCCCCCTTTAAAAAGCCAGTTTCTGCCTACTCCTCCGCGCTGACCAGACGTGTTGGAAGCAGTGGCAGTACCCGCACTTTATCCCCCCACACCCGACTTGTGCAGCTGGGTGGACGACAAGAGGCTGGGGCATTAAAGCATTTTGTTACCATTGCTTCAACTGCCGCGCCAGGAGATCGAACCAGTGGAAATCTCTGTTGCAAGTGCGGCGTTTGCTAATCATTATACCCATGGCAGCATTTTTCTGCAAGTGAAAACTGCCTTCATCAAGGTCCCTTTGTGTTACTGTAAACATGGCCTGTACAACCTGCAAAGGGATTTCACAATCATCTACTGAGGCTTGTGTGTGTTTTTTTCCTCTATTAAGTACTTCTTGCAAACACGAACGGTGCGAGTGGTATAATCCGTGAAAATGTGCCGATGATCCGTTGGCATGCGTGCGCACCGGCACAAATAACAAAAGCTCCACGCATTTATCGAGAACACTGCCCATAAAAGAATAAGTATAGGGTGCCCCCTTTCTTCCTAGCAGCGAGGTAGAGGCTGGAGAGACGAGTAAATGATAGCGGGAAGGACTGCACTACAATATACCATGTGGGGGGGGGGGAGCACAACGATGGAATATTAATTTTTTTCCGAAAAAAACTCTTAAAATCACAATGTTATCATGGCCCCACTGTACTGTGCAGTCTCCAACTATGATTAATTCTACCTCACTGGCCTCTCTCGGTCTCTGATATGAAGGGGCATTGCCTAAAACGTCATCTATTATATATTGTTCTATTTAGCTCGGCGTTATTAACTGAATGTTCGTATTGTGAATGCTTACAAAAATAAACTGGACACAGTCAGGAATAAGTCATTTATGTTACACAAGCACACGTGCTTTTGGGATGACACATTAACGTCAAGATTAAGGGGAAAGTTCGAACAAAATACACTGTTTGCACAGCGTGGGTAAAACATTACACACATCTTTAACATGTAATGGGTAAGCCGACCCTGCCTAAATTGCTGTGGCAAAGTCTGCAGTTGCCTAATCGAATGAGCACTTTCAAAGCCTCGCTCAACAAGTTTGAGATGAGTCGTCTTTTTTTATGCACAGTATTACACAACAACTTTTTTATAAAGCCCTTTATAATTATTGTTGTGTGGAGTCCAAAAACGCGGTCGAAACAACACAAAACAATGCAGAATAGACAAGGGTCCAGGCTGTCCATGTCATCATCATCATCAGCCATGGGCAATCCCCTGCTGCATGATGAGTGGTACGCTCTCAAATCTATTGCCATGAGTCCAGTGACTTCATCTCGGCCTGAATCAATGCCTCGTGCCCGTCTCTATCACCAATCAGTTAGTGCATGAGATGAGCTCATTATAGAACAGTGGGATGATGGCTAATAAATGGGACCAGTCTGGACTGTAGAAGGAAGAAAATAACTCTTGTCAATCCATTCCAATGACACAATTGTGCCATCCCAGGGTTGTTCTTTGTGCGCGTGTTTGTTGCTGCTAATTGTACGTCAGAGGTGGTGAACAGACTTCACTGTGCACGACACAGGAGCAAAAAATAAACCACACGCGACAATTCCACTGCACAGGCTGCGCTTGGCAAACTTCTACATCTATTTGGATGAATACAGAGTCGCACAAATGATGCGCAATGCAATACTTGCACGCGCAATAAAGTGAGCAATGCAGTATTTGCATGCACAATACAAATTGTGCAACGCACTACTTGCATGTACAATACAAAGTTTGTGCAATATACTCGCTGTTGCATACACAGGTGATTGGCAACTGGCTGGCAGTATTTTTCAACAAACAAATCATGCCAATGCGTCGTTGGCTCATCAAAGTCCCAATAAGTTAACGACAGCCACACAAATTCACGCAACATACATTTGTGTTCGTGCTGCAGTGGTTAACGATCAGCAACATTGACACGGGGGAGGGAGATAAATAAGTGTGCATACCTCTAAACCCCTTATCAGTGCCCTTGATTATTACAGACCAATTCAGACCTTACTGGTCACCCCGTGCCCCTTATAAACCTCAACGTTAGTCCTACAAAGTCCCATCACAAGGCAGAAGAAACACACACAGACTAAACACATGTTTTGTGCCCCTATTGAAACGGCCGTGCACCGTCTGGACCTGCAAACTCACGTTCCCTGTACAATATTACGAGGTAGAACCCGTGTGGGTTGACATGCGTGGATGTGCAAACGAATCGTGTTGGACACACACGCGTGGCACGTTCGTCATACACGAGCACACAGTCACCTTGGCCTGGCTTTTACTACATTTGTTTTCCCACGCTACTGACTGGGCACAAGAGATTTGCCGATCAGATTGATGGTTCTGTTCAAAATAAGAAAATCACGCGTCTTCAATTCAATTGACATGCACACACGGTAGAGGCTCGGGGAAATGTATTTTAGTGATTGTATTACACTTCTTATACTTTGCACTCGTTCGTTTGTATGGCTTTGTTGTGGTAACGGTCTTTACCCGCCCCTACGTGGACATCCGTGAAAGAGCTTCATAGCTCATCGGATTTCTCCAGGAAAAATCAAGACATTGATCCGATTCTGAATTCACGTTAATAAGCGAGCTCAATTACTGCGCTCATCTGACAGCAACTGCGTCGTGCGCAATCGCTCCTCTCCACTCGCGACTACCATGCCCCTGTTTTGCTTGCTTTCTTTTACGAATCTTTGTCAATCCACTGCTGGATGAACGTCTCCCCACGCCGTCTTGGTAGCGGGGAAGGCGGGGTTATAGATCAGACCATGCTTCACCGCAGGAAGGAATGCGTTGCTCTGGCAAGGCATGCGTTGCTCTGGACCCGGTACAGATCGTCAACTCGGCCACTCAAGTCAGGATGTGTCCTGGAAATCAATGCGGGAGCAGGCGGCGTGGGTTCAGAGCCCAGCGCCCTAACCGCTGCGCCACCGCTCCACCACCACCACCCTCTCTCTCTCTGGGGTTGTGTCAATGAAATGCCCTCTCTAGCCCACGTGTGGACAACCATCATCCGTCGCTGTCCAGTCGACGCGGTACCAACGGAATAACGCATTGGCGGACACATGAACCGAGACATACCACACATGCATACGCACACAAAGACAAAGATCCCCCGTGTAGCCTCTAACAGACCATTGGGGCAAGTGCTTATGTAGGCCGGCAACGGCGCACGGACGGGGTTTTGGTGGCCAACACGACGCCCAGCCGCCTTTGTCTCCCCAGTGCGGATGTTTTACACACGGCGCCGCACCGGGCACTCAACCAAGGCGGAGCTAACAACCTCCCAGAGCCCCGGCACCGATTCAGATGTTGGCCGTGAGCGGGAACCGTATCGATCCCACCGGGTTTGCCCACGCAGCGCGCCAACCACTACGCCACCGCTCCCCCCACACACATACACACCCCCAACATTAGCAGGATAGAGCAACCGGTTTGGCCGTCAATCCATTGCCCCACGCCCGATCCCACGACGCGCGTAACGTGCGGCTTGCCGCCGCCGCTGCCCTGTGTACAGTGCTAAGGTCATTAGGCCGCGTTTTAATCGGAAGCACAACGGAGGCCGCCACCCTCGCAGCATGCCCCGACCGCGCACCCGGGCAGGGTCAATCCACTGCTGGGACGAGGGCCTCCTCCCCGAGCCGTGTCCACATCAATGTGTGTGCACATCGCGCGCACACAACACGTGGCGACCAGAGGGCTCCATCACCCTTCCGTCATATCAGCAAAACCCCTTGGTGCAATGCTTTCATAAAACAACACTTCGTGATAATAACCGGTAGCTGGGGGAGCTTGCGGCTTGGTGGTCGTCACTTCTGCCGTCTCATCAGCAGGCCAACGTGGCCTGCAACAAAACAATCGCAATTACCAGAAATCGAGTCGAACTCGTTCCTTGATCCACGGCTCCCACCAGCGGACCCAGCTGCAGTCTGTCCGTCGCTGCCATTGTAATCAATCTGCGGAGCTGTAGGCAGTTCCCGTAAGCTGCCCGCTCGGCGACCACCCAGCAACCCCCTCGACACCGGCGGCGAAGAGCGAGCAAAGTGGAGGTCGCCCGGGTCTCAGGCAGCCGCTTAATAGCGCAGGGCGCGGGGTGACATCAGCACTAGACAGTGGCCACGTGGAGAAGGAGGGGGAGGGGGCAATGAGGCGTGACGTCACCGAGCGCGTGCGCCCCCCTCGGTGGTGGGCGTGGCTAGAGTTGAAGGTGGGGGTTGAGAGCGGCGGGCGGTGATTGGCTCGCTTGGGGGCGTCGCCCGAACGTAGCGATGTGATTGGTGGGAAAACTCGCGGGAAAAACGTCGCCACGTGTTTGAAAGGCACCGGGGCGGAAATTGCCCGTGTTGTGAATATTTGTGACGACGGTGGGGCGGGGAGCGGTGGTGCAATGGTTGCGATATGAACCCGATGACCCGTTGGGTCCGATCGCAGGCCACGGTTAATGTCAGATCCTGCCCCCCCCCCGCACTCACCCACCTGCTTCAACTCGTAATGACCAGCGTGGTGAAGTATGGTCAACGGCAAACGCCGTTCGCCGCTTGTGCCATGCTCGGTGCACTTTGGTCAAAGAACCGCAATGAGCGACACGACGCGAGAGGATTGAAACTGGCCGCTGCTGCTGATGAACTGAATCGCGATGAGGCGACCAGTGAATGATTACAGCCGTAATAAACAGCTCTGCAATAAAGACATATCTAGCCAGTGTTTTTATTTATTTCTCCAAAGAACGTTGAATTAACATGCTCATTCTTGGTTCTTTCGGTAAAGTCACGTAGAAGGGAAATAATAAAATAATAAAAATATCAAGCAATAACATTCGCACGACGTTTCGACTGCAACACAAGCAATGATCATCAGGTGTGAAATCCACAGCAATAAAATTTTCTTGCTGTAGGAAAATGTTTTTGCTGTGGATTTCACACCTGATGACGATTGCGTGTGTTGCAGTCGAAACGTCGTGAGAATTTTATTGTTTTAAATATGTTTTATTTTATTATTTCCCTTCTACGTGACCGAAAAAAACCAAGAATATGAATCCCTGCAGTCACGAAAGCTTTAAATCAAAATTTAAGATGCGCATGTTTGTTTCAGTCCTGCTTTGACAGTGGTGTATAAGTTCCAAAAAAACGCGACGCATTCGTCAATAACATTGCCCGAGAGAAGGGGTCGGTCAGTATCCTGCGGCTCCAGAGCCAAATGCGGCACGTTGGCTTCCCCCTTGCGGGCAGCAGACGTTTTTTTCTATATTAAGTCTGAAACATAATTGAACGTAAAGGTAATTGATTAAATATGGCAGGTAATGGGACACTATGGAATTGGCTTGGTGACAGAAAAATGTACAACAGTCAAACTGCATTGTTAAAGAATAACTAAGGGGGGGGGGGTTGAACTAAATAGACGCAATATATACCATCACCTATTTTGTGTATTCAATTCAGAATGTTTGTCATCTGCTGCGTACCTGCTGCTATGTTTGTGTAGCTCCGCGTGTGATGCGGCTCTTGAACTATTTTGATCAAAGACAAAATGGCTCTTCTTCTTTGAAAGGTTCAGTTCATTGATGAGGTATAGCCCTGTGAGCCATTCGGCTCTTGAATCGGGTGCAACCGCAACAAACAAAAACATGAACAAGGAACATCTTAAAGTGACTACGCGTAACAGAAAAATCCAGGATAAAACAGCAAAGTCTTCCAGACAAAGCACCGTACACCTGACGCTGTGTGCAAAAATCCCAGTGGGATGCAAGTCAAACAATAACAACCATAAGACAATTTAGATTAAAGTTATCAGTCTAATTCTGTACAACAATTGGAACCTCCTTTTCCAGTAGCAAAATATGATGTAAGGTTTTTTACCCTTTTATCTGGCAACAAAACCAACACCTTTTTTTAATGGTGTAAATGCTTACCCCGGGCTCTCATACTTTGATGGTGCATTGTCTTTGAGTTGTACGCCTTTTGGCGTCATCTGGTCCAACACCATGTGAGACTAGGCTCTAAGGAAAGCTGTCTCGGGTGTGGACCAATCAACTTCAAGGACAGTGCATACATTATCAGAGTTGTGTTTTTTATTTGCATTATGACTGCAGGTTTTGTGGTCTACGCAAACATGCCTCCTTTTTAAAAAGGTGTCAGTTTTGTTGCCAGATAAAAGGGTAAAAAAAACAATTATATTTTTTTACTGGCAAATGAGGTTCCAATGGTGTAAACCATAAGACAATTTAGATTAAAGTGATCAGTCTAACTCTGTACAACAAACACATATGGATTGGCCATATACTTTATTCTAAATTAATCTAAATTGTCTTATGTTTGTTATTGTTGCCGACCCCTGCCCTAGCGGAAACATATTTATAATAAGCGACGTTCATACATGACTTGGCGTGCTCCTTGGGCTCTCACCGATCTCGTGCTACCGGGCCACGGGATGTGATCTCGTGGGAAACATGACCTGGCCCATGTGTCTTCATCACCTAAATTTCCACATCACCATCGACTGTGCCACCACGTGCTATCTATCTCATTGCCGTCTGAAGGTCGCCCGTATTCGAATGCGGGCCCGTAAATCTCTTTGGTCGCACCGGCAGTGTTCGGTTCACCGCTCTTTTAATTGTGCCGTTCTCAGCAGCACACGTGTACTGAACTTTCCACGCAAAGCCAACGAGGGTCCCTGGCACGCACGCGCGCGTCCACTGGCAGCGAAAGCGGTCGGTCACGTGGCGTTGTGCCACCCGCTGCTGTCAGGATGCCCGACGTGGACATGCAGAGTGTGGACTGGCGGTTGGCAACGTACGGTGTGTGGAAGCAAGCTCGGCATTGCATCTTAAGAGTTGAATTGCGGCGCCGTCTTTGTTAAGGGATGTTACGCTCGTTGCAGATGACGTACAGAATCAGAATTTTTATTTATCCTTAAATTGTTGTCCTGGCTAAAATGAATAGATAAGACACAGCACAGTAAGTACTGTTACTATGAAAGCTTCAGCGGTCACGAAACAGATCCAGGTGCCGTGGGTTGACTTACTGAGATGACGGGTAGTTGCTCGCAGCACTGCCGGAAACAGCCCTCACTAAATTGTATTGTGGCCCACTCACCCACGTCGGCCAGGCGTCTAGGAAGAGGTGGCAGTACCCCACATTTTACCCCTCGTGACTTTACCGAAAGAACCAAAGAGTATAGATTCCTGCAGTCACGAAAGCTTCAAATCAAGATAGAAGCCCATTGTTTCAACTGCCGCTCTGAGAGATCAAACCGGCGACATCTGTGCATTGCAAGCCCAGCGTGCTAACAATTACACCGTACGGGGAATATGACCACCCCCCCCCCCCGGCACACTCCATCCGCCATACCTCTTGCAATGGCTGTGGCTACTGGTAACAGGCCGACTCCAGTCTCCAAGCGACCGGGACATTTCTTAGTGAAAATGTCAGGCTCCAGTCACCGTGCATCTGTGCATTCGACTGGAAACCACAGTGGAAGGGAGTCATTCCCACGCAGTTGCCTTTCGCGTCACAGTCTACTACGCGAGGCGGATCACTTTTTAAATCCTTTATATTAATATCACTTGCTTGCTTGCGCGCTTACGACCGTGCAAATCTTTCGGTCGTTTTTTAACCCACTTCCCGTGATCCAATCGAGCTGACATTTTCCACACAGACTCGTTGTGCGTGACAATTAATTTTCGTGAATTTTTTTTTCCAAAATGTTACACTTTTTAGTACAAAAAAATTATATTTAATTACCAATTGCTTAATGGTGGCAGGCAATCATCGGACCCATAGGTGGCAGCCATCTCAAGCCAGAGGACGAGAGGACTCTAGCCGCCACGCATGTAAAGGATTTATAGTGAAAAACTTTGTTTTTACGGGTTAATTTTTTACCTGATGAAGGAGGTTGTGTAACCCGTGCTTGTATGTGTTTGGCACGAGATTTAAAGCAATTTAGAGCAACTGGGCTGCCCTTATCAAATGAGTAAGACCAATCTGTCTGCAGGTCCTGATTGTAGTTTGTAAAAGAAAGTTTATTTGGATTCGACAGACTTCAGACCCTACAGATGCGAACATTGCGGCAGGCCTCGGTTAACAAAAATATAAAATCGTTCAAATATATTTTGCTAACCCCAATTTGAGGGACCCACAAACAAATATTTAGAATTTTCTAAGCATGCCCTTCATTCCTACCCCCTTTAGATCATTATAATATACACTAGCCGGTCACGATTCCCTGTAGCATGCATTAGATATTCACATACTTATTCGTTGTGGTGGGGCATGATGTATCAAATGCAAATATCAGCCAGACGTTGTTGTGTATCCACAAAAAAAGTGTTTTTTCTCCATCGGGTTTATTGACGTTCCAGCAGCATGGGTTTAAGGGAGCGAACTTTGGTCTGGGTCCGATGGGTCGGCACAGTGAGTCGAGGAGTTGTTGAACAAACACTTGATGGGTTACCAGCTGAGATCACTGAAAATAAACTACGGGCTCCCGTTAAACGGGGGGAAAAAAAAATCAACGCAGTACACAGCATCAATGATGAGTTGCCATCTTGCATTACACTGTAGACTTGTCGAGGAATAACGCATCGTGCATAAGCAGAACTCCGTATTGTATCGAACGTTGTAAGTTATTCTGGCTGTGACAAAGATGCTCTTTGTTGTTATTATGATGTTGAATAAAGAGCGTCTGTTATCCAGTGTTTCGAGATGGGGATTGGCGGATCGTACCGTGGTTGTGATGCATAGCGAGACTCTCTAACTGGCACGGTTGTGAGGTGGCCAGCAGATGGTAGTACAGCACAAGAATTGTTTTAATCTGAAGACGTCGATGGTTTAAGGTCCATCATGGTACGATAACAATAAAACACATTGCTACTACCCAGAGGTCGCAAACGGGTTTTGATTCCTTACCCGTACCCGGCCGCACCAGGGTCGCAAACGTGTACCCTACCCGTACCCGGCCGGGTACGGGTAGGGTACGGGTATCGGGTACCCGATTGCGACCTCTGGGATGAAGCCATGTTGCAAGCGCGGGTGGGTTGATTCTAGGAACTTGAATTGTGAGAAGAGAAAAGACGTTGGGAAATGAGTGACAGTTACTCACCAGTGACTCACGGTCTACCCG